GCGCAGTTTTCGTTTCATATCGCGAGATGTTTATCGATAAAAAAAAAATCAATATCTTAATACTGATCAAAGGAGAAGCGGGAAGACTGGTCCGAGTTGAAGAGATGCGAGTTGGAAATCCGATCGTAACCCAGAAGAGACGTCCGCTGAATCGGCCACGGCGCGTGCATAGCGGTACCGTACTTTGCAGCTTACAGATGCAAAGCCCGCCGATTGAACATCGGTCCCAAGTGGGGCAACAAAAGGTCAGTTATTTTCGTTTGGCGAGCGTGCGGCGCGCGGCGCCGATTTTAATTAACCAGCCGGCGAACGATCGAGCGAATGATTAACAATAAACGAAATGGCGCGCGATTAATAGCTTCGTGTATCAGGCGCGAGATTGGTTGGCGAGATTAAGTGAACTCGATTGGTACGAAGCTGTACGATCGCTCCAATTAACGTTCATTCATTTGACGACAGCGTCACAGGCTAGGATCTGCAATCACCGGAGGCTGCGTCGGGACGACCCCCGGCAGGGTGTCGTTCACCCCCGCCGGCGTTGTCCATTTTTAGACGATCGATAGTCGCGGGTGGAATTTTTAGACGACACCCTGTACCGAGAAAGTCTTCTTTTAAATATTTACTCCCGCATTTAGCGTTTATGAAAGTCACGCCGGCGATAAAAATCCGAGTTTGCGAAGGGATGACGGCGAGATCTGTTAATGAGCTCAAAAGACTTGCACTTGACAGAATGATTAAACATTGTCCAGAAGGATGCAATCGACCGCACAAGATTGCGAGCGCACTTTACGCAACGGGATTGCCGTGGAAGGTCATGAAATTTATTACAAATAAAAATCGATACGTCTCTCTCTTTCTGGATATAATATTTTTATTTGGAATAGAATATTATTTTCCAGAAAGAGATCTCTCCCGAGGAAATCGACAGTTTCTTAGAAAGCCGATTCGATAGCGGCGATGGTTGCCTCGCGCTGATAAAAAGATAGAAGAATCACAAAAGCGGGGAAAAAACTCGAGAAGAGGTAAAAAATATTTAAAAGAAATAGTCGCGCTCGTTTTCAAGTATAATAAGAAATATTCAGTCACGGTCAATGTATTCTACGAGCAAAAGTGGGTTGCACAATTAATATAAAAATAACAATTTCACTTGAAATCGACATTGTTATGTAAAATAAAGTTGTTAATTTTATACCCTGGCGAAATTTTTAGGTGAAAGACGATGTCTATATTTATAACACCGTTTGGAAGTATGTTGCAAACACCTGGTTAACTCTTTACCGACAAAAACATTTTACAAACACTTAGAAAATGGAAACGTTTAATATAGTATCATTAAACGCAATTTCAACGCTTGTGACCGCGGACACGTCATAAACAACTCCATGTTTAAATTTACATCTCGCAAACAATTTAACAAACGTTTTAAGACTCAAATTTAAACAAGCTTCTTATAAACTTTTTTAACAGACATTATTTTCGCCAGGGTATTAGTTGTACAACCCACTTCTGCTCGTAGAGTACATTGACCGTGACTTTGAATATCTGTTAAAAAAATATTATCCATTTCCCGCCTTAATGTTCCGTGAACGAGCGTCGCCGCCGTACGCGCGATTTTCCTATCGCGATGATAGGATAGTATATGGATAAGACGTTTAGGTAGATCGCGGACACAGCGGTGTCAGCGATAATTCCTGAACTTCCACGTTACCGCCGTTGCGTGTCTTGCACGGGCACCACGCTATTAAGAGGCACATTAGAAACACGCGAACCTGCACGCACGAACGTTATGGCACAAGCTCACGGTATGCCTCCCGGGCAACCTTGGAAATATTGCGCCCGTCCCGTTTCGCGTTTTCCACTCGCGCAATTCGTTTCCCGGCGATATTTGTACGCGCCGCTCGTTAAATCGTTTCCATCGGGTCGCCGCTCCGAAACCGGCGCGGCATCGAAATCGCCACCGCGCGACTTTTTGCCCGGATTCGAGGCCGAGACACCCGCGGGTTTCCCCTACTTCAAAATTATCGCTTTACGCCAGGCCACGGTTGCTTGCCGGCGATTCATTAGCCGATTGCCAGCCGCGTACCGATGAATTGATATGGAAATCGAAATGAGATACAATTACCTCGGTAAGTAACGGTCTCGGGATCGCGAGGTATTAATTTGAGGAGGATCGCGTTTTCCAGTCCATGAAAATGTTCCTGGATCCCCCGATCCGCCGATTGCGTAAGACGGCGGACTTGTTCAACGGGGTTTTAACGAGCGTTTGCGTAATTCTCTGAGCCGAGCGCGCGACGTCGTTTTTTTTTTACGCACAATCTCGGAGGGAGAGCGTATGATCGTCGCACGTTACACATTCCTATTTCCGAGCACGTTTACTCATCGAGTGCGACACTCTCCGTCACTCTTTCTCTCCCGCGCGTGTCTCCCATAGTAATTACATCTGCCAGGAAATGGACGATTTGCAACACGTTTCGCCGATCGCCGCCGTCTTTAAAGCAACATTTAATCATTTTATTAATTTATTGCATGTTTAATATTCGTAATTGCTTGTTACACGAACGGCACGACTGAAAAAGTCGCAACCTCGTGTGTTCGTTTGAAATACCTTGCGGATTTCTTTGCATACTTTACTGTCCGAGTTAAAATGGGACATCCTGTATATTTTTTTAAAAGGATCACAATCGGGATGGTCGAAACGTCGGAACGAGTTACTGAGTGAACTACTTGGCCAGCTCAAGTCGTCAAATTAAATAAAATTTCCTGCGACGCGGAAAATGCTCTTTCGATACAAAGATATTAATATAATATCGCGAAGATAAGATTTGTCGCGACGGAGGCTCGCTCTCCCCCGAACTCCTTCGCTCTTTCATTTTTCGAGATGTACGGTGTAACGTCGATCCGTCCAACTCTGGCAATCTTGTCATCGATTTGCATACAATGCCGTAATTCTAGATGGCACCGAAGACACGGCGGGGGAAAGAGAGACGCGTGGGCCCGGCGGTAAATCCTCTCGAGCACTTAAAAAAAAAGAGGATACCCGACAGCTTCCTGGTGCACCGCGTGACGCGCTACGCGACGGGCTCTTAGGCCTCGCCGAGACGCCGCGCGCGTTTAAAAGTGACACAACGCGCTGCAAGACGTTGCTCCAGGAAGTCTCAAAAATTCTATTTCGATGCCACGATACTCGGAACGAGTGGTGTCTAAAGATAGGAGCCCCAACAAGGAGCCGCTCGTCGGATTTGCTTTATGGAATCTCTGATGACTTAAATCTCCATGTTTTCTTTTTAACGAAAATGTCACCAAGTATAATTTCTCAATTATCAACGGTGAAAGATGCGGATGGAGCTTTTTACAAATTAAGTTTCTGGAATGCAAATAGGAATCTTATTTAAGCCGTAAAATTCTGCGTTGATAAATATTCATGTTGGGAAATTCGACTATCCGGATATTTCATACAAAATACTTTCAAAAGTCATGGAAAACGATGTGTAATGTTGATCGCGAGAAAACTATTTCGGTCGAGCAACTCCCTGAGGCAATTGCCGCGAGGTGATTATTATGACATTTCGCATACTTTATTTCAGCCTTTAATCGAACGGCAATTAAATAATTTAGAGCTGTTTTACGACGGTGATTAAATTGCAATCGGCAGACGGTCTCAAGATTGCAACGCTCGATACCGGTTTTATCACGGTTATCAATGTTGATGTCAGCATGAGAACAAATAAAATCACATAATTCTGAAGACATGTCATGAAACATCCTTCTAGCTTCATGAGGATTGAGCGTCAAAACGTAGGGGGGAAAAAAAAGATAAGCACGTAATTGTCGCGTTATTCGTACATCATTACAACTGTTTTACGGTCGTGATTACGATTATAAACGATACTTTGCGACAATTAGGAAGAGTACTCCGAGTTACACGCTACGTTGCACGGAGAGAATTTTCTTTTGAAATTTACTCTGAAAATCGTAATCGTGGGACAACACGTATCTTGAAGAACTTTATGAGAATTTTTTGAAATTTTACTAGTAAAATGTATACCAATTGTAAGTATAATTACCAGGTAAAATGTGTGGTAAAATTAAAAAAAAAACCCATACAATCCTTCGAAATGCCGTATTCTCCCACGACTGCGTTATTTTCAGGATAAATTTTAAGAGAAAATTCTCTCCGTGTACTCGACTGCACCTCGATGGTACTTTCGCAGATAGCGATAAGTTCGCGTACACAAGGTAACAGATTTCTCAAAATATCGCTTATCTCATCAATGACCACCTTACCATCGCGATCTTGTCGCCGAGAGATAAACTGTGCGACACAGATAAATCTGATAACGTTCTCATTTATAGTCAGCTTGAAGAATTAGTTCACAAGCGCGAGGTACTCTTCTGTCGTCAATAAGTATAACTGAGATCCGAGACTTCTCATTTGTCGCTCTGTAACGCGCTGATTGTGCTACGAATTTTTGAACAATTAATGAACGTGGGCGCGCACGCGTTGTCTGCCAAATCAAGGGGCGGGTCTCATTCGTATTCCACGGGGATATCGTTCACTAGTAGAGATCGCTCGATCTTTGACACGAGGTCCCGAACTTACCAGCCTCTTGGCATTGGAATCCGCCCCTTGGTTCAACAGCTCGGTCACGGCGTCGATGTGGCCACCGGCGGCGGCCAGTATCAAAGGTGTCGTGCCGTCCTGAAAGAAAAAAACGACCCCGTTTGCAAAACTCAACCAATCCCAATCCGAGAATCGACAATTTCTAGTCTGATCTGGCCTTAACGCAATTAGCACACGTGTACAGTGATGGACAGAATGGTTGCGACTCTTCTTTTTAATGAGTTTAGAAACGCGCATTCCTCGGAAAAGAAGATTTTGGAACGTTGAAAAGTGTCTAAAAAAAAGTGTCGCGACCGTTTTGTCCATCACTGTACGCGTGTCGGTATACGCAGCCGTGAGAGCTCGTCGGAAAGCGACAATTTGCGCGCAAAAAGATGTCCCTGAACGTTACTATCGTTAAAAATGCAAATCGACGAATAATTTGCAAAATAGCGTTCGACGCTTCGAATAGACGGAAAAAGTCGCGAATGACAGGAAGTGCCATTGACGCTCGATGACGATATAATAGCGATTCGATTCGGTTCTGACACTGACACAATTCCACGTGGAGAGCTCGCGACAAAATACCGCGCTGGTAAAAACCGCGTTCGGTTTCCAGGCCGAAAAGTGGCACGATTAGTGTTCGCGCTGATCTAATAAACCACTTTCGAGACGCTGAGAGGAGTGTAAACGTTATTCGTGCCGCTCATCGTCGTTTGCATAATGAGTCGACCGACAGCGGTGGAGAGAAAATCGCGCGATATCGCTGATCTATCGCGAGGCCATTGCAGTCAGGAGCGCGAGCTACCACCTAATCGATTTCCGGCAATCTCAGGCCGATCGCATTGTCTCGAACTGATCGACGGAATCGATTTTGCGCCGATAAAACCGACTGGGTCCAATCGGACACTCGCGTTCCTAAGAAGCGTACTGATATTATCGTCTTCGCACGAACGACTCTCGCGCAACTTCCTTTTTACTCCGAATTCCACATCCTCGCGAAAACTTGATGCTCCACTTGGACTATCGCGAGGCTTTCGATCGTTTCAGGAAGTCGCGCTCTGAGAAGTGTCCGTGAAACTGAGGGGATTACACAGTGCTGACCTTGTCCTTGCAATCAACGTGGACGCGTCCGGAATCCAATAAAATACCAAGGCGCTTGGCGTCCCCGCGTGCCGCCGCCAAATGCAGCTCCACGTCCCAAGGCGATTCTTTCTGGAAAAGCGAGAATCAAAGGTAGAGGGGTTAATAAAACGGCTAATTAAATTCTCGTTTCCTAGTTTACGTAAGGCGGTTACGATCGGAGCAACGCGAATGAAGAAAAGGTCTAAAAGTTATACGCCTCGGGAATATATCGAAGCCATTAAACATATCGCGATAGCGCAACATTGAAGAAAACAGCACGCTTTCTTTGAAAAAAAAAATATATATATATTGCGTGGAACATTTAAAATAAGACACGAGAATTTAGAACTGTTAATCGAGAAAATCTGGAATCTCAAAAAACTGACAAAGTATCAGGAGAACATGATTAGCAAAGAGGTGGCGCTATCTAAATTTCCAAAAATTGGAATTCCGATAATTTCGAACTTTTAATCGCGAAAATCTGGAATCTCGAAAAAACTGACAAAGTATCTGGAGAACATGATCAGCAAAGAGGTGACACTATCGGCTCCACAATCTCGATGATATGCTCGCGGTTGTCATCGGAATCCTCGTGTCTCGCCTTTATTCCTGTCGTTTACGACTTCTAACGGTGAACGCGCGGCCCAACCTTTTCCCGAGCGTCCTCACTGGTCCTTCGCCGCGACGACGATCGAAATAATACGTCGACCTTCGCCTTCGAGTGTTTATGAAGTGATGCGACCCGCGGGCAACGCGTTCCCGAAGAGACGGAAGGAGAGAGAAAATATCCCAAGTTGGATCTCCCGACGAAATAAATACCTGTGTCCACGGCGAGAGTGGCTCTCGCGGATTTACGTCTTAACGGAACCCGCGCCACGAAATATCTCGGAGGAATTCCACGGACGGGCGGGGAAAATGTGGGCTCGTAGACCCGATATCTGTAACTCTGGTGCCCGTTAGCCCGTAGTTTACCGATTCCGGACGCGCATCACGGATCGCAAATGTAAAATTGCAGGACTCGTCGGGCCGTACGCTCAATGACGCGGAAAAATCCCGTCGCGAGATTTCGCGGCGATACCGTTTCCAGCGCAAGCAGCCCGGCTTCCCTCGGGTATGTGGAACGCGAGAGACAAATCGTCTCGTGTCGACGAAAATTATGACATCGCGACGCCTCTTGCTGTTAAAATATTTCCGTGACACCGCGACTTATTTTAGAATAATTCATCGAGGGAGGAAGCAGAAAAGTGCGAACGCGTCTTGTGGAAGCTTGTATTACTTCATGTCATCGATCGTTACGAGATCAAGTACGAAACGAATAGAAAAAAAACTTGAAATACGCAAATTAAAAATTTTTTTTGTTTAGAAAAGAATTGTTAAATATAATTATAAAACTAGGAAGATGGTTTTTTTAGTCGAGCCTCAAAATTGTAAGATGAAATATTATCATAACACTAAAATATTCGAGCATTAATCGTCACTGCGGAGTGGGCGCAAGTATGAGAGTTTTGACGGCACACGTCAAACTGCCAGCTGTTCCTTCGAAGTCTCTCTCAAGTACTCAATAAATCAACGATTTATCCCGACCCTGCGCACGTGTGATTTACATATAACATCGTAATTGCACTCGCGGCACATCAACTTTGAGACGAAGCAGACAACTTGCTCCACAAGTTAAAGCTTTAAATAAACAATTAATAAAATCCACAAGGCCCCAATGTGAAAACACAAATTCGAAGTGATAAAGGAATAAGAGCCAAGACAGGATATCAGTGTTTAAATAATTTTAATTTGTAACAATCTAGAAAAATTGATAACCGACACAACTGGCAATTTTAATTAGAGAAAATTTATCGCGAAAAAATATCACCACAGCCAGGGTTTAAACCTGGACTTTCCCACACTCTGGGCGGGCATCTCGCCAATTCGGCCACAGAGACTTTAACTATTAAATCCATTGCGAAAAATAAAACCTCAGCTAGGGTCTGAATCTGGCTTTAAATGAACTTGTTACGTTTTTATTGTGAATTCGCAACCGGAAAGTTATTAAGTAAATTATTTCACGTTTTGTCCCGAATTCATAATTAGTTTTGGCGTTTAAATTGACATATTCCGTGCCCAACAATTTCGCCTGTTTCGCGTCTCCGCGTCGCGAGCGCGTGTCTGTGACGGCGATAATTTCCGAACGCGGCTTTCGCGGAGCTGCCGCACTTTTCTCCGCAGTCTCGGCCGTAATTAGCCGTGCGCGGCCGACAATTAAAGCTTTAATTAAAATATCAAAACAACCGAGATTCATGCCGATTCCGGCATGCGTGACTTACCCCCCTCCCGTCGTGTACATTCGTGCTTAATTTGTTACGACGTTCTAACATCGAAAAACTTTAAATAGCGTTTATTATCCTCGAAATTGCTTATTGCAGATTCTAGCTGGAAGAATTGCAATGCGTCCGTGTCTTAAATTTAAAGGCCGCTTTAAACGATCCAGTAGTTGGCGTCAGAATACAATTTCACAAGTTTGTACGTTTTGATTTACATGCACGTACATTATATCTCGTGCATATTCCGATTCTTCAAACGTGCCTGTGAAAATCTACAATTACAAATAGGAGCCTTTCCCGCATATATTTATCACTTAAACGTAACGTACAAGTTACACCAAATCGTTACGTTTATTAAGTTCTAAATGTCAAAGAATGAATTACACGGAGAGAACTTTCTTGTTAATAGAATTTCATATGTAGTCGTGGGACAACGTGGCATTTCGAAGAGTTTGACGAGGGACTTTTTAAATGTTACTATAATTTTTAATTTAATTTAATTTACTGCTAAAGAGATACCGTGGAAGAAACGGTGCAAATTGAAAATCTCCCCTCCGTGCAGCGAAGGCCGCAGAGTGCGTGGATCCCGCGAACCAGCGTCGCGGATTTATCAACCAGTTGTTAACGAGGCTGATTCGCGAGGTCTGATGTAAAACCTTACGTAACGCGCATAGGGAAAATATGATGAACAAGCCATTAAGCGCCGACGTCGGCAACGATGACCGGAGCGGACTCTACACACCGCTCGATATTATGCAACGCGTGTGTCACGAACAATATCGCGCTGATAGTGTCCATCCGCGGTTCGTAAACTCGAGCACGTCGCAGCCATGACAATTACGCGATCACAATTGTCATCGAACTGTCGCGCGCGGCTGGTTCCGTCTCCCTGAAAACGCCAGGATGACCGGCCGTGTCGTATCGTATCCTCGCGGTCCAGTTTTCTCTTCCCGGAAATCCGGGGTGGAAGGGAGGGAGGGAGGGAGTCGCGCGATCGAGCGGCGCCTCGGCCGCGACAAACTTTCGTTTTTAATCGCGCCTCGCGACCATTCATCGTCGCGGATCAGGTGGTCAATTCTCTATCTTGCGCCATAGCGGAAATGCTAAAAGTGAGTAGCCTGGTCTCTTTCCAACTGTCCCCTAGAAAAGGGACGAAGCCGCTCGCTTTTACGCCTAATCTACAATGCGTTCTTTGCGTCTAGAAACATATGGTCGTACATGAGCGAATCGAAGTGCTTAAAAAAATTTGTCGGCAACGTACGATTGTAATATACAACGTATAATTTGTCAACTTGCACACATTTTTTTAATGTATTTATTGGACACAAAACAGATTGTAGATTAGCCTTTAAGCCTAATCTACAATGTGCTCTTTGCATCTGGAAACATTCTATTTTATATAAGTAAATCGTTTTAAAAAATCGTCGATAACGTACGATTGTACAAGGTATAATGTATAATTTATCAACTTGCACAAATTTTTTAAACGTACTTATTCGCTGCAAAATAGAATGTTTCTATTGTGGACGCAAAGAGCACATTGTAGATCGGGTTTTAGCATTTTCGCTATAACTCTCGACGACAATACTGTATTTAGGCGTCGAACATAGTTGTCTCTGTAGGTATTATTCTTATTACTCTTAACGCTAATTAATCTAAGTTTTAAGTTTTTATAATTGTCTAAAAAATATTTGTTATGTAACACCTCCCATAATTCTTTGATCCAGTAGGAAAAATAGTATCGTGTGCCGTTGGCTCTAGTCCTTAGACTCTAGTCTCACCGAGGATGGCCCGAAAATGGGTCGAAACGTTTCAAGATCGATTAATAAATTCAATAAAAAGTTTCACATTGGATATTTTCGCACGAATACCTGCGATTGGCTCGCACTGGCCCTCTTCCCCCCCCCCCCCACCAAATCATTCTCACTATGTTGCAAGATACAGAATTGACTCCCAGAAATAACGCCGCGCTATAACGCGAGAAATAAGACGCACTCGTATATTTCTCTGGCGCGCTTTTAATAGGCTTTTCGCTCGCCCGGCGAATCACGCTCGGCGTCGCGCGACGCGACGGATAACGATTGCAACAAAAAAAAGAAGGAAAATGCATCAAGGGCCGATCGCGATAGGAGAGCGATGTTTTCTCTCTCCCCCCCGGAAGAGAAAACAATCGACTCGTCGGAGATAAAAGCGCGGGCGACGATAAGCGATGATGCATCCGCGAATAAATGAACCGTGCCAGGAAGCTCGGCGCGGTACCATCAATCCTGTGCGGTCCAGATTGTTTTTCAGGCCCGGTTTTTCATCTTCCGGTTGAAACTCTGAAGCCCAATCCACGATGTGCTCTTTGCGTCCACACGGAGAGAATCTTCTCTCAAAATTTACCCGGAAAATCGTGGGACGACCGGGCATTGTGGAGTTTTTTTGAAATTTTATCATACATTTTACCAGTAACAAACCTCCGGTTGACGATTGACCAGAAGACGAAAAACCGGGGCCCCAAGTAACAGACCGTCATTTGTCTCGCGCGTAACGAGCGTCTCGAGCTGAAATCGTGCCAAATGACGGATCAGATCGCGGGCCAGAGAGAGAGAGGCTGGTCTTAATTGTCAGATGCGATGCGAGGGGGTGGCGAGGGGCGCGTGTCAATTTCACTCCTCCAACCGCTGCTAATCGACCAAAACACGGACGCGAGTACCCGAGCTGCCTCGCGTCGCGAGTACCGGGGGACGTCGTCCGGGCGGCCGCGGGGGAGGAACATCCCCCGCGGGAGGGGGGGAGGAGACACGTCCGAATCTCGGCGCTTCTCTGCCGCACACTCACCTTCATGGACATGTTGAATCGCAGCGGCGAGCGTAGCCCGATCGATCGTTCGTTCAATCCTTCCCAGGCGCATCGCACGTTCCGCCGCGCGTCGAGCGTGAAAAACAAGCGCGACACATCCACCGTCCGTTCAGCGCGAAGCGCGCCCCGCTACTGAACGCGAGCCACTAGCGCGGGCCCGCTTTGAGGCACGCCGCTCTGCGCCCCGCTCCGCTCCGCGCGGAGCGTTCCGCCCGTGCGCGCTCGAACATTCTGCGTGCCGCAACAATCGAGCGCGGGTATAGTTGTTGTTGTTGGTCTAATTAATGGCTCCCGGTCCAATCGCTGGTTCGACACGGCCACACGCGGGTATAGATATTTAACAATTGAATAAGTTGGACGGCGGCGAGCGACATTGAGCGTCTTCCTCTCTCTTCGACTTTCCAACTTCACGTCCGTGTCTCCCTTTCAAGTGCAGAAAGTGCTGCGCAGCGCCGCTTCCGTACGGCGCAGGCGCAGGCGCAATCTCGGCCCGTTCTTTCCGTTCCGCAGCACCTTGAGCGAACGACGTGCGGATTACGAGCGACAGGTATTCAATAAATAATCCACGCGGCTGTACTTTGCACGCTCGTGCGGCGCGCTGATCCTCCGTCTTACGGTACTGTTGCAGCTGCCGAAGCAAAATGGAGAACGATCTGGGAAATCTGGTCGACCTGTACATCCCCCGGAAATGGTAAGACGCACGTGGATCACGGATGATACTCGTAAACTCTCGCAGCGTACGCGAGCGAGAGTCTCGCGCCGGTGACGTGCGATGAGATTCGCGTGGATTTTCCCCGTTCGGCGAGGTCTCGGCTCCGGAGATCCGCGCCGCGTGCGACGAACGCACGGCGATTAGGAAGTGAGGTTAGGTTTAGGCGACTCCGTACGGGTCTGCGAATCTGCCGGTGAAGAGACCCTTCGGCTGTTCCGCCCCTCGTCGTCTTCGCATTCGAAGCGTCGCACAGTGCATTCGGTTGCTTTCACTAGTGCACACCGAGTGCACACAGGCTTATCAATGGTCTATTCTTATATTTACGTTAGACTTGTGTACACGCACCAGCATAAATGCTGTCCCTATCCTTGTGAGGTGCACGCACACAACTAGAGTCCCTGTAGTTGTGTGCGTGCAACTCACAAGGACAGGGACAGCATTTATGCCGGTGCGTGTACACGTTTAAAAATTACCTGGCCGGGGGAACACGATCCGTACATGGATGCTGTACAGGGGCCCCGAATCTCGAAATCATTCGAAGGAGAACCGTATACGAACATTCTGCTCTGACAGAAAAGTTGAAAGTCGATTGGTTGAAGCCACGCAAATAGCCAATCAACTTGCAACTTTTCTGTGAGAGAGCAGAATTTTCGCATACGTTTCTCCTTCGAATAAATTCAAGAATCGAGCCCCAGGTCGTTTTGCCCCCGGCTGGGAAGTATCTCAAGAGGTATTTAAGACGGTCCTTAAATGTAAGAATTGACTGTGAGCGAGCCTTGGTATACGCATAAAGCGTGCTCTCTCTCTCTCTCGCTGGAACGAATGGAGCCGAGCCTTGAACCGCTGGTTTCTTTCTTTCTGTCGCAGCTCGGCGAGTAATCGTATCATCCACGCCAAGGATCACGCGTCTATACAGCTGACTCTGGCCGATGTCGATCCGGAAACTGGACGCATGACCGATACCCACAAGATGTACGCGATCTGCGGAGCGATCCGTCGAATGGTACGTTCGAAGTTTACTTGTGCCCGTTCTACACCTAGGGATGGATCCTACTTGTGGCTCATCCGAGTAGAGAAGTTCACACGAGCATTTTAGTACGACTATCGTACTCAGTATAGTTTTTGTATGATTTCACTATGGTTTTTAACCGTCTTCTTATGTAGAAATGGCACCCGAGTCCATAAACGAGTCTCAATACGACGATCTTCGCCCATTTATTTACTCACTCGGATGAGCCACAAGTAGGATCGTCCCCAAGTGTAGAACGGGCATTGCGTACGTTTGTAGATCTGTGTAACTTGCGTCCTCCCCTCGATGTCTCCCGGAATCTGAAATTATTATGCTATTAGTTGAGAGATACAGTATTTCTGCGAGTTATATAATATTATCAATATTTCAACGTAATTAGTGTCAAACCTGATAAAATCATGCTCCATTTTCATGTGCGCAGGGAGAGTCCGACGACTGCATCGTGAGATTGACGAAGAATGATGGATTATTATCTAAAAACTTTTGATCTAAGTTATGTGGCGAGTTTATTTTCAATAAATTAAAAAGATAAACCGGATTTGGTGGCTGCTCTTTTGGAAACCTTTGCGATAGTTGCATGTAAACACACACACACACACACACACACACACACACACACACACACACACACACACACACACACACACACACACGAAACAAGTAGCGTTGCATGTGTTCATTTACTTGAGATAGACGACAGTAATTTAAAATAAGTTCCTGTCAACGATCTTGCGTGTATGTGTGTGTGTATGCGAAGTAGAAAGATTTGATGAAAGAAAGGAATAAAATTAATATGACTTTTCTTTCAACTAGGTGAGTATCAATTTTAGTGTTAATTAGATTGTTGTTTAATAAATATTCATAGATTAGATTTTGAATATTTAGTTTTATACTTTATTTTTCAAAAAGTAGATGCATAATGTAAGTTGACCGGCAAAGCTACTCCTTTAGTGTGCTCTACTTAAGTTGTCATTGAATTTAATTGAAATTTAACTAGACAATAGCGAGAGATTAAAAAAAGAACCTTGATATTTTGAAGTTTAAAATAATTAAAATGTCTCACGAAAATTGGAAATAAAATAAGTTACTTATTTTGTTAAAAACTGCCAAGGTTTGTGAAAATCCATTTGATATCCACGGAGATCCGCCTTTCTCCTTAAACTAAATCATACGTAAATAATATTCTAGAGTTTCTTTTTATCCAAGTGCACAGTACGCTGAAATGCATAAGAAACGTTTACCAAAATGTTGTTAGTTTATCAAGTCCAAAATCGCAACGAGAAATGTCTTTTCAAGAACGTTTAAAGTATACGAATCCTATGTATTTTGGCGAAACATTCGTCGATAAATAACGCGAGAATAGCCGCTCCGTAAAATCTTTTGCGTAATTAGATGAGGAAAACGATTGCATCCTCGTAACAATGTGAAAAGTTTTATAACATATTTTAGAGATAATATTGATGAAACAAAACGAACCGTATTTATTTGTTTCCAAAACAACGCGATGGGTTGATGTATATTTTGTTCTACTAGAAAACACATTGCAAGTAGTTTCCCAGCATGCGAATTTCACCGCCCGATCTTGTGCGCGCAAATTATTATCTAAAAGAATACAATTAATAATTATATTATTAAAGAAATACAATATATAAAATATATTTTCTAATTAAACGATAGCGAGATTTTGACTATGCGTCCGTAGAGACGAACGAAGGATCGTAAACATTGTTAGCAGAATGTATTCGAGTAAGAGGTTAGCGAGAATTAGACTTTTACATCGTCGGAAATATCCGAAAAATCCTTCCGAAGTATTAGGAGCGCATAACGGCGAGAAAGTTGGTGGAGGTATCCGACGCTGTTTTACCATATCACCGCCGGCGCCATCTATGAGCGCAGCAGAAAGCTGGTAGCGACTACGCGATGGTAAAAGTGAAATTATAAGCATTTATTGATTTTCTCTTTAATTAATTTAAAAATGACGGTACTTTACTAAAGTAAAGTAATATAAAATAAATTATTTCAAAGAATATGAAATGCAACTGAAACAATGTATATGCATGTACATGAGTTACACATACATATAATGTATATACATACCTTTATTTCATGATCTTTTTGTGTATATACATTGCACATGGCATGTACATGCACGTTATATATATTATATGCATGTATATGTACAAATTATGTACATCTTATGTACTTGTACTACATGTACCTGTAATAGACAACAAATTAATATGTCATGTACATAAAATGTGTAAATTATCACATTTACGATGGAAACAATTAGTGCTCGCGGGCGTATATCCTATGTGATATTTATTATGTATTTTATACATACAGTTACAAGTATGAAATATCTTTATATACAGGTATAATACACATTGATATAATATGACTTCTCCACACATATCAGATACCATAGTAACGCTTCGTGAATTACGCTCGTAAAATTATGTTCGTGTGAATACTTTTCAGTTATATAAAAATAAAAACTATCACTAAAGTGTGTACGTAATCGTGTCGTGCCATGTACATACATTTGGGATTAACTATTCTTAAAAAATTTTAATCGATCAAGAAGAAGCTCTATGTATCTCTTACATTAAGATCCATTCTTTTACATATACATAGAATAGGAAGAAGTTAATCGGCGCGTTTCACTGTCGATTACGAATACTAGATCTTTCAAGAAAACTAACGGTTTGATACTTTTAGACAATGTCGTCTACTATATGCACAATTTGCTATCGTTATTATCGTTTAAGGACTTTTACATCAACTTATTTCATACCATGATTATACTTTTTTTTTTAAATTGAATGAACGAAGATACAACTGACTTTATAAAAATTCAAAATTCTGGAAAAAAACTGTCTCTAATTAATCCGTTTCTTCTTCTCATAATAAGTTATTCGTGTAACTTATACGACAAAATTAATTTGCAATACTTACTGAAATTCTTTATGAATGAATCAGCTAATAAGAAAGTTGTATTATTGGAAGGCGATGATCAGTTATCAAATAATACTGCATATCAAAATGGCTTTACATGTCCTTAGATTAGCTTTTGCATCGTTTACGCATATTATTTACTAATAGGGCGATTTCTTATACGTATACTTCTATGCAGACACTTAAAAAATTGGTATAAATTCTGAATTGGTATCTCGGTCAACTTACAAAAAATATTACTTCTGTTTAACATGACATATTTTTCTTCCATTATTTCCCATATATTAACTTGGTTTACTGGAATTTGCTATAATGTAAAGAAATATTTATACGATGTCCATCAAGAAGGAATTTTGTAATGTTTTGGTGGAAATTTCTAGGCAAATGTACAAGTAATTTTTAACATTTTTAACTATAGATTCAATATTTCGACTTGTCTTTTATAATAGTTAAGAAAAATAATATCTGAGAGAAATATGTGACGTTTGCATATAATAATGTCTACTGTAAAGCAAAATTGTAGCGATAAATAAATCTATACGTAAATAACAAAAATATTGATGTACAATCGACATTTGTCGATATTTTACATGTTGCATTTCTCGCAATTGTTTGATGTCTGCGACATATCTGCGAAAAACAGAAATAGTTGGGCACATGCCCAAAAAAATTTTTAGTGTCATTTCCTTAGGTTGTTTCCTTAAAAACGCATTGCGTCAGTATTACATATTTGAAAACTCGTGTTACTTGTACATGGATAATTTTAAAGCGATAGAATTATTTTCAGATTTTTACCCTGAGTACTCACTATTGACGAGCTATTATACATTTGCGATAATTGATAGGTAGGCCAATATATTCCTTGTTAGAGAAATTTAAAAAAATAATAACAAAAATATACTGTTTTAATAAACATTTAAAAAGTAATCATACTAATATTTAATACAATAGTTTGAAATTGAACCTATTTATCTTGTAAAAGAGATATTAAATCAAATTATTAAATTACACGACGCATGATGCATTGCTTCATTCGCAAAAGAGTGTTTATAACAAAAATATAGATAAGAACTATATATAAAAGTTCTGACGCGACTTCTCGGTATTGTGATAAATGAACTTGTATTGTTCATAGCTATCGTATTGCACGTATTGTCATTCATGCAAATGCGTTTCTCTTCAAATTAAAAGTTGTAAACGCTAATAATATATAAATTCCTGCGACAAGCAATTTTCTCCTTCATTTTCTCTAAGATAGCTACGCATAAAAATAGATGTACTACTTTTCTTACACATTAATTACCATGTGTCATCCATTCAGGGTAGGTGTGTCTGATAAAGAATGAACGCGATTAAATCTACGATTTTTCAACGTTGTCATAGCTTCCATGAGGTCGGTTCGTTTACTAAAGAAGTCTACTATTGCTTGGCCAGTCAGAGCAGATGCCAAAAACTGCTCGACAGTTATCGACCAATCGGGATCAGCGGACGATGCTATGCTCGATGGATTTCCATTACGGTCAGGCGACTGAGAAAGAAAGGAGTATCGAGTTAATAAATTTCCTGGTGCAATAAAAAGCATCGATTGCCGGCGCAAGTAAAAATACGCACCCTTTCGATAACTGAAGAAGCTTGTTGAGCTGCAGATGCAGCTAGAAGTAAGCTATCTTCAGATTCTTCTCTCTCCACATAGAATTTCTTGCCAACGTCTCCTAATTGGAGCAGCAAGGTGCCTACGATTTTTGCATTATGTTATCTATTTGTAATGAAACACATTACGATACAAAATTCTTTAAATATGTACAACGATGTAGATATATTACCTATGGAAGCAATGCAATGGTATGTTTCCTGTTCTTCGGGTTGAGCAGGAAACATGTCGTAAAGAGTTTTCCATAATGCTATAAAGTGTCTCTGAGACATTTTTGGCACGGTTTTCAGATCCAATGGACTGTCCTTTGACGCTATCATCGAACGTAAGCTACCCATACTCTGAACTTCCCACGATTGATCACCTGGTTGGCTGTTCAAGCTCGTGGATCGTGATAATGTGCCCACGGTCGGCTCTTCTGCCACGCTAACTGGCATTTCCAAGGAAGCTACGCTCTGTTCCATGCTGTCGAAAAAATCTGTAGCTTCTGCTGCCACTTCAGCTCCATCTAATCAATTTATAAATTTATATCGTAACACATCTCGCAAGAGAACCAACATATTTGACATATACGTGGCTTTCATATATCTATATTGCTGAATGTCTACCTGCTGAATGTGTTGGCGATTCAAAGTCGGTAGGCAAAAGAAGTGGCGGTAAATGCAACGTATACAATAGCTTTAATCTCTGCGTTAAATCAGCTGTTGCTGTCATCCCTATAGCTTGCACTAGTTCCCGAAAGTTTAGTAAACCGTCACGATTACGGTCCATCAACTAAAAGCATGTTTTAAAGTAAAGTAACTGCTCGTAATAAATTCTCGTAGAACACAATTTAAAAAAAAAATTAATTTTATTATTACGCAGAGGTTTACAAGAAGTTTGCGTGTTAATCGAACTAGGATTAATTTATTTTTAAAGACTGAACTTACACGGAACAGTCGCGCAGAAAGAGATTCGGCTTGAGTGCATTTTCCCCACGGGGATAAACCACCGAATAATATTCTGAATAAGTCAAAGTCCACTTTGTACGCTTCGTACGGCGGTTGAGTCGGATCGTAGCGGTCAGGTTCGGACTTTCGTTGGCTCATTAGCTCTTCTCTCACTAAACTCAACAGTTCCTGCATACATAGCACAATTAAAGTATTTACAGCCACGTCCCACGGTTTGCCTATGTAAAATTATCCCAAGTTACCTGCAATTCTTCCATCTTCATATATTTATCAACAATGACGCTTCTGATTACGTTCTTCTCAATTCCTTCTTCGAGGCTTTGAACTACCCTCAGTCTGTGCTTCAGGCGCAATCTTTCTATTCCACCAATTGTCAAAGTTCCATACCTCGAGTATGCTTCATAAATTAACGTTTGGACAGATATACTCTACGGTGGCAAACATATTTTGGCTATGTTAGAGCCGGAGATTAGATCAAGAGGGGTACGTACATAAAATAATCAGAATGCGTGTTCTTACCTTACTGGGTGACGCACTGTCAACCGGTCTGGGAAATATCGGGCCCTCGTCGTTATAAACACCACCAAGGTAATCTGTTAGCAGTTGCATAGCTTCTCCGTCATCGCGACAATTGAGTAACTTGTCTTGGTTCCAATCCAACACAGTCAATGCTATCTAATAAAGCAAAAGGGATCTATTTGTTTCTAATGCTTCTGTATTTATTACACACAGCAAAACGGATTTATTAAAAGAGCTTTTTATATTATACAATAATCTGTTAGGATTTAACAACATCACTTCCATCGAACGAGCTCATCGGCGGAAAGTATGACAAAAATATACATTGCTAGCGTATTACCTGAAAAATAACCTTTGCTCCATCGTAGAAGAAGCAATCCATGATATTCACAGCGCTGCTAGTTGGCATCACGCTCAAGAATATAGTTAAAAACCAAGATAACGAGATAACTTTAATTAAGCCAAGCTCTTGCAACTTAGCGTGCAAAACTGGCAAATGCTCGGCCGCCAGTTCCTCTAAAAGGCCTTGGTCAACGAGGGCACCGACTACTCTTCTATCATAGTAATCCGGCAGCAGTGATTCACAAACATTACATAACTGCCAGAACGCCGACTCCTCAGAGCAATAAATTAGCAGAACAGAAGCCACTATGTTCATTGCCTGGCAGTAACCTGCAAAAGCATACAACATTTAAAAAAAATTCTTACTTTGTATTAACGTAGTGCCGCGTTAAATAGCATGATTTAATTACTTTTTAACGGATATTGCATAAAATGAGATAATAAAAAAATTCCGTCTTATAATTAATTAAAGACTCGGCTCGTAGAAATTTCAAATTGCTATATTAAAAACGAGTAGAAAACAATCGTTGACTTGCCGATCTGAGGATTTCGCCACGCATAGGCAGACAGCACCCTCCGTAGTGCGCTGATTCCAGTGTCCGACTGGAAGGCTGGATGTTCCGGTAACGATCTATGCAAATCCCTCTCGATTTCCTCGTTCGCTTGACACGATTTGCCAAGGGATTGCTCGACCAACGATTTGTATAAATCTGGATTCATTGCCTTCTCATTTAAGGCACCTGTAACAAAGCAAAGCGTGTCCTGTGCATTAAAACTCAGCATTATTTGCAAAATATACTGTGTCGTTTCATGTATTACCAGAAAAGGTGAGCCAAACTTCCCCTCTGAGAGTCTGCGGTATTCCTTGAATAACGAGTTTTGTAGTTTCCGTAGTTCTGTACATTGTAATTCCTCTTCCGTATTCCGCAAAATGAAGCTCCCATTGCTTCTCTTTGGCCTCTTGCTTCAACGCGGCTTCGGGGGTCAACGGGGCCTTAAAAAGCACCATCAATGGCGGTTGCGGTTTCCACTGCTCCGTAGGTTTCGCCTCCTCGCAATTGCTGATGCTACTGCCCGAGGAATTTTGCAAACACACGTTATCTCTCGTTCTGCACAACAGAATTACAATTTGCACTGTTACATCCATATTTTAGATCGGTCGGAAAAGTGTAAAACGCAAAAACACGTACATGTAGTTAAGCTTGGACTTCGCTAAGAGCTCGGAAATTTTCTGCACCACGAAATCTCTGTCGTGTATCTGAGCGAACAGAAACGACGAACGCGCCGTCGTAACCAATATCGACTTATCCGCTCCCGTGCTGGACTGATTCTCCGCCGGTTCAACGAGCGTCACTTCCCTCAGAGGTATAACCAAACTGACCTGCCTTCTTACCTAGGCAGATACAAGCAACAAGTTAACTTCACAATCAACGCACACGTAACGTTTACTCGTTCCAGAAAGATATTTACCCTACTTTCAAAACAAAGATAATTTTGAGATAAGTATATCTTCCCCCAGACATATCTTTTGCTGTACGGAGTCCATAAAGTGACGTCGATGCTACCGTCCAACTTCTCGGCGCCCGGCAATCTAAATTGAAGCCTGTACGTTTCCGAATGCGCTCGAGCATCCAGATCCCTCTTCAAGAAAGACGGCTTCTTAGGCACATTTTTGCTAAATTAAGAATTCGATATTTATTAATTTTTGCCCGCAAGTTTCTAAAAAAAAGTAATACAACCGTACATCGGTGTACCTTAATTTATTCAGTAGGTCTCTATCCTCGTTAAATCCACTCTTTTCGTCAATGAGTCTAAGAAAAAGACGAATAAGAATTAACTTGCGGCAAACTAACGCATAAATGCAAAGCTAGCTGTTCGTTTAAATACTCGTTGCATGCACATTTTACTAAACCAGTACCTTTTCATAGCGATATTGGTCAGTTGCTCCATCAACGAGTACGTTTCCGATTTATGTAAAAACATGGAAAAATAATGCTGCAACACAGTGGAAAAAGTTAAACGTCGACAACTGATTGATTGCCATGCAGAATGTATCACGACGTGCGTCGATAACAATACGGGGAATTGCAAGCGCGTTAACACACACCTCTTTATTGTCGCGTGTCACAACACGTATACTATCTGGAACTAAGAGGGCATTGGTTTTGCTCAATTCCGTAATGTCTGTCCATCTTACGGTCAGCTTCGTCTCTCTGGCCAGTATGTAAGCGTAAAAGCACATGTGATTTACAGATAAGTAGAGCCATCCTTGTCTAGGTAAACGTGACTTCCAGTAACTAAAAAGGAAAATATAACCATCTCACGACTCCACTACCAAATGTACTCGGATGTTATTACGTGATCTTTATGTATATATTTGAAATCTAAAGACCTGCATGAGTAATAATTGACCAACTTGTCCTCTTTGGGTATATTGAACAATTGGTGGAATTTAAAGGACACAGTTTTAAAAGACTCTGGGTCTTCTTCTGCGAACAACATTAATGCTTAATTTATACGTTCGCACGATCGTGCAAATTTAAGTAACAACTGACGATTTTACCATCTGCAAACTGAGAATCTGGGATGCTATTTGCTATTATAGATTGAATTTTGCAGCAAACAAATTCCGTTATCTCCTCCTCGGTGTCGAAGGACGTCAGTGTGGTCATTAGATTCGAGTGGAGCCATTCCCAGTCCTGCAAAATCTCCTCGCGGGTCAAGGAACATGCCACTTCTGCAAGTTTTGAATGTAACAAGATGCATTAGAGATTCACAATCCCCTTCAGGGAAGACTAGAGACTCATTGTCGCCAGTAGATAAGTAACCAACGTAGGAAAGTAATAATCGACACACAACTGGCAAATTCTCATTAAAGAAAGTCCAGGTTCAAACCCTGGCTGAGGTAATACATTTCTTTAATTAGAATTTGCCAGTTGTGTCGATTATTTAATTGAAACAAAATACGTCTCGGTAGTTTTTCGCCGATTGCAATTGCACGATTATGAAACTCAACGTGGGTGAAAGCATCGAGCTTCTCGTGCTCCCTCGGCACTCGCTACACACAGTTGACGTTTATTTATGCTAATGCGACGTAGTTATCAGTTACTGTCTGCTATTATGGCTAGTACGGCAATACCCGCATTGCCCTTGGCTTTATATCTCTTTAAATGTCACACGAGCAGCAAAGTTAATATGTAAGAATTGTAATAAAGACCATTAGACAATTTAATTCATCAAATCTATAGATCTGCAGACAGGAATTATCTTCCATCTACTCTCCCACTTTTCCTTCAGATACTCCGCATTCTTTCTACCCTGGAGTCGTTAAAAAGTTCAATTACACTCCAATATATACCCCAATAGACTTCCGACGATGGTGTCTGATGGAGAATTCTAAAAGGCGGTGGTTTGGTGTCGAAAACACTGTCCAACGTGCCCACCAGTATGGAGGTGAGGCCTTTCGTTTTCCCATGTCCTTTGCGACGTTGCAAAACAAAGTACACAGTCGCCTGCTCGGTAATCCTGTGTATTAGAAAATGAACACGGGTTATATACACGCTATATGAATGTCACCCGTCGGGAAAGTGGAGTCCCTCGAGGTGACCGTAGGACGAGACTAAAAGTGATCTCCAACGGATACGTAACAGACATCTCCGAGACAATAACGAAGGGTACGATTCAACGAAGAAACGAGCTAAATTAACGAGAGATACAAGTTAAATTAAACGTTGAGAGACAACGTTGGCTCAATTCGAATACAGATAGGAGACCCCGAGGGACAAATATTAACTATCGTCCGTGGCATTTCGCCGACGGTCATCTCGTTCTCTCCCCGTTAACGCCTCTAATCCCTACTGTCATCCGTTATTGGCAATGTACATTTGAGGGCGCGCCAAATTAGCGTCGAACTATTCTCTCTTATCGCGTTTCGCCGATTTCGTCATTCGCGATCGCCGCTTATCGAGTCCGACCGTACACGCGCACGCACACACCTCCAGGCGCCAGGCGTCTCGCGCTATCGCGCGCCAAAAGAACGGCAATTCCCGTCGCGTTACGACGTTACGCGCCGGTGACGCGATAACGTTATCCCGCGCGGCCGAGACGGCGTCGGGGAAATACGACGTCGCCGAATCTGGCCGGGCGCGATAACGGCCGATACTTCCCGGCCCGCGGGGGCCTCCCGTCAGCTGTCTCGGGCCGCGATGTAAACACGCCGCGCGGCGGCCCCGCGCCGCGACCTGACGCGGCGACGCGAGGTAACCAGGACGTTTATACCAGAACGCGTTGGCGAGCAGCACCTCCTGCGGCTTCACCCACATCTCGACCGCCGTGCACGTCGCGCGAGGTACATATGGCACTGACGGGACGACGACGGCGACGACGGCGATGACAGCGGCGACGGCGAAGACGTCGCGCGCGCGCGCAATCCTCTCGCGGCAAGGGCCGGGCACGGCGCGCGGCAGGGAAGGAAAAGTAGCAGCGGGCCGACACTGGGCGAGACGCGGATAAACACCGACCGCGACGGCGGGCGGAGCGCGATCAGCTGCGACTCGCGCGGGGGGGCACGGCACGCGCACGGCGCGCTCGCCGCGCCGCGCGCGCGGAACGAGCGTCACTACTGTCGCTGCGCGGCAGAAGATACCGTTACTGGCGATCGATATCGCGTCCCTCGCGATCTCCCCGGCGTGTCCTCGACGCGGCGGCCTCTCGACGGCCACCCCCGAGGTCCAGGTGAATCTTTTCGGGCCGGCCGCCAGTCGCGGCGACGACACTGGACGACAGCGATAAGTTAGACGTGATTCGCTGTTTGTTTTATGTGCGTACCGTTTGCGTCTGTTGTTTCATGGTTGTCAGGTTTGTCAGGAGGTGCCGACCGTGTGTTGCGCGGCTTTGAGCCGCTGACAAGCTTGGCCGCGCGATCCTGGGATTGTCCGGCAGATTTAATTCGACCGCAGAATCTCGAGCGCCGAAGAGGAAAGCGAGGGGTATGCGAACCTGAAACATTAGCGTTGAGTTATTTCGACGCTAGAATGGATTGTTTATGCACGCAAGCGTTTAGGTCTATCGTCTTACGACTGTACTTTTCTCAGGAGGTCGCGTTTCAAGCCGCTGATAGTATGACCCTAGGAATTGCCGGCGAACTCGATCTTGTTGCGTGGAGTCTCTGATTAAAGGGACAAGTGCCGAGCAGGGAAGCCAAGGGTACGCAAGACTGAAGCGCATTGACGCCGAGCCGCCCGCGACAGGAGAATGGAATGTTTGGAAAGAATCGATCACCCGGGGTCGTGGGTGAAGGAAAAGTACCAGGAGGTTCAGGATTTGTTGAGGGAGCCCGAGGCGAAGTGCGACCCGAACAAGCTTTACGAGAGGAAGGTCAAAGCCGTGGAAATTCTCATGGAGATACTGGAGGCGCTTACGCACTGCAAGGAGACCCTCTGCACCGTGGCGGCTGCGATAACTTATTTAAATCTAGGTATATTGCAAGCTGACTTGGAGGACCGGGGCCTCGCCAAGGGATACTTCAGAAAGTGCATCGACCTGCTGGAGGAGAGCAAACTGACGGCCGAGGGCATTCTGCCGGCCGTCAGCGTCAACAATCAGTTGGGCCTAATTTACGCGGAGATAGGCTCGTACGAGGAGGCCAAGGATTTCTTCAAGCAAGCCGAGCACTTGTACGTCGAGTTCAAGAGGGACGTCAGCCGCGATCCCGTTCACATGGTGACCATCATGGGCATCGAGGAGATAGAGGGGGACCTGTGCGCCAAGAGCATTCTCGAGAAGCTTCACACGCTGACCCTGTATTACTTGGCGCAGGTCTGCCGGCAGCTGGACGACAAGTGCAGCTTCGCTCTGTATTGCCACAGGACGCTGAGCAAGCAGCTGAGTCAGAATAAGATCACGCAGGACCTGGATTACGTCGACTGGGCCCTCAACGCCGCGACGATATCCCAGTACTTTATAGAGCAGGACAAATTCCCGCAGGCGAGGCACCACCTGGCCGCGGCGACCTACATACTGGAGAGATACTCGGAGATCTTGAAGGCGAAAGGCACCAGGGAGACGAGCGAGAGCGTCGCCGCGGAATACGAAAATTACGATCACAGATCGGCGGACGTCGCCAGGTGCTGGGCCAAGTACGGCATCAGTCTTCTGGGGATGTCCAGGGAGAGATTGTTGAAGAAGGCCGAGCAGGAGGATCAGGATTCGAGGCCCGCGGAGCTTCCCAACGAAGTCTGCAAGTATTCGCAAACCGAGATGATGGAGGACCCGAGGTTTGTAGACCTGGAACCAGAACTGGAGTCCGTCACCAGTAAAATCACGGACGGGTACCTGTTGGACTTCAACGATGCTAGGTCGGTGTTCCTGAACGTTCGGAAGTGGCTGGCCGAGGCGAAGGAGTATTACACTTTCGAGAATCACGCGTCGGACTACGCCTGGATCGCGCAAGATCTCTCGCAGGCGTTCAAGCTCCTGGCGTTCTTCGAGGACAACGAGGACAGGCAGGCGAGAATGCACAAGCGGCGGACGGACATTCTGGAGGAGGTGATCGAGGGGCTGTGCCCGCGGTTCTACCGCGTTATCTGCCGGGAGATCTGGGTCGAGCTGGCGGAAACGTACTCGGAGATTCTCGACCTGAAGATCGATCGTTTGCAGGCGTCCGACGAGAAGCCGACGGCGCAGGTGGTGGCCAAGATCGAGCGGCTGGCGAGGAGCAGCATAAAGCACTACCAGTCGTACTTGAGTTCCCTGGAGACGAAAAAGTCCGAGGACGGAGTCGAGTCCTTCCCGGACGACCTGCTCTACCCGGCGTTGTACACGTACTTCCACGTGGGACGATTGTACAACAAGATCATAACTTCTGACGTACAGCAAAAGATAGAGAACATGCAGAAGAGCACGGACGCTTACAGCTTCGTCGTTGATTACTGCGACAAGCATCCCGAAAAGCAGGACAAGTTCAACAAGTACGAATTTATAAAATTGTCTCGGGAATTCGTCACGCTGCTGCCGCTCACGTTGGACAGATTGAAGCAGCAGCAAATAAATCAACAGTAACGTTACCTCTGCTCCTTTCTCACCTTACATTTCCGTCAAACTGTGACGTTTCGTTCCTTTTCTCTTCCGCGATTTTTTTACGAGTACAGATTCTGCGAAGCATGTATTTAAAATGAGTGCCGTGCGCTAGCCATCGGCTCGTTCCCTCGTGTATATTTTAATTAACGCACACAACATTAAAGATACATTCACGACGAAAAGCTATTTGTCTCTCTAGTCCCTGGAGTCCAATCTATTTTCTTGTGTTAAAACACGATGAGTATTTTTCATTCAATAAATGATATACCGTTTGTACAAAGATGGTACATAAGTATAAATGTATAATACATTAATGTAATTGACAATATAATAAATAATCGTCAATAGGGGAAAGTAGTTCTTGTTGAAACATTTATATCTTTCTTAATATGCGGGCGCTCGTACTTTTTCCAATTTCTATGTGACGCTAAAACTTCAATATACACAAAGGGCACAGTTTTATCAGAATAAATACTTTGCAAACATGCGTTTTTGCAGGAGAGATGACAATTGTCGCGCAATGCCTATGTAAAATGATCGAATTTCGCTAATTTATATCTCGGCAACCGTGTGGGTGAAAATTTTTTAAATAATTTTATAAAGTTCCTCGCATTTGGCTCTGCGGTATAAAAAAGTTTGGGATCAAAATATAGTGTACAGCATACGTGACGTATTCCCTTAACATTTGTACACGCGAAAACGTCGTAACGCCGCGCCTCGCGTCTGGCGGACGAGACGAAAATTGGACAAACTCGAACGTTTCGCGCCGCGCCTCTGCCAATCGCAGCCTCGACTGATAGCGCTGGTACGGGCTGCTGCGGGAGTAGATGTCAGCACGCGCGAGTTTCCCCCCTCGGTAACCCGCGGGTCGTCTGCAGAGCCGAGAGTCACGAGAGGGCCAAGAAGGAAGCCTCGTCGAAGCCTCGCAGCGCGGATCGGAGTCGGTTGTTCCCTTCGTTCGTTCATCGTGGGTGAGAAATGGCGTCTCTGGCGGGTGTCCGGCTGCTGGCGAGGAACGCCGGCTGCCTCAGGAGCTCGCTCGAGCGGCTGGGCCGCGCGGGCGGCGCGCTCGTTCAGATGCGGTGCGAGCAGAGGCTGCTGCATCGCGCCGCGCGCCAAATCGCGCCCGTCGTGCCGCAGGTAACGTTCGACGGGCAGCCCGGACACGTGGACCCGCGACCGTTCCACGGCCGGACAGGACCGTCCGCTGACTCGGCCGTGACTCCCGCGGCGCGCGCGCGCGTTATGTAACGGCAGGCGGAGCGGGGACGCGCGCCGACGAGACGTCACCGGGAGTCGTGCCGGGCTCTCGTCGGTCGATCTTGCGGAGGTCTTCCGCTTGTTTTGATCGCGCCTTCTCGCGCACTCGGCGTCCGCAGCTCTTCTGCCCAGTTGCGTTTAACAGTGGATCGCGCCTCTGCCCGATTCTACTGACGCGGTTCAACTTTAGTCTCGGCTCGACTTAGGACTCCGGCTTCACCGATGTCGTTTAACTTCAAGCCTAGTTTAATTCGCTCCTTGTCTCTTTCCAACTGTTACCTTAGATAGAGACGAATTAAACCGAGATTAAAGTTAACGTTTGGTGAAACCAGGCCCTACTCTTTGTTCTCTTCTAGTTTTACGAATCAGGCCCGCGGTTTTACCAAACGTTCAACTTTAATCTTGGTTTAATTCACGCCTGTCTCTTTCTAAAGTAACAGTTGAAAACTGACAACGAATTAAGCTAAGCTTAAAGTTAAACAACGTCGGTGAAACCGGACCTCAGGCTCGGTTTCACCAAACGTTCAGCTTTAATCTTGGTTCAATTCACGTCTGTCTCTTTCTAAAGTAACAGTTGGAAACGAAGATTGAATTAAGCTAAACTTAAAGTTAGCGACGTTAGTGAAAGGCCTAAGGCCTGGTTTCACCAAACGTCGTTCAATGTTGATCTTAGTTTAATTCACGTCTGTCTCTAAAGCGATAGAAACAGACAAATAAATCGAGTTATTCGACGCTGGTGAAGCCAGGCTGTAGAAAAAGATAAGAAGTAATTTAAACCGAGATTAAAGTTTATCTGCATTGATAGAAAAGTCAGCCGTCGAAAGCTGCGACACGTCTCGGTCAGAAATTAAACTTGTGAAAGAGGCTGAGTAGGGGGTCAATTCTGTATCTGCACTATAGAGAAGATAAAGTGAACGGTCTTTCCTTTCAAACGTCCCGTTAAAACGAGACAAAACCAGTGACTTTTAGCATTTTCACTATATTGTAAGATACAGAATTGACTCCTGGAAGAGATAATTGAAACGGCAGATTTAAATTGAGATACACACTTCAGTTTTAGGAGGAGTGTCGTGGAAGGTGCGAACAAAACCGTAGAGTTCACCGCTGTCTCGCTTTTTGACCTTCAATTTGTCTAGCACCGTCTCATCCTGAAACGTGCAAGCTTATCTTTATCGGTGTTCAATTTGTACAAATAACTGATGAGAAAACGGTGCTTGAATTTCTGAAACGCACCTGCGATACCATCCGATGATTCAGCAATAATGAACCTAAATTATGATCAATTAAGCCGAGTGTAAAATGCGTCGAGACGCATCTTTTGCGGAACATATCCAAAACGCAGTTTAGATTTTTCTCTCGCGAAACAATTTCGTAAAAGAGCCCGAACGTTATACAAACTTTATACAAGAGGATTGTCTGATGAATGCAGGTGAAATGCAATCGTGGCTACTGTGTTGACGTTAAACACGTGAAACCGAAGTCGATGAAGGATATCGAGGAGCGCGTGTTGAAAGCTGTGGCCGCTTATAACGAAAACATCGTCAAGAAGGTTGAACATGAAATTCATCTGTCTTTTCTTTTCCTCTGGGAAAAATTTTGCAGGGCTTAAGGGACACACGCGTCAAGCAGGTGCGCCAGTACAGTCATAAGGATCCGCTGACCCTTGACATAATCAGTCAGCGGGTGCTGCTGGTTCTCAAACTTTATGACAAAATTAATCCCACAAAGGTATCCTATGATCAGAGACCGATATCCTTTAAATATTTACCAAGACGTTTCTGTAGACTGTGTCCTAGTTTACATTGTGTATTCGATACTTGGTATCAAACTTGGTGTATTAGAACTGATCAATCAATGGCCAAACCAATTTACTGGTTGTTTACTATTTGTTAACACTTGATACGCGTATCAAGTGCACGATGTAAACTAGGCCTATAAAGCCTGATGTGCTGGTTCCATCTAGAAACATTCTGTTTTACATAAGCAAATCGAAACGCTTCAAAAATTTGTCGACAGTGTACGATTGCGCGACGTACAATTTATCGACTTGCATAGATTCTTTAAATGTATTAACCGGCTGAAAAATAGAACGTTTCTAGACGCAAGGAGCACATTGCACATCAGGCTTGAGCATTTCATTGTGAGTAAAAATGCGTAAGAGAGTTTGCTAAGTAATGCGATTATAGCAGTAGAAAAGAAGCGTACATCTTTTTAAAGCTCCGCCGCACTAATTATAATAGTCGACCTTCCCTCTGCATGTTACGCCGTTTGCCTTGCCAGTCTTCTTTGTTGAAACGTCTTGAGAAATACCTCCTGAAACGAAGGATTAGTTGGTTAACACCTCGCTTGATCGTGGCGTCTGCGCGCATACTGACATGTGGACACAAACCGATCTTCTAACGAGAATGTCCGGTGAATATGTAAGAATTAACATTCTCATTTACTGCCGTTGAAAAAACCTACGACAGAAGAATGTTCATAAATAATACCACATTTAAATTAAAATGTGTTAGGCCCGGTTTCATCACACGCAAACGTTGCTTAACTTTATCTCAGTTTAATTCATGTTTGTTTCTTTCTAGAGTAACAGTTGAAAAGAGACAAAGAACAAAGTGAGTTAAGCTTAAAGTTAGGCGACGTTGGCGAAACCGGGCCTAAGAAGCGTTCCCTTTCCCCGACGCTTTCAACTCGATCTAACTTGTTCGGAGAGACATGTCAGTTGCGCAGCAAGCCCATCGCGATCGAGTCCTAATCTGACGGTACAATCGAATCCCCCAGCTGAGCCTGGAGTCGCATTTCATGGAGGACCTGGGCCTGGACTCCCTCGACCACGTGGAGATCATAATGGCGATGGAGGACGAGTTTGGCTTCGAGATCCCGGACATGGACGCGGAGAGGCTACTGCGACCCAAGGACATCGTGCGCTACGTCGCGGACAAGGAGGACATATACGAATAACGCGCGTCTACGCGATATCATTTGCGTTTAGTCAACATCCGCCGTTGTCTGCCCCGACTGGGAGTGTAACGGATCACAGCGTCTTGCTTTGCTGCCGCCATTGTTTTTTCTGTATATAGGTCACTTGTCATTTACGTGAATAAAAACATAAGCGAATTGTTAACGTCGTGTGTCTTTTACGTAGGCGTCCTGGATAATGTAAGAACCGTTTTTTTTTTATCGCGGTTTATTGCCGCGTTCCGATACGACAGATCATTTTCTTTGTCAATGTCGTGTACTCCTGAGGGTCTTCTAATTCTTGGAAATTTAGATAGTGCCATCTCTTTGCCGATCACGTTCTCCTGATACTCTGCCAGTTTTCGAGACTTGATTTTTGCGATTGGAAGTTTGAAATTCTCGGAAATTAAATAGTGCCACCTCTTTGCCGAACATGTTCTTCGAGACTTAATTTTTGCGATTGCAGTTCGAAATTCTCGGAATTGGAATTCTTGGAAATTAAATAGTGCCACCTCTTTGCCGAACATGTTCTCCTGATACTCGGTCAATTTTCCAGAATCTCCATTTTCGCGATTCGAAGCTTCAAATTCTCGGAATTTCAATTCTTTGAAATTTAGATAGCGCCACTTCCTTGCTGGATCATGTTACGCAAGGTGGTGACTTTATCAACGGTGTCAGAAGACGCATAGCAAAATAGTTCCAACGGTAAAAATGGGCGTAAAAGCGCGCAAAACAGTCTCTCGAGACGGCATCGAGTAAAACGTCGGCGTGGCCGCTCTCAGGTTTCTCTCTGGCTTTAGTCTATGGCCCAGCTGTGCCGGGGCGGAGCAGTTTGACCAAGTTTGACAATCGCGCTCGTCTTTCGGGAGAGGCGCGTTTCTTCCTGGAGTTTCCCCGGCCGTGTGCACCGGTTCTGTCGCGCGGAACGAGTTCCCCGCGATGACGTCGAAATTGAGGAACAGGGACTGCGCGAATAAGATCAGGCACGGCGCGCCCAAGCTGCAGGAGGTGCTGCGAGAGGTTGGAAACTCCTTGTTTACCTCGCGCTGCTTTTAAAGATCTCTGGACGGCGGTGACGTGTGGAGACGCGCGTTCCTTTGGTCCCGCGTAAAATGCTTCTCGCCCCCGTTTTTCTTCCTTCCGTCCGTAATTTTTTCATGTCCCTTTGCTTTTTCCTCGTAGACCTGTAATGAATGATTATTACACTTGACACATTCACGAGGAAATGTTTACAGTGACATTTTACGTGCGAGAGCCTTTCCTCGCAGTTACACTGCCCCGATCTGTTGTTTAGAGATGTCGCCAGAGAATGCGAGACAAGCGGAGCCAGCTGTTTGACAGACACAGATTCGGCGTGGAGTCCCACTCGAAACCTGTGCAGGACTCATTGACGGAGATAATACGGCAAGAATTCAAGAATCTAGCGACAGAAGAGAACAACGGCGCGAGTCTTACGTTCAAAGAGATTGACGAGCCACTGACTCAGGACGAAGCGATTGAATTAGAAAATGAAATTGTTTTCGAAGAAGGTTTGATCGACGTTTCATGTAAAAAAGTTAAATTTCCGTAAAATTATGCAGTTCTCAATGAAGTTTCACTCGTTACATCTTGACAAGTAGCTTGTTTGCAATATAACACAATTTGATGGAAAGTAATGTTGTTGCAGAACAATGGATATTCCAAGAATATGAGAAGATCTTGCAAGACGAGATTGAATACTTTGCGATGTACGCCGACAACGAGAATAAAGAGGTATTCTGTCCCATATGCCAGAAAGCCATACTAGCGGAGGAAAATAATTGTGTAAATTGTCCAGTCTGCGGACTAAAACTGACCGGTCGTACCATGCAAGAAGTGAGGCATCTGATTAACCAGAGTGTAAATACCCATGCGTTCAATTGTGTCCAAGTGCCGGTATTCATGGTAATACCTGAAAATTGTAAAATCAACTTGTATCTAATATGCCACGGCTGTTCCACCTTGGCGTTGATCTGCTGATCACTTAACTGGCGGTCCTTCAATTTTCCACGATGAAAGTGAAGCTGCTGAATAATTAACCATTACTCTTTCGCAAAGATATTAAATGTTGTCGATGCCAACGTGTCCAAAGATCACGAGTTAACACCGGTGGACAGACGTTAGAATTCGCATTAGAACCAGAGCTTCAATGCCAATTGTAATTCTTTTATATTAGACTTTTGTAAGGAAATATTTATAAACCTAGCTTATTTATATCGTTTTAATTTATAAAAACCAATAAAAATTAATTGTCAAGTTACGTTAAATAATAATATTCATCGGAACCTTCCAAATCTGTCACTTTCAACACAAACTATTTCAGAGTATCGCAAAAGAGTATGTCATTTGTACTCCAATTGTTTTAATTTCAATATAAGTAATTGTCATTTGATGCAATTATTTATATTAGTTAAAAGCAACGACACGAGAAGGTGCAGAGAAGAAAAACGCACTAAGTTTGGATTTCCTCATGTTGTTATAACATCTGAATAATAACATGTAAATCTGTATGATTATATGATACATATTGTACAAAAAAAAAACATCCCTTCGATGAGTTTACTTATATATTATTTATCACTTATGCATTGTACATACATGATGTAAGTTAAGTGAGGGCCTCTACATATTGTATAAAAAAAATAACGTCCCTTATGCTCTTAAAATAAAACAAATTAACAGAGTATACCCAATGAAATGTCAATTTGAAAAAGAATTTAACTCTCGAAGAATCAACTAACTTGTTCTCTTTTAACATTGGACTATGTACATTTCGCATCAACAAAAATGTTACAATATGCAGAGGCCCTTCATAGTTTAAGCTATATTCGGTACTCAAACCTTTGCAAATGATTTGTACATTATCACATGAATTTCCATATTAAAGATCTCATTTTTTAATAGTGTGAACATGTAACTTATGAGCAACCCCCTTTTTATCGTCTCCACGCACTTATTAGCTATATAATACACCTTTTGCTAGTGTAGTTGTGCAATATAATTTAATAGTAGCATATTTATATCAAAATTATACTTTAAGAAAATTACCTTTAATCGTCTCTTCAAGTTATATTTCTCAAAAAAAAAATGTATCTCTTCACCCTTGAATTAACTTTGCAGTCTATTAGAACAGTTATGGCACTGATTCTGTCATTTTTAACTCGTTACTTTTCTCTCGTATTTCGTGAAGAAGTAGTCTAAAGCTAAAAATATTTGGTCGCTATACCGTCTATTCTGTTTCAATATCTATTAATGACAATTCCTAATCACAATCGTATGCTAATTTATACAAGCATGTTTAGAAAGCTTAGAATTAGTTTCTATATTAAAAATATTAATATAGAAGCCACATAATTTTTTATCAAAGTTTAAATTTAATATTCCTGCATTCCTACGTTATAACAATCGTGTTCATTAAGCTTTCGAGCTGAAGAATATTTCTCAAAGCAGTGGAATACATTTTAACACATATATACACAAACGTCTATTAGCTATAATTATAGAAAAATTTTACAAATATATAGTAACTTTTTTCTTTACTGTATAACTTGTAAAATACTCTGTATTTTATGAAAGATATCATTGGAATATTCTTTGCTCTTGTATAGTTCACAACATACAATTGAGCGAAATAAATGATATAATAAACTATATTTGAAAAGTTTTAACCAAAAAGTAATTATTTGCAAATGATTGTGCCATACTAATGACTGTATACTACAGTTCTGCCAGCATACTACAGTTCAATTGTATGTATAATTTTTTTTTATTCAAATCTATAATATAAAATTTCTTGATGTGACTTATAGATTTTACAACTTCAACGTGATATTGCAATAAAAAGAGGAATTGCACTTAAATTGTTATTTCTTCGTTTGCGCTTCGGTTACTAACTAACCGAATGTTACGTCTTCTTTTTGTTTCGCACAGACTAACTTATATTATACGGTAACTATCATCCCTTACGTTCATATGTACGTAAACCTTCAATTCCTTTTCTTTTTATACAAACACGCTGTTGAATTCACGACGATCACTGCGTGGATCGTCGGCGTTCCGTTTGATTAACTGCCGCGAGTGCTTCTTCGGGAAGGCGAGTTGGGTCGGTTAAAATATCAGTGGCAGTACACAGAGACCTTAGAGAATTCAGAACAGCTGAAAATGATATTTTGGTCAAGACAATCGTTCAAACATTTATTGCATTTGTGATGAGTTTCTTAATATGTTATTTAAAAATTCCATTTTTATTCTTATATTATTGTCGTGCAGAGGGTGACACCTAAAAAGATATATTTAAATATTTATTTAAAAAAATCGCACTGTCTAGAAAAAGGTCTTAAAAATAATAATCTTTGGCGACTTTTTCCTCTTATTGTCACAGGTGGCTTCTCGAATCATATACACTTTGCATAATCAAAAGCAATGGAAATATTGAAATGTACGTTTTTAGATGTCTTTCTTGTATACGAACCTGGTCTGAGATCGACGAGTGAACAATGTTGCTCTACCCACAATATTGTACTTTTATACAAATCATCGATATTTGCAGTTGAGACTGAAGCATTAAAGGACAGCAACAGCGGTTCTAACAATATACTGAACTGATTATTATTACATTGAGGAAAATAATCTCTCGGAATTTTAAATATTTTAGAGTGAATCAACGCTTTCAGATATAATGCTTAAAGAAAAACGAACAGAAAGGATACAATCCAGAATTTCCAGTTTTGTTGTGTGCGCACACGTACATATTCATCAAACATCTCTTTCATTTTGCTGCTTCTATGTCTAGAAACTGGAGCACCCGTTGCAGGAAGCATAGATTGGCAATTACTACAAGAATAATGTGAAGATGAAGACTACCCTATTTAGATAATTGTATACCATTTATACAAAATTACACATTTAATAATATTCCTTCATGAATGATATTACTAACTAAATGTTATTTCCAATAATTATTATTTGTGGTATCTCCCTAATTCATTGAAAGTACGACTTGAATATACCTAATAGACGTATTAAGGCACTCGATTTGTTGTCTCAGACTATCCATCTCCTCTTTTAATTGGTGTCTCTCCGTTTTAAGTTGCCGAATATAATCCGCCCCTTTCTGCAGCATCGCAGCCTTGCTCGTTTTCGAGTTGGGGTTCTGACTGATTTGCGGTATCAGCCTGTGCAGCATGTCGAAGCCATTCTTGATGTTGTATCTGCGCTTCTGTTCCGCATGAATGTGGCCGACTCGCCTCTGCTCTTTATACTGTCCCCTTTCCGAGTGCTTCATGTAATCATATCCACGAGCGGACCTCAGCTCAGAATAGCTGGGTGATAAAGGGCTACCTGTACTCATGGGGCTATGTTGAGGGCTGAGGTTTAACGCCTGGGGACTGTGTGCGTTAGAGCTGCTATCCTTTGGTGAGCCTATTGGACTACTGTGAGACTGATGCGTTTGATCGTTCGCATTCAAGAGAATCTGTTGGGCTGTGGATGGTTGCACTGTCTGCAAGACATCAATCATATATCATTCATTCTGAACAATTTGACATTACATATATTACAAATAAATCGAGTCATTTTTATATAGTACCTGTTGCTGCGGTTGCGTCTGCTGTATACTAGAAGTCTGTATCGTTTGTGTTACTGGGGTCGTGATGTGTTGCTTTGTTGCTATTTGCGCCACTTCTGTAGTAAAGACAACATAACACACGAATCAGTCACAACGTTTCTCAAATATTACTCATGCTAATATAAAATTCAATATCGTAAAGTTATGTTGCATAAACTGCAGTTCAATCGATTTGATAAGACTTTTATATTTTTCACGTAAGAATGAATAAGTTTATGATGAATACGTACTATTCGTGAGTAGATGTGCAAGCAAAACGTTGTTATTCACGTTCAAGGCTGGGTCGCTCACTGCAGATACTAGTGGCGGTGGATGTATCCTAGGTGCGGTTAAAGAAGAGCTGCTTCGAGATCTGCTTCTTCCTTGATACTAAAAAGAAATACAATACAATTTTATTAATAAATTCAACATATCTCGATCGATATCTCAAACACAATCTTAAAAACAGAGATTAATATATTCGTTTAGACTGTCGATCCGTAGCTCCATCCTGTATACCAAAGAGAGCAAGATACCAACCTCAATACCAACCTTTGGTATGGCAAAGACCTCTTCTTTTTCCATGTTAGACGTTGTCGGGTGAGGTAACAGCTTTGGCAAAGTGGACGCGGTACGGTCCAGATCAGATGACGGCCTACACTGCAGCAATATCTGTGGCTGCGGTGGTTGCTCCGTCGAAGAAACCGATACCACTTGTTGCGTGGGAAGCGTCTGAAAAGTAAACAACACGCATTACTACTCCATAGATTCGTCGCGACGAGTTCGACGAGGCGCGTTACCATAGTTTAGTTACCTTAAAGCTATTGGTGCTAAATTTACACTGTTGAGCATTGAGGTTTTGTACAAGATTTGGAAACTTGTAGCACTGCTGCTGCGGCTGAACGATCTTGTAAGGTTTGCTGGCCATTGGCGTGGCGGTCGGCAAGGGCCTTATTGCTTGATGCTGGCTCTGCAGCTGCGAATTGACGGCTTGCGTGACGAAGTTGTGCTGCACCGTCACCAGATTTTGCACGGCGGCGGCAGTGATCGCGGGTAACTGACTAACGTTTACCGCCGACTGATCGTTGAGCGTCGCGATCTGCACGGACTGATTCTGCACCGGTGTCAATCGCACTGCCTGAATCTCCATTGCGTAAGACTGCGGCTGTTGCGATTGGAAGTCCGAATTCTGTTGCTGCGTGGTCGCTTGATACATGCTCTGCTGTTGCTGCTGCTGGGATTGCTGTATCACGCAGCTATTTCTCGACAACGTCGCTGTGCTACCTCTATTCGTCTTATCTCGTATGGGTTGGTTCGTCGTAACAGACGCCTCGAAGTTCGGTTGAAGAGCGTAATCTTCACTCATAGCTCTAAATGGAAAAGAGCATCCGTGATATATCCGTGAATTATAATCGGACCTCGGACTTTGTTCCTTATCGGCTTATCCGTGAAGACGTAATAATCATTTCGTAATACTCACATGTTATTCCTATACACATTCGTTGCTTCAGGTTGGGGCTGAGTATATATTTTGGTGATGTACTGGAGATTCTGCATGTCAGCCCCTTGTTCTTCCCGAGGCAGCTGTTGTTGCGAGACCGGTTCGTTCTTTATCGTCGGATCCCCGCCTATTTCGTTCATCTGATTGATTGGCGTCATCAGGTCCAAGTCAGAATAATTAGTGTTCAGACTGCTATTCCGAAACATATCGTCCTCTTCGGGTACGGTAGCCAATTTCGTGTTTAGGAATTCTTAGATCAAGATACGCAATATGTGAGAAACGTCGTGCGAGAAACGATATAAAGTAAGACGAACATTATACCTTGCAACGGCTCTAGAGTGTCCATAAAATCGTCCAGATTCGGTTGCAAGGGGCCTAGACTCGGTTGAATGAAGTCTGCTAAGCTGGTACCTCGAGCTGTCGAACGATATTTCGTATACATTGATAATACTTGTAATATTTTGAATATCTTTACAAGTAGTACAATTTTACTTCTACAGTCATCAAATCTTTATAACAGATATGACTTTTACAAATTTTCATAATACAAGTGGATATACGCTCGAGTTGAACATCCCGAAAAGAATTACCGATTTCTCTAGGGTCGGGGAAGTATATCGGTTGATTCGAGCTGATGGTTGAAAAGAGGGTGTCGGTCATCAGTTCCATGTAATCTTCGTCAACCATCATACTCTCCCCGCCAGGGGCACCGCTTGCATTCCCGAATGCATTTCCCGCACCCCCACCGAAGTTATCGATAGTCCTACATCCACTGCCCCAATCGAGCATGTCCATCGATTCCATCTGGAAAAAGGTGAATAGATTTTGAAAAGAAGAACGTATCTTGCGTCACACACCCGCGTTTCGTATCTTGCTGTGTGATAAGGGCAAAGAAACCTATCTCTGCTCAAGCAAACGCAGGTGTTGATAAAGAAACAACGGGATCCAAATTTATTAATTATCTGTTTAACTATCCGTATTATTTTGTCTCTTTAAGACCTCGGAAATAATTGGAGATTGCCGAGATATTTCTTTCAAAATATCCTATTTTACGTATATATACTTTTGTGAGTGTACGTACCATTTCTGTGCCATCTTTGTTCGTCCAGCCAAGAAGTTTGTTTCGGTAGAACATACGCCATTTCTTGTATTCCGCAGTGACGGCCTTGAGCTTTCGTTTCCAGTATTTTCCCTCTAAGACCACCGCCTGATAAGAGACACGCCGTTGATTCACGCTCACTAAGCGCAATTTTTATTAGCCGACGTAAAAGCATTTTATGACTCTACGAGCTTACTCGGATCTTCTTACTACTTCAAGCGTGCGGCGCTTTATATGCGCGTGTGTGCAATCCGCTAGTGACACTTCGAGGAATTATAAACCGCTACGAATTATCTAATCAAACGAGCTGTCGCCAATTGCGATAAAAACATTTTTCATTGCCCAATTGCGCAATTGGGCAAAACCGAATGGCACTAGTAACGAGCCGTTGTCATTTAATAATCGTTAATATCCGCGGTCTGATTTGTTGCTGATATCAAGAGCGAATGGTTGTACAAGAAAATTATAACAATCAATTCACACTAATCTTTTGCGACTGCTCTAAATGCATGTATGAACCAATGTATTACATATTGTTGAAATTGTAAATTAGACGTCGGAAACCTACCTCGGGCTTGTTATGAGTATCCACGTCAAGCGGCGATGCAAACTGGCACACCAGAGTGTTTTGCTTCAATATAACTAAAAAAGAAGAAATTATTTTTCGTTAAAAATAACGTTTGCAGATTACCTGAAAAGGGTCCAAAATCTGGAACCGAAAGGTCGTTTTTTAAAATAAAAACATTGGCCAGTGTAGGTCGTTGTAAAAATTACACATCATTGGTTAAAAATAACTTTTACAATTCATCGAAAATCGTAAAGACCGAATCAGACTAGCGATTGTTGACTCGGATCGAATTGGAATTGGCGACTGACGATTGTCTTTTAGCCAATCGTCAATCGCCAGTCCCAATCCAATCCGAGTCAGCACTCGCTAGTCTGCTTCGGCCTTAAAGAAGCCCGACCAGTTGCATTTCACAAATAGATATAGATGTTTTGTCTGATACGTTGCTTTGCTCTGTTAAAATTTCTTGATAAAATTTTACGTTTAAGCTACAATTATTACAACATGCTGTACAATAAGCAAATGCCTAAAAGAACCGCCTATACATCAATTAAAAAGCGTACAACTACAGTTGATTAACATTTAAGCAATTACAAGAGACGCACCAAGATACAATTGAATTATTTTATTTCCCGACTATTCTTTTACCGAGTCTTTTATTTAAACTATTTAAAATATTTATATACAATTCTGATAGTTTTAGTAGCTTCGTAACCGCGAAAGACAAAGAACACATATCATCGCTGTCTCCCCAATGTTAAAAATTACTTTCTCATCGCGATATCTCGCTCGGGCTCGGGGGGTTTCTTGTACCTGGTGAACAAATTTGGGAACTAAAAGAGTTTGACAATTATGCACAGATATATATGTATAGGAAAAAAACACGAGCCTCCTCAACTTGTAACGATACATTGGACGCGTGCCAGGTGAGTATTGATGCGAATGTAGCACGCGGAGATGGAGCTCTTTAAATAGACGGGTAATTACTTATCCGGTCATTCGACGAATAGGAAGACAGCCGGTAGCTGTCTGAGCTCGATAAGCAGCACTCTGCGTATATCACGATAATTGAAGTATCAATGGAAGCGGATTGAAACTGAGGTATTTCAATTTAAAAAGAGAGAGAGAGAGAGAGAGGGAGAGAGAGAGAGAGAGAGAGAGATTTGAGTCCAAAATGTGAGTGTAAAATATGCTTTAATCAAAGTTTAGCAAAATATAATTTTTAATATGATTCTCTCTATGCATGAAGTTGCATTAAAAATGGACTTTTTATTTTTGTTTTGTATACTTTAGTGGAAAAGTACGTGTAAGATATTTAAACGTGGAAACACTTCGGAGCTAATCCGATCGTTTTGATTTAGTATCGTGTTTTGATATCGATGACGATAAGTTGGAGAGAAGATAGCGGAGCTTATCAATCGATTGTATTACTCTACGCTTTTTTAATTGTAATGAAGCAAAGTAGACCAACGCTAATAAAGCAAAAGTAAATTTACGCAACGATAAATTACATTTGGATGAGAGGATATTCTAGCAAGTCCCAAGTTTATTTTTAAAACGTGCGAAGTGGTCGTTTTTTTTCGCTTACATTGCATGTGCCAGCATCTCCAAATCACGTTGTTTAGTCTGATTTTGTCCTTCCATCTCAGTCTGATGCCTTTGAAGCGATTCCACTTGGGCGATGTCAGTTTCTGTCTGGAACAAATCCAAATGCCCATACGTCATACCCACTGCGGTAATCAAATTCGAATCCTGTGTAATTAATACGGAGGACAAATTTCTATGTTCACGTATCTCTTGTGTGCCGTATTGCTATTTACTTCTTGCTACGATATAAAATATAATACATAAACCGCGCGAAGCTCGTACACTATTTTATTTACCGAAAAACTTGGGACGAATTTTATATTTCGGGTTTATTTTTTTTTATTAATTTAAAATTCTGGATTTCTTCTAAAAAAAAATTTGACCAAATCCGATTAAAGCCGTCTTTTATTAACATTTTTCCCGTCAAATATCGTGATGCAACTAATTCTTAAATGAAAACAAAGACCATGTAAAATTGAATGCAGAACAAGACTTTCTTTGCACTTCGATATTTTTGCTGGTAAAGATAAACTGCGAGGTGATCGAAAAGTATGCCTGGCGAATTTACATACGCATTTAAGAAACTGTGTACCGCTCATAAATATTATAACGATTTTTCAAAATACAGTAACTGTTCAACTCTTCAGATGTGTATGCTTAAAGAACGCTTACTTTTAGATTCAACAGACTTTTTTACTTAAATAATACGTAAGATGGAATATAATCTGCGCGCAGAGAAGCACCTTTCTACTATTTGTAATAAAAAGAGAACCAAATGCGGATCAGTGAACTAATAACAAAATTAGCGTATCAATAGCTCGTGTCGGCGCTGCTTCTTGGAACATAATTCACTCAGCGGAGCACATGTTAATTTAGACTTGCTGTCTTCAAAACATTTCAATTAGGCAGATGCATCGCAGTAATTTTAAATAGACGCAACCAATAATTTCAACTCGCCAGTAGACGAGCGTGTGTGATTTCGACAATCTTATCGACAGGCTTTCTATCGCGAGAAACACCGTGCGCTTTGTGCGAGCTTTCCGAGGCGCAGCTAGAGCGATTAGTGAATTTCCACGCGAGAGTTCAACAAACGGCACGCCCTATACCTATTTCTTCCTTTGCGACCTAACATTATCTAATTGCAGATAGATTTAAAGGTCTCTGACACTCTTCAAGTATTATTTCATCACTTTTTTTGTCATAATGTAAGTATTGTTACTGTCGTAATTTTCTCTTCCCCAACGCAAATCTCTAGTTTCTTTGCGAAACTATTATACGAATTGGATCGCTTGCGATTGCAATTTTCAATATTAACTAATACACGGTGTGTATAAGACAGCTAAATGTATAATACGAATATTGTGTTATTAATATAAATATTAATACAAAACAACAAGTGTTTTTAAATGTCTTTTTCATCAATAAGTTAAATTTCACGGTGGGAGTACCTAAAATATATTAATAAATTCCTTGAATTTTACAGAAACATTTGTCTTGGAATTTTAAAACACGCAATCGCAAAATCCTACGTCGAGCCTTTCGTTATCGTCTTGTTCGTCGGTATATCGCCGCCAAGAGAGAGAGAAAGAGAGAGAGAGAGAGAGAGAGAGAGAGAGAGAGAGAGAGAGAGAACCAACAGAGAGAAAATAATCTGCAGTCGGAAGATTTCCACTTGCTCGTATCTTTGCGAGGGACACAGCGAGGTTCTTCTCCTTGGCATTAGACCCTGGCCGGCCAAGTTCTTTCCGAGTTATTTCGATTTTTATAATTTACTAAGAGATTAGATAAGGTCACAGAAAAGTACGGCGGTTAAGAGACTTAGGCTGTGACGAATTCGATGTCGCTTCTGTTCGAAAATTCGATGACTCGGCCGTTCCGCAAAAATGATGGAGGACTGATAAGTGAAAAAATAATCGAGATATTATCGCGGAAGTGTTGATGATTAATCAATCGCGTGGAATTAATCGAAGAGAAGCGCTGTGTAAAACAACATGTAAATACGCACGCTCTTTTCCTGTCACACGTATAATCTACAGCAACAATTCTAGTAAAGTAAAATTTATTTTCTATTACTTACAAGTACAACTAATACCGTGCAGATTTATTTGCATGCGCTTTAGCGGCGGTGACAACAATCGCTAAAGTAAACTGTATAATAATTTCATGCAAATAATTGTACTGCACGAATGAAAGCGATTAATTAACTTCTCTACGTGCCACCGAATGTGTAATGAATTTTACTCACAATCAGGTAAATGCTAATATTACGTGAATGAAACGTAAATAATATTGCAAAACTCCTCTGCTAATTTTACCGTCAATTATTCTTGTTGATTATTCGGCAGATATTAGAGGAAAGTCCTCTATTATGAGATAGGATTCTAATGTGAGATAGCAGGCTATCAACGTCCAAGTGCAATCGCAAATCTTTTTTCGCAACAATTACACGATCTAACGATCAATTTTCCAATAAACAGATTTCACTCCAAGGGCAATAAATTCACGGTGGAACCAACAGATGACGCCGATTAATTTAGCAGAAACTCCGCTATCCCATATTAGGGGCAGATCTCATAATAGGGGACTTTCCTCTAAAATACATCATTACAAGAGCAACGATGTCACAGCAAAGCCGCAATGTTGCATTAAATTGATGGATTGATCTCAAACTTTTTATTAATTTTTTAAGACATCTCATCTTTCTGAAATTTGAAAATTTCAGGAATATTTTAAGCGGAGACAGAAGAAAAAAGAAAAGAGACATCGGAATCTTTTATAATTAAGGTTTGAGTGTGTTAATAGAAACTCTTTGATAGTCTAATAAACTCTGTTTACCCGAAAACGCACGACTCACCGTCTTTATTTGCAAATTTCTCATTTTCGCAACATTAATGATACTCATTGCAACAGAATCTTCATTATCAGATAATGAGTTATTTGTTCGTTGCACGATTATACGCCGTGCGGTTGAGATCAACCATCGCAGAGTTGCGATTGTTATCGTATTGTCGAGAAACTCAATGGTGTGGCGAAAACAGGTGTCGCGTCGCATTTGGAGAAAGATTTCCGACGAAAACGCCAACGACAAACGAACTGTTACACACGGAATGAATAAAAGGAGCACGAGGCGCCCGCTTCGATAAGCGCCACGAATCCCCTGATACTATTGTTATTTTAAGCATTCTGCGGCTTTAATTATCTGAAGTATAAGAAAAGTGCAAAGATCGCGCCGTGAAAACTAAATCCGTCTGCCGTTAATTTCACGTTAAACAGCGCGTCCCGAAGCGGGTGTAAATTAATTTCACGGCAAATTTTTAATTATCAAGTTTCCGAGTCTAAATTTTCTCAAAGTGACAACAGTGACACTCTGGAAAGAATTGAAGATTTTTTATGAAGAAAAAAAGAGGGCTCCAAGAAGATTTAACGGTTCGAAAATGATCGCTTCTATCGAGATCGGTGTAAAGATAAAAAGGTTTCCTTATTTGGACGATGATACGCGTTTGGACGAATTGGACGACTTATCGCGCGCGGGTGCTGAAATAGCGACAGAATAGACAAATATCGTCCGTACGATATCATCGATCGTTGTGAAAATACGGCGGGGTACACGGCCAAATGGCTAGGAAACCGAAATAGACTGGTCACCGATTGGATATAGGTGGGCGAGCCTCCGCGGAGCTTTCGACGACTCGCGCGGATCCTCGCACTCGCACGCCTTGCTTGTTGCTTGTGTCGTGCGGAAGTGTTACGTTGCTAGCACGTACACACGTTACGCGCTACGAGCGTGTACTCACGATGACGCAGTGGCCTTGTGGTCGATAAAAGACACACGGAGGAGAGGAGGCGTTTACGGTAATCTAGGCGCGATTCGCATTTTCGCGATTCGCCGTGCGAGACCCGACGACGACAACGATCGAGTTCAAAGTCATCCGGGCAGATCCGCGACGTTTACGAAGGATCTTCCGCCGAAAGCTTGCCGGTGCTGGCCGAAAGGCATGATTTTGTTACTCATTGATTGTCCCCGCAAGTCTGCGGAACAGCGCGGGCCTGTTTAGCCTATTGTCAGTTAAAGAAAACACATTGGATAAAAAATTTTCAAGATAGGAGCTTTCTGAACCACGGGGCTCTTTGGCTTTGTGTCTTGAAACCTTCTATCCGAGTTTTCCGAGCGGCACAGTCTCCAACTCTATCCTAATCGCGGACTGTTTCTGACCCAGAAACCGTCAATGCGTCCACTTTCAAGCAACTGTCATCACTTTTTTAATATAACGTTTCGCTAATCGTGGAAACGCAGCGGACGCAAGATACGCTGACGTAACGCGTAAAGTGATAGCATGTAAAGAAAGCAAACTTTCTCGTGGTACACGAACGGCGCTTGTACAAGGAAAAACCTGCGATGTGCCGTAAGAATTACGCGAGATTTGATTTTCTGTTCTATGAAAGAAAGAAAAAAAGCCTAAAAATAATCTATTATTTATAACGACTTGTTTCTTTTACGACCAATATGTTATCAGGATGTGCACTTGCTTGAGTGCCCGACAAATACATACAGATTTCGCCTACTATCTCATAATAGAGGACTTTCCTCTGTACCTTTCGTCAGCGACACTCGCGAATCGGTTCTGTCGAAGGAAGCAGAACTGAATAGAAGCTTTACCTTTCGCAATTCGACGTGAATTTCCGCCGCGAATGCGATGCTCTTATTCCGCGTCACTGTTGCGAATAATCTTACGATTGATTCAACGATAGCTGCATTTAACGTGCATTATGCAGCTTGAGACACTGGGACGGTAAATGTGCGCGTGCCACCGCCGATCTCATAAAAGTCGGATTAACGACGTATGGACGGAAAATCCACCCATTCATATTTTCTTTCGAGTGACGCCGCGATGAAGAACGCGATCGGAAGTTCGCCGATTAATTCTGTTTTGTTGGCAGACGTTGAAATCGCTGATTTGCGCAATCATTTGCTTTGGTATATCAACAGATAGGAATAAATAAGTGAGAATAGGAATAAACAGATGTAACGTCAACTAGTTATATAAATTTTTTGTAAAAAAAAAATTACTGAGCACATAAGTTTCTATTTTCTGCGCTATCGAAGATTTAAATAAGCTACGCTGGTTTTAACATTTCTAATATAATTGTGTATCTACACAATTTGCTGATAATATGTTAAGTTTTCGATACATTAATTTCAACATTGACTTGACTTTGACGCTGATATTTGCCGACATATTTGTAATTTTATGAACACATTTAAATTTGCACGAAATAATTTACTGTGAAACCTCGTGAAACGCGTCGACGTCAAGTGAACATCGAAATTAATGTATCGAAAAATTATAATAAAAATGTTAGATCCTGTGTAAGGTATTTAATCCTCAATAACGCAGAAAATAGAAACTCACATGCTCAGTAAACTCTTTTTTTTACAAGAAATTTACATAGTTACATAGCTACTGACGTTACGTGTATTTATTGTAGTTTTTTCTTGCAATGTAATAGATTTCGTAGACCGAGTTTTATATCTCGTAAAAATGAATAGACAGACGAATCCGCGAATAAAAGCGATGAATGCTGCATTACGATTATTGCCACGATTTTCCCGCTTCTATTGGTGGTCTGGGATCGCTGACGTAAACGACGATAAAGCGTCATCGATTATTGTATCGCGGACATTGAGTATTTTTCATGATAATTAATTAAAATGCAAGTCATAATTACAGTGTTCCTATCATAATTATGCAAGAAATATATAGAGGAAAGACCTCTATTACGAGATAGGATTCTAACGTGAGTACACTGAAAAAAATTTCTGGTTGAATATGGACGAATCAGATAATTCCTTTAGGATTTACCAGAATTCCTTTAGGATTTACCAGAATTTCTGTAGGATTACAGGAATTCTGGTAAATCCTAAAGGAATTCTGGTAAATCCTAAAGGAATTATCTGATTCGTCCATATTCAACCAGAAATTTTTTTCAGTGTAGGTTTTCAACGTCCAAATTCAATCGCAAGTCTCTTCTCGCAACGATTGCACGATTTAACAATCAATTTTCCACTAAACAGAAGATTTCACTCCAACGGCAATAAATTCATGGCGGGACCAACGGACGATGCCTACTGATTTGACGGAAACTCCGCTGTCTCATAATAGGGGCTTTCCTCTACCATAACGTACGAAGGTACACTAGGAATCACTGACGCCTTCCCATATGAATTTAGGCACAGGTAGAACACATACACATTTCCTATGTGTGTATAAATGCGTTAATATGTGTCTAAATTCATATGGGAAGGCGTCAGTGATTCCTAGTGCACAGTCTCGTTAGTGTGACAAAAATTTGTTTCTTCGCTGCATTCGATACGAACTTATTGTAATCCATTTCAATTCGTCGTACACGTTCGGCTTTTAACGCGATGGGCATGCAGCGAAATTCGATCCGATGTCAAGATCTACGTGCGTTAATTGCGATTGCAAAGGTATTAAATTTACGTACCGAATTAGGTTTGCGCAGCAGGATGTTTGCGAAAAGACGTTACTTGAAAACCAATCGATAGCACCGTAGGTCGATGCCATTACACCGCGAGGAGAGACGCGCGCCAGGCGAAGGTTGCTCCGAATCACTTTTCTAACTCTGTCTAACTTTGGTGTGAATTTCGCATCGAGATAATAACGCCATCCCAAGAAGGATTCCAACAGATACGTTTCAATCGGCGGCTATTACTGTGCGAACTGATCCTTAATCGCTTCATTTATTCTTTTTTTTTCCCTCATAATACAACGCCCACTCTAACAAGTCTCGATTAGATCAACATCTCGTTATTCAAATCCATGCGCGCGACAGTCGGTGTTGGAAATTATTCATATCTGAGCAAAGCTATTCTTTAAATATACGAGAGTTATTTACCCAGATAGTGGTGCGATTTTCGAAATCGTCGCGATTGAAGATAGCGCTTTTACGATTGTCCGCATCACCGTTTTAGTTTTACTTCTCATCCCGAGCTGCGTTTGCATTGCGACGTTTATCAAGTGGAAGAGCGCGATTTCTTCAAGACCTTATTGCCGATAACGGAACGAGATCGATCGAGACATGGCGCGCCTTCCAGGGTCGCCAAAGATATAATTAATTTGGCCTCTTGTTTGTCAAAGCGTTAAGGACAGAAGCCGATACTATGTAGCGCGTTATCGGCGCTAGATTTACCGCAGAATTGATTGAAATTACATTGTATCAAGCGTTAACGATACATCAACCACGACCGAATTGTATTATTGATGTTACCTTCAATTATGATTTGTTCCTTAACAATTCCGGCTCGCGGCATTAAATACGAAATTAAACAGAACAAAATGACAAAATAAAATAATTGCATTAAATCACAAGCTACTTTTAAAATATTCGTAATTTCTTTGTTATCCTGGAACAAAAATACTATGGGATTATACACAGCTGATGAGAGAAAAGTAAAATAATACTTCGCTTAATTTCCATAAAACATCAAATCTTATCTCTTACTATTTGCTTGTTAACAAACCGTACTCGAAAAATACAACGTTGAGAGGATAGTAAAAATCGCTTTCCACGGTTTCAATACCACTGTGGGTGCCCCATTTCCAAACGATAAATTTTGTTAATTTCGTTCGCACCTGTAATTTTTCAACAATGTAAAAAAAACAAAGCGTTCTACACTTCCCCGATAAGTTTGAAAACTAGTTGATTGGATAGAGAACAAAAATGGCACTCGAAAATGAGACGCTAACTTCCCGTGGCCTCTTAACGCAAACGGACACTACATGTGGATATACAGTGCAGCTAAGTGTCGTTAAAACTGCACGTGCGATCGTAATAGCTTTTGTTGCAAGCGTGCCGGCAGTGAATCAGCTGTTAACGTCACCGAACACATCGGCACATTTGTACGACGGATTTATACGCTATTTGCCTGCATTGTGCACCGAATTTTCAGTTCCATCATAAAATTATTTTCCTCACGACGTTAATTATTTCGCTAATATTCTTTCAGTGCGACGCTTTTCGTGAAGCGATTTTATTCGCTTATTTCCATACAATTTTAGAAGATTCCTGTACATTCTCGGGCGTTCTAATTTTTTATTTAATTGATTCTCGTGAAATATCTCCTGTTTTAATATCACGGTTAAAACATGCGCACAAAATCTACGTAAACTCTACGCAAAAAATAGTATATGAAGAAACAGTGCGAGAAAATCTACGGTGTAAAGGGAAGAAAACAAAAAGATCCATTTTTACCGAGTCTCATAAACCAGAATGTTAATTGAGTTTTCGCTTCTCCTTAATTTGACCATTGGAATAATAATAAATGCGGAATTTTAATTAAACCCGAGTTAAATTTAACTGAAGTGTTTACGGCAACAGAGAACAAACGCGGCGTATGATCGTCGCGAGGAAAACGGAAATTGTCGGTAGAAGCCGTGTGCTCGAAGACGTGTTCGCGCGCGACTTTAGCGAGGCCGCGCTTAATTGCGGTGTTGTCGTTTGGTTCTACGGCCTCTCTTTCATTAATTCAATTGTCTTTTATCAGCGGGAATGCTACCGGCCAGACCGGGCAGCATTTGTCCGGTTGCCGAGCGAGACGTGCCTTTTCGTTTCCTCGCAGGGCACAAGAACACGTCTCTTCCTTCGATATGCAATTGTACCGCGGATACAAGATCTGCCCTGGCTTCTCTTAATTAGCTAAAAGTTATTTACGCCAAGAAAAGACAGGCGTGCACTCCGCGAGGGGGGAGAGAGAGAAAATGAACCAATTGTCGAAAGTCAAATTAAAAGGAGCAGTTCCATCTTCGACGCGTACGTTTTATCTCACTTAATCTCTCGAAAATATCAGCATTGGACTGTTTATTGCGACAAATATTACCAAATGCCCGAGTGGTCGAATTGATGGGACGCCCGCCTGGAGTGTAGGGGGGTCCAGGTTCAAACCCTGGCCGAGGTAATATTTTTCGCAATAAATTTCGTCAATTAGAGAATGTGCCAGTCGTGTCGTTTATTAATTTCCTACATTGGTTAATCCCTCGAGTTTAATCGAGTTATCGACTCGAACATGCTCCCGAGGAGAGTATCATTCTCCATATATATTTTTTTTGTCCCGTACAATTGATGCGCTACTGAAAGAGCTTAGTCATCGCGCCTCTCGCTTAAAGAGAAACGAAAGAGACGCGATCATCAGTTCAATTCTAATTCTTTTGTTATACTGTTTGAAGCTTGTAATTGCATTCGATAATATTGTAAAATATGTGCGCTAAATTTTCGTCACGTTGATAAAAAAACAAAGTACAAAATTGAGAATAAAAACGAATCGACCTCACATTTACGTATTTGTATCTACTTTTAATCTAAGTATACTTTGTTTAATGTCACATTAATAGCGTAAAAACGTTCATGTAAAACTAAAGAGAAAAATATTTCAGTGGTTTCCTTAAAATAAATTTTTCAATTTTAATGTAAAACAATTTTGCATACAGCTATTATGAATAATACAATATTACTTTGAAATTGTCTTTCGCGGGGAAACAAATATAAATATGAAGTCGAGGATTAAATTCTCGCAGAGCTCTGTAAGAGCGTGATTTCGATTAAGAAACGAACTGAAAACAATCCGGAAGTAAACCGGACGGTCGTGGCTCGAGTAAAACGGGCTCCACGTCCATACGTGCTGTACCGTTTTATTCGACCGACGCCAGAAATCGCCGGAGAAAAGGAGGAACTCACCTGTAGGCGAGGGACATGCACTGGAAGAGTTTGTTCAAGGACGTCTCGATGCTCAGCTGCTGGGAGGTGCTCTTGTCGTTCAGCGAACTCGCGATTGTGTCGTAGAAGGAGCCCGGCGGGACGGTGATCGAGAATCTGGTGGTCTGCACTTCCTGCTCCGGCACCGGCACGGCGAGGTCGTCCTCGTCATCCTGCGCCTCCGCCTCGAAGTCCGACACCATGAAGTGGCCCGAGTGTATCGTCTCCCGCGGGTCCCGTCCGCCGTTCTTGCCCAGCTCGCTGTCGTTCCCGGCGCGATGAAAGCCGCCCTGGCTCGTCATCGCCGATAGTTTATGGTATATCAATTCCGCCTGCATCTCGGCAACGATTTCCCTGCGGACACGAATAGTCCCTTCGATACGCGATTCTCACCTTGTCCGCGATCGTTTTTCCGAATGAACAGAGTCGAAATTCGAGCGCGAAGGGGTTTCACTGCGAGACAATACGTTGAACAATGTACAATTTGATAATACACAGGAAAAAAAAAGGAATATTCTTCTTCGGAAAATACGTTTAGTTTCAACGTGAAAATCTTGAAATGAGATTGCATTGCGTTAAAATTTACTTAAATAAAGCAATTTTATATGACTCAGTCAAGAAATGTAAAATGACAATTCTAGTATTTAAATAAGACTGTAATATTGTTGGAATGTAAGATTAAATGCTTCTAAGAAGATTATAGATTGTTGCGTATATACGAAACAAGGAACGCGTTAGTTTGAGTTGTATAAGAATTGATCTGACCCTTTTTCCTCTGTGTACCAAATTTTGTGTCCAATAATTTAAGCTTCATTTTATACCCAACTTATACAACAAATACGTTAGAATAACCGACGATAATACCGATTAAAAATCGATAACAATGTAATTGAGAGAGAAAGAGAGAGAAATAAAGAAACGTGCAATATGATAAGATAGAACTAAGCAGCTTTGTTTTTGATTGGAAATTTTTATAGCTTAGGGCCTGAGCAGAGTGGCTGTCTCGTACTCTTAAGACAATGTTTTACGTTTGAAATCTATTGTCTTAGACTAACGCACGATAACTATCTTGCGTCTTAAGAACACAAGACCGCCACTCTGCTCAGGCCCTTAGGCTGATATCGTGGACTGCGGCGACAGACTTAAAAAAATGCGAATCGAAGAATTTTGCCCTATCTGTTCCGCGGATTAAAATGGGATTGTCGAAGCAGTGGGATTAGGTGACCTCGTTTCAAGAAATTGCGCAAAACAAAGGCTGGGCGATAGAAGAAAGCCTCGACAGACACAACAAGTCCCAGTTATCGAGCCTGTGATAAATTCAGTTCAACGTATTCCCCTTTTTATTTTTTCTAAGTCACATATTGGAGCACCGAGTATAAAATATAGAGTACCGAGAGAGGGAGGGGCGAGGGGTAGTGTTTGTTGTGCATGTCATAATCAATAAGACTTAAACGCGTTATCGTATCGCAAAATCGATAACACGTGTTCGGATATTTTTGTAGACAAGCCACGCGTTATCGATAATAACGTAACGAGATTTAAACGCATTCGGAATGCCACGAAAATATATGTATCAGAAATGAGCGAAGCACGATCGTACGTGACAGCACGAGGCCCGGTTTTCACCTAACTTTAAGCTTAATATACAAAAATTCGTCGGAATCAAACAAATAAACCAACTGCCAGCCTAAAGTCGTGCAACAATTCATTCTACCGTCAATTAAATAGTGTTCCCGATTAAACGACGGATACGTCCGATGAAATTGGATTGAAAGACCGATCACACGTTTCATCGGATATATCCGTTTGTTATTACGTAATTGGATTATATCCAGTTACATTCAATCGGACATTTTTCTCAGTGTAGACGTGGACATAAGGGACACGACCAGCGTGGCGCCAGGCTTCCTGTCGATACCGCGATTAACAAGCTCATTACGCGGTAGCGGAGCACATGGCGCGATCGAGACCCCCGTCGGTGAGTGAATGGCCGAAAACACGCGCACGGGCCGGTGCGCTTTCCTTTTACGATCGGAACGCCGGTTTCTTAGGAGCAGTCGCGAACACGTGGAATCGTCAATGGTCAGCGACTTCTCTCGGGGCTATATATATAATTAAACGCGGCCGAGACAATTCGTTGTGTGCCCCACGTAATGACGAGCGCGATCAAACGTTGATCTAGCCGGTGACGCAATGGACCTCCGTGCCTTAGTGAATTAGCCGCCAAAGCTCTGTCGTCTACTCTATTTACTTGATTTCTTGAACGGCGTACTTAATTGTAGAACAGCTGTGAATAAAAACGACACGCGGTTTTCCTTCCAGCTGTGAGATGGAACTTCTGCCTCCGGCGCGGTGTCCCGCGAATTCTGTCGCAAGGCCCGTTTCAATTCTCTGACGTAAACTGCTTCGGGTGAACTAATGTCGAGCCCGTGTTGACGATACGCGAGTTGGCGATTACCGAATGTATCGAGACCAAAGGAGAAGGTTGTCCGCAATACGTTCACGTGTCAACGGGATGGATTAAATGGGATAACACGTCTTATTTATACTCTACTAACGGAATCTGTAGAATTTCATATTGACTTCAGCTTCGAAGGCAATTTCTACACCCGTGCGTCTGAAATTACGCGCTTCAGTTGGTACATAAAACATTTATTTGAGATTAGACCGTGTTATTATCACGCGGCTGGATGTAAAATATAAAAGAAGCGATCGTCCAATAAGTTAATACTGATACTATTATTTGCTGTGACATTAGTATTACAGTTTTTGATATTGCACTGATATCAATGTCCTCACTGATATACACGGTGAGAATTTTCTTTTAAAATTCACCCTGAAAATTATGTAATCGTGGGTCAACGTGGCATTTCGAAGAATTTTGTGAGAGTCTTTCGAAATTTTACCACACATTTTACTAGTAAAATGTGTGGTAAAATGCCGCGTTGTCTCACGATTACACGACTTTCGAGATAGACAAGAGAAAATTCTCTCTGTGCAGTTACACGGTCTTGGATATTCACGTTTCTTAACAACGATGCGATTACTTGATCTTAATTGTGCTGTTAATGACACGATATTATATGATCTTACTAATGTCACGCACAACCCGCTCGCTCGCGAGATTTTGTAGAGCCTCTGAACTCCTCTCTCTCTAACGCTTTTCTAATTTATCGCTTTATCACAGCGTCACAGATAACACGCTGTGAACAGAAGAAAATGGAAGAAACCTCGAAGGCCGAGCCGTGCTCCGGCGACGAAACGAGAATTTCGATGGGGAAGCGATTCGGTTCCGTTGAGGCGACCTATTAACACCGATTGCGAGTCGCACGGAGCGAGAACCGCGGTATCACCCGTTATAACCGGTTTCCCGCGGGTTTCTTGCCGCTCGTTATTATCCATTGAATGCCGGACGGTGTGCTTCGACAGGAAGTAGCGTTTCTGGCTAAGGTTCAGGGTACGACCGCATCGATCTGATCGATTGCCGATTACCGCGAGTCCGTGTGCGCGCCAGGTAGCCTGCCTTTTTCTTCCTCTCCCCTTCAGCGATCTTACGCAAGTACTTGCGACAGCTCACGCGTCATTTTCCAGCGAGCGGACTCAGCGGTGCGGCATTAGATGTCGAGAAATGTGAAGGTGTCTCGCCGACCGCGGCGAATCGTGCGCACATGATACGTGGAAAACGATAACGTACGGTCCCTTCGTACGTATCCGCGTTTCGTTTCAGCAGGCGTATCCGAGTCATTTCGTCAACCGCGAAATATTTCGTGTACATATTTGCGGCATTACTGGGCATTACTGGGCACTTTTTGGGGCATTGGGCCTTGCTGGGGCATTTACAAAGATAAAATAAGACAATAAGATCAAGTAATGCCCACCGGGCATTAGCGGGCATTGGTGTGCAAGATTTTGGTCAGCGGTTTCCCCCTTGGGCGAAACCGGGCCTTAACGTGGCACATTTTAGCGACTCTTCGAATTCAAATTGTATTAAAAGCGAGGAGAACTGTAGCGAAAAGAAGACGCGGATTTTGAAGCTTCGGCCTTTAATACGTTACACTTATACACTCAGGATCTTTATAATTGTTGCGTAAATTGATTGACCAATACCACTCACATTAAATCGATTGGACATTTAGTTTGTAAGTTTTTACTGTCTATGTATTGTCTATGTATATATTGTCGTACGGTCGAAAAGTTGTGTATTATTTAAGATTAATAAAACAATGCCAGTTGTGTCGAGGGAAAATTCACGTTTTGGTTTTAATACGTTAATCACGTTGCCCAGATCGTAATCGATTAACATATTGCAATTGCTCGATGTCTCATACAGAATGTTATTCCGCGACAGGCCGGTTTTTCAACGCTATTCCGTAAGACGCCGGTACCTCTCGCTATCTGTAAAGTATTTAAGTACCCTTTGACCCTCCCCGAGCTGGCTCTATCGCAGGGCGATAGTCAAATGCCTTATCCATATTCGTTCATTAACGCTCGTCGTGCGAGCTCGCGCACCGTTCGGATTTCGGATCGTCCAGATAAAAGCGGAGTATTTACAGTTGATATTGTTTAACGCAGGCCTCTTGTTTTACGTACGAGAATATCCTGTTTAAAAGCAGCCGCGCGCAGGCAACGAGCGCCGATTTCCAAGAGCGCGCGAAGTAACGCGGTGTCCACCGTGCGGTTTCAAGACGCAAGATTTACGAAACTGGCCAATTACAGCCGAGTGTTCTCCCCACGTTCGACCATGATTGATTAATTTCTTGAATCCTAGGTCTTAAACGTAAGGTTTGGTCTACAACTGGTGCTCCAAGTAACAAGCTTTGGCGCATGTCGTACTCACCTCCAATTACATGCACTGATTGTGAGAGAAAAAATAGTCATTTTTACAAAAAAAAAAGTCATTTTTGGAGCCAACCATATTTTTTATAATTCCTCCAACGTAAATTATGGTTGACCTAACAATGTGATAGTTCTCATAACCACAATATTGGTTGTCATAAACCAAAATATGGTTGGCTCCAAAAATGACTATTTTTTTTTCTCTCAGTGTGTGACGTTACATTTACGCCGAAGCTCGTGCGCCGATCTACGTTTACGCTTGCGTCCTCGCCGTAGGCTGTTACGTTGCTCCGTGCTCCAATTCTTAATTATACCTTTTCGGCGTCCACAACGAGACTTTAGGACGTGGGATTTAAGAGATTAATCAATCATAGCCGAACGCGGGGAGAACACTCGGCTGTAATTGGTCAATTTCCTAAGTCCTTCGTCTTGAAATCTCATTGTAGACACGTAAATGTAACGTCACACGTAATTGGAGGCGAGTACGACATACGCCGGTAGCTTGTGCGGTAATCTACGTTTACGCTTACGTTGCCTTGTGCCCCGACCCTAAGTTGGTCAATTGAGTTTACAGAGGCGAAAAAATTAGCTGACATCGATGCGCCGTGATTTATAATTAATAAGAACTGCGAGTCGCGCTTTAACGACGACACGTCTGACCCAGCGGGAAAATTCGACGCAGCTATTTCCGATTTCGATCGGACGGTGGGAAGTTACGCGACTTAAATTTTCATGTAACATTCACCGTCAAGGACGAATACTTTTCGCCACGAAGGACCATGCCGGATTAAAAGAAGCTTTTACGCTTAGAATATTACGTGTGCATTTAAATTGTTACGTTACTTGGGCGACTTTCGATTAATCGACGTGGGTAAATAAGAAAATTAATTGAACGGACGAAAGAGTAAGACCGGAATCCAATTTTGTGATTTTGTACCAACTGGCAAATCCGTACAAATCTTCTCTAATAAAATAATAGAATCATCTGCCACTAATTACACTATATTGTGCAATTATTTACTATGTCAGACTAACCAGAACTTCAATTTTCCCTCGACACAACTGGCGTTATTTTATTAATCTTAAATAATATAGGTACGTTTCGACCGTGCGGTTTGCGGTCCTCTTCAAGCACAAATCTGTGAAGTATACCGAAATGTGGCTGTAAAACACATGATAGAATATACACAAGACTTACAATAAATATATCCAATATACAGTATTAGATTGATTTCCGTGTGTTCGGTATACATTACAGTACAAACATTGAACAACTTGAACTCCATTACATTAGTCTGCGGGGAACATTTCGGTATACTTCACAGATTTGTGCCTGAAGAGGTCGAAACGTCGCGTATTATTTAAGATTAATAAAATAATGCCAGTTGTGTCGAGGGAGAATTGAAGCTTGGGTTACTTTATCACTGGCGAGCAAAATCATTAAGTATTGTCAGACTAATTTACAACGGAAAAGAATATAAGTTGGAAACGTAGTGAAGAGGCGCATTCGGTAAATGTGGCCAGCTGAGGTCGATTAAAATTTGAAATTTTAATACAAGTTGGATCAGGATTAATTCAGCCTGCATTATGTAAAATATCGTTACTTTAAGTCGCATTAAATTCATTCTCGCGATTCACTTCCACACTTGTCTCGTATTTGCGGAGACTTAAAGAAACGATCACGTATATTCAAGACCTGTCGCACAGCGGACGCGGAATTCTAAACTTTGCTTTCAAACGCGCGGCGTCGCCGCGGTTTTTTCAAACGAGGCGAAGCAAAAAGCCGCGGAGACGCGGGTTTTTCTCGCGCCGGCTGTTTATGTCATCGCTCCGCTTCGATTCGCCAGAAATCACTAACGTTTCCCGCGTATTTACAAACACGGTAGCCTCTCTTAGCGGCGGGCTCAGGAATTTCGTGTCTTCCATTGATCGCGAGGGGTCATCGGGGCGCGAAACGGAGCCGGGTCGGGCACGCGCGTGTTTACGGCGTACTATCTCTCCAACGTAATTTCGCGCCGGAGCGGGTACCGCGTATTATGGGGAAAAAACGGGGAGAATCGGGCAACGGTGCGCGCAGTGTTTGTAAACAGGCGGCTCTGAAGGAACCAGTGCCCCTCTGCCTAACATTTTCCCGATGGGGGGGAAACCGCTGACCAAAATCTCGCAGGGCTCAAACGCCCAAACTAATGCCCCCAAAAATGCCCAGTAATGCCCTCGGTTTCGCCACACGTCGCTTAACTTCAATCTTGGCTTAACTCGTGTCTGTCTCTTTCTAAAGTAACAGCTGGAAAGAGACAAAGAACCAAGTGAACTACGGTCAAAGTTAAACAACGTTGGTGAAACCGGGCCTTAAAGAGAGAGAGAGGGAGAGAATTAAATACACCACAAGCCCCTCGGACAGGAATGAATTAACCGATCGAGAGTTGCGCGGAAAAAAGACCGCGTCGCGAATAGACCAACAATTACGACTTGGACCTCTCGGTGGCTCCAGCGTTTGAAACGTTAAGATCCGGATATGTACCGCCCTGAGATAAAACTATCTCGGCGCGACGGAACGTCCGCCCGTTTCGACGTCTCGAGTGCCTTCCATGGCCAAGATAGGCGCGCGAGAAGGAGAAGAAAACAAAGAGCGGCTAGACAAACGGACGACGACGGTACACACGAAGCGACGACGGTCTACACACGCGCTATTAATTTTTCATACACAGTCGCCCTCCCCCTCCGCCTACGTTTAGATACTCCACGGCTCTCTCTCTCTTTCTCTTCCTCTCGACGGACCCCGCTCGCTCGCGGAATCGGCTCGGGCGCATCACGGCTCTCCTTATCTCGCGGTCGCGCCACGATTTTTATCGCGAGAGCCTGAGCTTCGCGTTTCATGGCAATCGCCCGCACGTTTCTCCGTCGCGTCGTCGCTACTGCTGCTGCACGTTCGCTCTTTCTCTCTCTCTCTCTCTCTCTCTTTCTCTCCGCCCACGGATCAAATAGCGCAGTTAAGCGCCTCCGCGCTCGCGAGTCGTTATCACTCCGGTTACGCGTCCCACGATTGTCCCCTCGGCGCTCGAGAAAACGGAGCGTCCGCGCGCCAGATGTTGCCTCAATCCGCGGGAACAATCCCGCGCGTTACGCGCGCGACGTACGTTTGCGCGCGCGCGCGGAAGCGAGCGCACTTTGCGCGATCAACTGCGCGCACGCACACACGCGCGAGACGAGCCTCCGACGCACTCACCTTCTGGACCTATCTCACAACTCCTCGTCACCGCTCCTGCCGTCGATGTGGCCGACACGGCTGCCCCCCCCCCGGCGGAGTCGCGGCTACACGAAAGTTACTTCTCTCCTCCCCCCCTCCCGATCCGCCCCGCGACACTGGACGGGAGACGCACCTCGTCGATCTCGTTCGCGCGTCTTCCTGCAACGCGCTCTCGTCAGGCTGGGCCGCGAGGCGCCGCGCCCGGTCGCGGCCCGTACGCGTTATTGCGCGACGCACACTCGCTCATGGGCACGGCGACGCCATTTGCGCGCACACACACGGGGTCCGCAGTACTCGCGACAATCGCCCCGCGACACACGACTGGACCGCGGACGAGCGCGCGCGCGCCACTGCGCACAGCTGACGGAGGAATGCGGCCGCGCCGCGCGGCGCGGCGCGGCCCGCCGGCGCCGCCGACCAATGGCGGCGCGCGCAGCCGCGTCCCCACCCGGTCCCGTTCGCCGCGCGGCTTTTTCAAATTCGCGCGGCTCGAAGCGCGGCCATTGGCTACGTTCAGCAGAAAAGGCTGCCTTGCTACTGGGGCTCGATTCTTGAATTTATTCAAAGGAGAAACGTATGCGAAAATTCTGCTCTTACAGAAAAGTTGCAAGTTCATTGGCTATTCGCATGGCTTTAACCAATCGACTTTCAACTTTTCTGTCAGAGCAGAATATTCGTATACGTTTCTTCTTCGAATGATTTCGAGAATCGGGCCCCTGTTGTAAAACTTTTAATTCGCTCAAGATTAAAGGGGATGCTGGAGTGATTCTGCACTCTTGCGCCCTTTGCACTTAAAATTGTCCGTTTAGTGAATACGTTTGTGCGATGTACAAATTAAAATGGCTTACGTGTACAGGCTGAAACTAAGTTTGTAAGTCCAATAAGAAATAATAGCGAGCAATACACACATGCAGTACATGCAGTACGAACTAAGTGCTTTAGTATTCTGAATTTTTCTATTCGAATATTTGGAGAAAGCACTTAATTTATACGAATAATTTTATAACGTTCGTCTTCGTGTAAAAAATTATATTACAATTATATTACAAGTTTTGGATTTCTTTTTTTTACACAAAATGGAATAGTCTTAAAGGAATACGTATATTCTGCGATTAGGATACACCGGAATGTCAGGTGTTGCTTATGAGGAAGTAATATAATTTTTTATATTAGTTTAATTACTTTTACGGATTATCAATCCATTGAAGTTAAAAAATTCAGCTGACTATGCAAATCGACGATTTGTATGAGCAACCCATACAGCACCAAAGCTTTCAGAAACATTTCAGAAGACACTGTTGCAATGTTTCTGAAATGTTTCTGAAAGCTTCGGTGCTGTATGGGAAGTGAATTTTAGGAGACATCATTCCGTAATCTTATAAAAATTTAAATACAAAGTAAAAATGTTTCTGCAAATGCTACTTACTGTTAATTATTAACAAGTACCTTAATCGACAATGCAGCTTATTCGGTTTCACGTCTCGTAGTTGTGTCGATACGATTCTCTTAATATCTTTGTCATTATTTGTTTGATAACAATTAATAAAAGAGCTATAATATTTCTATAACAATATAAACGATTAACAAATGCATTTTTTAAAAATATTAATAACGTGAAGATCGTGAAATTACGGTGTCAATCTTGTAGCTCCGTTACATCGAGGACTTGTTCTCAAAAGTCGATGTCCCAGCCGGAAAACTCATCTGGTGGGATATCGCGGTCAGGTGGATATCTTTCGAAGTTCCGTGTGTCGAGTTGATGTCGCACCTAAACGTGCAAAAGTGAAATGGAGTTTATAATACGAACGTAAGAATTTTGTATGGGACGCGTTATTTGAATGTAAGCAAAGGTGTAAGCTCTACAAGAGTTTGATGGATTAAGATAAAATTTTGCGATAGACATATACCGTTGGTACAATGGGCGCTGGTAGAGCCAATCTTTGAAGCGCTTGCCAGTTAAATCCGGAAAACCATCTGTTGAAAGAAGAAAGATAGAGGCTATTACATTTCGCGTCATGCCGGGCAGCAGCTTTCAAAATTTTACGCGAAACAGAAAATACCTTCGAAATCTTACAATGCGATTTCTTATAAAGACACATTCAAACATGAAACGTCTTAGACACATTATACGTTATGATATAATTTGTGAAATATTTTTCTTTTTCTTCCTTACAAAAATTTTTTAACCAAGGTAGAAAATTGCTTGACGACCGATGGCTGGCAAATTCTAATTAAATGGTGAGGTAATATTTTTCGCAATGAATTTCTTCAATTAGAATTTGCCAGCCACGGGTCGTCAAGCAATTTTCCACATTGGTTAATCAGCTAATGGCGTTGAATACTTCTTAAAAAAATTTTCTAACGCCTTACTTATGATCGCGAATGTCTTGTATCCCATTTCGTTGATAACCCAATCGTTCCGAGGCGTTCAAGCGAAGTAGCTTCTTGATGATATTGTTGGCATTTTTGTTGACGATGCTCGGTACACCAACCACTTCGATACCCTTCAGGATTTTGTTGTACGTTGTCATGTGATCGGATCCTCGGAAAGGCGGCTTACCAACGAGAAGTTCATGCGTTAGGATCCCGAGAGCCCAATAATCCACGGCCCTAGCGGGGGAGACAAAACGCGGCAGAAATGTAAGAAAATCAAGCGCTGTAACAGTTAGATAATACATGTCGGGGGAAGTTTCGATTCCTCACCTGTCGTGTCCTTTATTCAAGATAATTTCTGGCGCGACATACTCGGGCGTGCCGGCAAACGTCCACGTTTTAGCCGGGCCAATTTTCTTACTGAAACCAAAGTCCACCTATAGAAGAAAAGATCATTTTTCTCTTGTAGGATTTCTCATTCTGATAATAGTGAGACTAAAATATATATTCATCTACTAGGACATTTTAATGATCGCGTGATACTGGACGTTTAATAACCGAGTGTCTCACCAGCTTCAAGTAGCCACGAGTGTCGAGCATAAGATTTTCCGGTTTCAGATCCCGATACACGATATTTAAGGAGTGAAGATGATCGAGGGCTTCCACCACGCAGCCGACCATAAATTGCGTGGTAGCGTCGTCGAATGAACGCCTCCTTTGAAGGGTCGTCCAAACGTCTCCGCCGAGACACACTTCCATGAGAAAATAGACGTACTTGTTGTCCTTGTACGTTTGATAAAGTCTAAAAAATATGAGTCATTTTATTAAGCTCAATCCAATTAATATTAAGACTATCTGAAAATCATCTCATCATTCAATTAAACAATTATTTCTTCCAAGAATTCACTTGCGTACAAATTTTGCGAGACCAATTACATTTACAGTTTAACAGGTGCAACATTTCACGAGTAAATGTTATAATATGCTGTTATAAATTAATTTCGATGTACATTAGTGAAGATCACACAATGACAACGTACTTGCATACGAAAGCAGAGTCACACGCTTGCATAATGTGTTTCTCGTTCAGCACGTGCTCTTGTTGCTGCTGCTCGACCATAACTTTCTTCTTGAGTTTCTTCAGAGCGAAGCTCTTATTCGGATCGGATCTGAGTGTGACCAGTTCGACACGGCCGAATCCACCCACTCCTAGCGTTCCCCTAGTCTCGAGGTCGACCAAGGTTAAACTTGCATACTCGTTAGTCCACTTCTTCGGGGTTAACGAACGCTTTTGCTTCTCGTACTCCGCCAACCAGTCCTTGTTACGAATCTCGTCCAGGCTCCCGAGATAGTTCAGGAATGATCTGGCAATAGTAAATACAATAATAATCTACGTTGAAGAGTAAATCTGAAGCTTTTCTAAATTACTTTAAAATAAGGTAAAACGACGGAACAAAGTAAACTGTTGTTAATAAGAATTCTTCAATGTCGCCAGCGATAATTGACAACGTCAGTGTTTTCTTGACCGCACCTGGCATTTTTAATAATACAGAAAATTGATGCCTCGGTGGTCGAATTGGTTTGACGCCCGCCTAGAGTGCAGTCGCAATAAATTTTCTGTACTATTACAAATGCCAGGTGTGGCCAAGGATACAATGACGTTGTTAAAATGTTACTGTTTTAAATAAATGTTAATCCCGAGATAACACCAGTGTACTAATCGAGCTCACGTTCTGTCCAGCGTCAGGCATTCGACACCAGGTGCAAGCGCGATCGCGTTGGCACGCCGTTCACCCCCGTCATCGTAGAGAGCCAATTCGCCGAAATAATCTCCCTTGCCGAGGACCACTAGTTCCTCCTCGCCTCCGTACTCGGTGTCTTTGGTGATCCGCACGTTGCCGCAGCTGATTATGTAAAACTTCTCACCCTTCTCGCCCTGCCGCAGTATTTTCGTTTCAGCTGGGAAAAATTCCTGCAAGCATTATTAATTACGTCCTTCTTTTAAAGCTATACATATAAACTAAGCGACGAGTCGAGTGGTACCCGTTAAAATGTCTTCTTACTTACTACTCTTATGAGATCGGATATCTTCGCGAACACGTGATCCTTAGGTTCCGGGAGCTTTTGGAGAACGGAAACGCGCTGGAGCAAGCGGATGTTACTCTCCAGTTGTTCCTGAGCGGTTCTCATCATTATGGTTAGAAATACTGATCTGTCGAGCACCCATACTTTTCCAGCTTTCTTTACTGAAACGACACAAAATTGGACAAATATTAGCGCGAAGCGAGTAAACGAATTTCTAATCTCTTCAATTTCCATAGTGCGTCATAATCTATTTAATAATATTGTAAATATCACTGATTTGTGTACACGTATCTTGTTGTACAGAATAAAAAAAAATTTTCTGTAAGGCATAAAACTTGAAAATAAGATAAGATACAAACTTAAATGTATTTAATTTATAAACTTGAATAATTTCTTTATATTTACCGCTAATAGATCGAAGTCTTTTCGTATTGTACAGTAGAGCGATCTCCCCAAACGCAATTCCGGGTCCGAAGCTTCTTTGGAATTTGTTCCCCTCGTAAATGTCGAAATCTCCCTCCGCGGACACGTACAAGTGCGAGCCTGCGAACAAACATATAATATACAATATGTACATTAATAACATCAAGATCCAGGTTCAAACCCTGGCTGAAACAACAACCGCTGGAAATGTATACGGGGAAAATATTCTCAGAATGAGGACAGGTGTTCCGGAACTTACTGGATAAAACAGGCTTTTCAAGCCTAATACACGAGGAAGAAGAAGAATATAGTTTATATTCCAAAGTGTTGTGAAGGCTCCCAAAAAGAAAATATATAGAAAGGAGAAAGTGCCAATGCTCTATCCTTTCTAAATATATTTTATGTAATAATATGTAAAAGTTTATATACATATATAGACATACCTATATCGCCCTCTCGGATGACCAGAGTATTAGCGGGAATTTGTTTGGGGTACATAGCCAAGACGAGCGCCTCCACTAGATGATCTTCATGATGGCCGAGAAATTCGTTCTCCAAAATGGCCCTTTTAATTTGTCTCGCACTCCTGCGGGCAAAAACGCGATAACATTACGTTCCACTTTTCCGAAAGGATTGAAATAAAGTGAAATCTGTGCCGATTAGAAAAGAAATACGTGACACGGAACTAAAAACTTCGTCTGCAATCTTCAGATTAATATTACTTTCCGTTAATTATTGTATCTCCATATTAGTTCGCTTGTAGAAATGATATTGTCTGGTCACCTGGCGTCTTTCTCGTACACGGGTGTCGGTGCCGAGGGTGGCGTCGGTGTCCTGCCGATGACGCCGCCCCGCGGATTATTCACATGTTGTTCGTTATTGCCCACAACAGTCGCATCTTCTGATTCGGACTGTTCCGGATGCGATGGGAGGTGATTGACATGATTGGCCTCAGACGACACTATGGCTTTCGTGAGTGAAGTAGATGACGCGGACGATGAGGGACCGGTGCCATTTACAGCCAGCGAAGGCAAGGTACCAGGTAGCGGACGTATCTAATGAAAATTGCATTGATATCTCAGTAAAAAAGAGCGTCTTCCTTTCAAACGGGGGTCTTTAGTCCATTATAAAGTTAACTTTCGTGGAATCATGTCCCTTTTAACACTTACAGCAACAGATGGTTGCAGTTACCACAATCGCACTATAATTTATAGTCATTTTAGGAGCCAACCACATTTTTATAGTTTTTCCAACTACGTAAGTTACGGCTGACCTAACAACGTGTTATAGTTCGCATAGACGCAACATTGGTCCACGCAACTTATGATATGGTTGTCATAAGCCGCAACGTGCTTTTAATTTGATAAGGTGTACTATAAATGGCATCACTACTGTGTCTATATGGTTGCTATTACAAATATTGTAGCAATAATTGCTACAAAAATGATATTCCTGACTGGAATTATTTTACTGTGCAATTGTAGCTTCAAATACTACATATTCTTCTATCAGCGAACGATGAATGATTTGTTTATAAATTACGTTAATAAGACGTACGACGCCTATAGTGAAGCTGGTAGAGTCCTCGTAGCCCGGCAGAGGGGTGAGATTAATGCTACCCCTCTGCCCGAGGATATTGGCTCTCGGGAAGCACGAGAACCTCATGTTATCTTCGTCCAACGCATGTCCACAGCAAATTCTTTTGACGCCTGAAAAGAAAAGATGCCATAGTTAATTTTCAACGTAGCTCCACTACGGTCTGTATTATTTTACTGGCAAAGAGGTGTCGAGTTGTAGAAATAAAATGAACGACATGCAAATTAATCGTCGGAAATTTGTAGTGACACATCAATTCTGTGTCTTATATGCACAGTTGCCAAGTTATCACAAAATATATATATATATATATACTGTGTACAGTAAAATTGAGCGATATTTCAGTACTTTGTATCAATATGATTGCGTTCCTGTTAATGGCGTGTTAATTAATTTACGTAATTTTTAACTTAACTAAAACTTAGCACTACAGAAAGATTTCTTCATTAGTTTGTCGAAGATTGAAGTCTCGCAGCGATCTAATTATTTTCCCGCGGGGCAATTAGTTTGAATGGAACAAATTAATTACGAGGCAAATATAATAGTTCAATTGTTTTTCATCTCTACGACTTATCATCATTTGTTCACCGTCTGAAACACACATTAACGTGTTGTGACCATTATTTTCCACTTGTGTAAAAAAAAAACTTAATTAGGATAATTGTCATAATTGAACGGAACATGTGACGTTAGGACGATTATTTCGGTCACTCACTCACTCACTCACTCACTAACGTGTCACGTTTCTTTCTTCATAGCGGCTTTTAACATGCGATTACTCCTCGATATCGCTTCACGCGGAGGTCACTCATGATCAGCACTCGATTCCCTCGTGAAGCGCCTCGACTCGTCGCGCTACGGGTCGCGTTACGCTCATCGTATAACTACTCCAATTTTCGTGACGCGCAGCTCTTTTTTCTTTCATACGACTCGGTCTCGCCGCGAGAGCCGATTGCTTCCACACCACAGTCACATGCTTATGCTAATGGTGTTTGGTGCACGTGATATATTGTACCTTGACGTCACAATGCATTAGCACATGTTCATGATGAGAGTATTCTCGACTTTACCAAGCCCGATCATCCTTTCCCTCTCGTTAAGGTTTCCAACTCGCGCGTTACGCTAACTCATCTGGAAAGAAACTCTGTAGTGATACGCCGACCTCCAAATATGGGTGTTGCAATAAATGCCATTTGCAAACATAAATATTTGCAATTTGCATTGCGTATTTAATGTTTCTTATTGTCCCGTGCTGGCTTATCAATTTCGTACACGCGGTACGAAAAAGATTTTATAGATTGATCTTCAAGATTTTAGTTCCACTTGTCTAAAAACTAGACATATAACAATTTTAACAATAACTCCGTTTTTGTTCTCTTCGTAATTTCCTTAGAAATTAAATGAAACGCGGAAAATCTCTAGTTTGACAGGCACCATGTGCTTTAAGCCACTGCTGGGAGATTCATGTTTCTCTTCCCTGAAAGAACGTTCTAATGAAAGTCACACGGCTTGCTCGGTATATACATATAAATTGTTTGCCGAGTTGCAAGTACACCATAGGAACATCTTCAATTCCTCACCGAGAGGCTCACAGCTGTCGGCTCTCCTCGGCAGCGCAGAAGATCCGCGACGTGGCCGGCGCGCATCTTGTGAAATCACTAGCTCGATAATCCAGGCAGCGTTTGTTGATTTTGTCGCGCCGTAGTGATTCACTCGGCTTTATTAGAATCTTTCGCAAGGTGTACACGTTACCGCGTCTATTCGCTTCTAATCTTCCCTCGGGTATTGTTTCACGAGGCTCGTGAGCCGTCACTTCGTTTATCACCAATATGCAAACAGCGCCGGAATCTCGAGGTGATATCTTTTAGACGTGTCCATTATTCACGCTTTAAAAGCCTCGGTTATACCAATTATTACTATTTCGCGACTTTGCTAGAAAACGACTTTTCTTCTATCAACTTCAAAGGAGATACCATTCTTCTTGGAATCGTCGAATCTCCGGCAAGTATCTTAATGTCAAATAAGGAAGATAAAATCAAGTTGATAATTTAAAATTTGCTTGAAAATTTATGCCATCCGTTTCCCGCATTCGTGGAATCTTAGCCAGTTTCTCGGTCTTCAAGCTTTTACAATTATCTATGATACAGCATTTTTAATTTAATTATTTTATAAATTATTTTTAGGAAACGATTTCCACGATGCAACTTTCCAAACAAAAAATATGATTGTGTCCTTCATATTACATCCATCGGTTGCCACTTCGCATAATTATAATGTGTCACGTACGTTTCTACAACGAGATAGTTATATTATTGTTAAAATATTATTGCAATTTTTGTCATAAGTTGCAAAAATATTTGGCGCAGACCTGATCTTAATTCAAAGCGTCGTGTAATTCTCAAATGATGCATGGCCTCTTTATACAGATGCAAGGTCGACTCGTATCGGATTGTATGTACTATATTGGGAGCACGATAACGCTACTTGTTTAAACATACAAGCAAACGATTGCCCAAACTCTAAATATAGCGCATCCACCGAATGTACAATATGTTCGTTGCGGTACAACAAGCTCCGTGCGCGATCAATTAATTAATAAATGATTTTCTACGGATTCTTCAAAATTCATTACACCTACTCTCCGTTTGTTTGTCCCTGCAAGTATGCGCCGATAAAAAGAAGATATCTTCCAAAACTGTCTGTGATAAAATTGTGTCACAGCGCGAGTCACAATTGCATCGCTGTGAATTGAATTCAAGCCTGTGAGATCCTATCGCGCACACCGAGCCACAAATATTATATAACTATAATTAACGATGCGATATTATCGCTGTTCATTATCCGAGCCGGCAAATCACGCGTTTTGCCATCGCGTCCAGAAATCAAAGATAAGAAAGCCTCGCGCTTCCGGTATCGCGTAATGTATGAACTAATTAGATGACTTTTATGTAACAGAAAAACATAAAAAAATGTTACAAAAGTCTCAGGTCCTAACTGAACAAACTTAAAAAAAAGCATGCCGTCCACGTAGCAACAAAAATTTACAGCGTAGTAAAATGAATCGTCGAATAGTTAACTAAGTAATTGTCAGTCGTAAAATAACTTCACAATTCAAGCGTGCGTAAATGTATTCGCATTTCCATAAATGATTTAGTAATGTCGGTCTAAATAATCGTTTTCTTTTAAATTTAAATTTTATATTAAGTTTAAAAATATAATACCGCTCTTATGGTTCAAAACCAGCATCGATTACAATCAATTGTAATCGATGCTGGTTTCGACTGCAATTATTTAGAATCGGTGCCTAAGAAGAAAGAAATGCGAAGACGAGGTAAACGAGAGCTGAAACGGTCGATCGACGATTACACGTAATTCCATGTTCTTTAATGCGAAATGACTTTTCCTGTCTCTGAGATGGCGGCTATGCCTCGTTGACGGCTCGGAATTAAGATTTTATATAAGGGGGACCGCGATTCTCTCGCTTTTACGCGCTCGAACATGCCTTGCCAGCGTATCGCGCGACACTTCTTTCTCTTCGTCTTTTAGCTCAGTTGTTTATGTAAAAATTTACGAGGTCACGAGTCACGGAAATGACGGGAACGTAACGATATTGTAATCTGTTGCACAATGCGCGCTCAGTGTCGATTTCCCCGACGGGAAACACACCGGCAATATTTAAGCGCACGTGCCGTCGCGGTTGCGAAAAGCCGACAAGGATAAATGTTATATACATATATCAGTTATAATATTTCCTATCTTACTAAACTTTAAAGTATTGGACATATACTTTTTAATCAAACGTATTGCTCGCGAATTCGGATTTTAGCAATTAGAATTTAATAATTTGAATAATTAGAAGGTCTTGAAAGGATGTACAATCTTTGAACTCTTTTAGTTCTTACAATTAGTAGAAATATAATTTTAATGCTTTATATCCTTTTCTTATATTAATTTGTACTTCTAATATTTATTAAAATTGCTTTTATTAATAATGTGAGATTTATATATATTATAGGTAAACAGATTTACGTAAAAATCAATTTTGTGGGCAAGTTTCTAATTGTAAATCCTTCTTAAAAATCGAAATAAATAGATATATCCAGTCTAACGAAACGAGTTTTTAAAATGTAAATGTCCTTTTCATACATTTTACATTTTTCTCCCGATAATTATGTAAAGTTCCTCTTGCAGCTAGCGCGTTATAGTTACGAGCTTCCAGTTTTAGATTTCGTTACCTAATTCACACGGTGATATTTTTACGTTTCGCAAACATTTTGTAACGCAATGTGAAGACAACACGTGCTATATGTGCTAAGACAGTGAACGGTCGAACATTGCCCGGCATTTTATCGAGATGTTTGCAAAGAGGTCTGCGTGTACATTTTAAGTCGCGGACAATTAAGGTGATATTGTTTGGTAAGGTCCGTTATATAGGCGCCTCTTTATTACAGGCGCGTTTAATCAACTGTATCGACAACCGTTGCCGAGGTTAATTAACTTCATCCATGGCTACAGATGCGTATACGGCAGTAATTAATTTTCTTAACGTCACACGTGCGTGTTACGTGCGTATGACGTTAAGATCGTCGCTCACCGCCTGCCTTCTTCAAGTTATTTGTGCCCAAATATATATATACGCGTCAGTTAAATCTGAAAATATAACAGCAATTACGATATCCAATGAGAAAAAGAGATTTTTCTATCGCACAATAATTTTTAGATACGTGGAAAATAGTACAATATTCGATATTGAAGTTTCAATAATAATTAGTCGTAAATTTGTACTTTCGTGCATGAAAGTGTTAAATTCGGGTACTCAGATTAATTGTATAAATCGAATACCGTACATTTATTAACAGTATTTATGTTCCCATTACGACACTGAGGAAATTACAGAAACCTTATCACTCGATTGCTCTCTTTGGTTTCTCGATGTCGGAATGCAAGTCGATCTTGAAATTTATCAGTCTGGAACGTCTATCGGGAACAATCAACGTGACAACGTTTCCGTGGATCGATTAGATAATCGATCGCGTGGATAAAAATGTGCCGTGTGAGAAATCAAACGTCCATCACGGCTTTGTCCTCTTCGACGGCGCGCGGCACAATTAGCGATCGCTTCCCCGAGACTCACCCTTCAGGTTGACGTGGAAAATCTTTCAAAACACACCGAGAATCCTGCGCCAGTGGGCCCTCGTAGGACGAAGAAACGTGATGCCGTGGATGATTATGCGCTTTCCGCTCGCGCGATCTCGGAGCGAAGAAACATAGGTCGTTTTTCTTTTTTTCATGTACGACCGCGCGGAGGTGTACCGCACGAATTCGCGCGTTCGACTGATGCCTCAAGTACGACAAAGACGCAGAAATCTTATCTAGCCGATAACAGAGCGGCGACGAGCAGTGTCAACAGGTAGGTATATGTGGCGCGCGAGCATCTTATCTAATGAGTCTATTCTCTTTCCATTAATAAAACTGCCGTCGCGCTCCTCGTCGAACGCTCGTGCGAGCAATTGTACCTAGGGAACTCGGGAAAAATGTTGTACTCTCTCTGCTAAACGTTAATTTAATTTCTGCGTACTTTGTTGCGTACACGAGACGAAGTAACGGTTAAAAGTTTGGCCAAAAGTTTCATTTCTTTTTTCCTATTTCTGTTTCTCGAAAACAAGCGGATTTGTGATTTATTGAAAGCAAATCCGCGCGATATCAGCGCACGATAATTACCAGCCTACGCGAAAGTTTATTATGCAAAAAATTGACAATTAAAAATTGAATTTACTGTTCTTGCGAACAATTATTTATAAGGTGTGAAATAATGTCTCGTGCAAATTAAAAAATACATTACCCATGTATTCTACTAATTGAGAAGATCCGAGTCTAACTTGGACCATAGTGCCGTTGGATGGATGGATTCTATTAGCTTCAATATCTATTATTTTAATTCAAAGATGAAATGCTAATTTTATATGCACTAATCGCACGAATTTTGTATATTAAAAAGAATATTTATAAATATTCTTTTTAATATTAAAATATTAAAACTGACACATGCAGAAGTTTATATTTCCAAGGTTAAAAGTGAAATGTTTGAACACAAGGTAATAAATGTTCCTCGAATAGTATGAATAGTAATATCTGTCTGTATGTGTGTTATCGTGCTGATTCAGCAATGTCTTCAGTTTGCATTCGCACATTAGTGAACGAAAATTGCACACGTATGCCTAAAATTTTCAATATACATCAGGAAACTGAGGTCCAAGATAGTTCGATATCCGATCCAGCAAAGTTTCATCGCGAAATTTTAGTGTGCGCCAACGACGATAATTAAATGGCAAAGCAATTAAATAAACGTTCAAAGTTCTGATTATTAAATACTGCAATATGTACGCAATTATGTTTGAAGATACGTTAATGCCGCTGTTGTCAAGATTACGTTTTTAAAAACAATTAGGGAAATATTTGTTCGTTTTTTTCTACAACATCTGAAATAATTAGACCTATTGTCTCACACTTGGCAATCTCAGAAGAAGACTCGTTTAATTTATCGATGATTATTCGCGGTAATAAACCAAGAGAATCTTCTTCTGATCTCATTTGCCTTTACGTTTCCTTCATTCTTATCTGCGTAATGATAGTCTCTTATCACGGGCCTTTATCATGTTCACCGCTTATGTATCTTGCTTTTTTTTAACACCGCGACGATCGGTGCAATTCTATTTATTTAACTGCTTTAATATATATTTTTCTCGCTGTAACTAAAACTTGTGTACTTACGAATTCAATTTTTCAGTCTATTTACTTAAATGATTACATTGTCGTCCGTTATCTATCTGCTTTGATTCACCGCGATGAGCAATCACCTTTCTTCCTTATCATTCGCCTTTTTTTACTAACAATTAGATAGCAACACTAGGTAAACAAAGGGGACAAAGGTTTCTTTTTCCCCGAGAACTTAAACGTCCATTGTTTCAGGAATATTCACAATTCAGCTTCATTTTATCCAAAGTTCCCTACAATAATCAGTTAAAAAATTAATTATCATATTTTATTATCAGTATTTTGATAATGTTAGTAATATATTGATTTCATTTCACTTTATAAATTTAAAGGTCATAATTTTTGTGTCAAATAATAAATTGCAATGGAAACTGTTGCTGTCAATAGAAAATAAAAATAAATTAGCAAAATATTCGCGCGCTAGAAAACTGACTTCTCCTAATTTCTATATAATCTAATTTAGAAGATTACGGTTAAATCTTAATGCACACGCTAGCATTACAATGATTAATAAAGTTCTTGTAGTATAAACGGCTTTATAGACATCTTCATACAAATCTATACATCAAGAGGCAAAAATAGTTAATATTCTGCCTTCTGGCAAAAATCTGCTAATAACACATGTGGTAATTTGCCAGAATTACTCGCCTCTCAAAATTTACGTATCTTCAATTCCGTTCTTGAGTTCCTTCAAAGAGTCTCTTATCTCTGTGATCTTACGTCGGTGTATAATAAAGTATAAAATTTCACTTTATAAAACTGGCACTGTCCTTAAGATACATTAACAGTTACATTCTTGTAACTTCTTTACGTCAAATTGTAATCACACACAGCAATCGTTTGTCACTGATTGTCGGATTTCGTCCGTTGCTCCAGTTAAATATTTCACTGTTGAATTACGCTGTGGATTTAAGTTTCACCAATAATTAATGCCGTGTCACAATTGCAAATATACCACACTCTTAAATAATTCTTTGCGTTGATGTAGGTACAAATTGTTTCGAGAGGGTTGAAAACTCATCACTGCCTTAATTAATTTTTAGCCACATCCGCCCGCGAAGGTAACATTCTTACGCGATGACCCATGGGACAGTTGTGTCAATAAAATGTCCATCTGGGTTTCTTTTATATCGAATGTTCCACGCGTGTCAGGCTTATCGACATCGTCGTCGATCCATCCGATCGGGGCCGAAAAGTACTGATAAGCGATATAACAGCGGTGCTATCGACAGGCCGGCCTCGGTGCCACTAACAGAAAAACACCGCTTACCTTTCCTGCGGTGGTAGATACAGTCGACGACGTGGGGATATTGGTAATTATTATCGTTTAGCACTCTTATCCTGCGATATACCGGGCGTCGCGTCGCATTTTTCAGGTACAACCCGGACCTTTGTAACCTTTCATATATTTACAAATTAGGATTACCAGTACATTCGTGATACAAAATTAAGATATTGTATAAAGGTAGCAAATTAGTCACACGCGTAAGATTAATATAAAAAATAAACCTTTGTCATATTCTCATAACGTCGTTTTAGAGAATTCGTGTTCCTACCTTAAAGCAGTCTTTGAATTTTTATATTAAAATCGATACCACGTATTAGTAGAATTAATTGACGTTTCCTCATCGTTGCTCGCCGTTTTGCTCGACCGCTTTGATCATCGCAGAAAAGATTCCGTTCTGTCTTTGCATTAAATCGGCCGGTGAGCCCTCTTCGACGATTCTGCCCTCGTCGAAGACAATGATGCGATCGCAATCTAACAAAGCCGCCGCTCGATGCTGCATCAAAATTTGTTTTATTAAAAGATATTTTCTTATCTTAAATCTTTCAGCCGAAAACGTTTGAAAAACATTAAAAAGCGTTTGTAGTAATTTAATGTTAGTTTAGCGTTTTTCCAACTTCTGCATAATTTCGTTTCTAATGAACGACATTTGTAAAATTGATTTACCTATTACGTAGACAATTTCTAAAAATGTTATTGAAATTGTTTTCAATTTCATTGATAAGGAATTTTTCGCTACCATCAGAACATAAAATATGTTCAATTGACATTAATATGTTATAATAAAATCTGAAATTTGTGCATTTGAGAATTCAAGAGAATTGTGAATTTAACAAGTGCGTAGATTTAGCGGTACATTTAATTAATCGGAAAGAAATTAATCAAACCGCTATCAAAGTTAGTCGATACATTGTTGATGAAATATAGATCATTTTTCAGATAGCAAAGTGCAGCTTATAGAATGCTTACTAACCGCAATGGTGATCACAGTTCTGTCCTCGAAAGCGACAGCAGCTGCTTTTAGAAGCGACTTCTCGGTGGCTATATCAAGCGCGCTGGTCGCCTCGTCGAGCACGACGATACTCGATCGCTGAAGAATCGCACGTGCCATGCAAAGCAGTTGCAGTTGACCGGCTGAAAAGTTCTCGCCGCCTTCTCGCACCTCGAAACCTACGTCAAAATCAGTTTCAGTTATATTATTATTTTAAACTTAATTGTATTTCGTTACTACACGGAAAAAAAGAATGATGTCGTGTCAACAAGATCAGTGCAATCGGCATAAAATCGTTGAAACAACATCAGCATTAATAATTGAAAAGCATCAGATTGTTGATTTAATAATCTGGATATTTAGTTCAATGCTTAAAGTTAAAATCCATAGCAAATACAATTGAGCGAATTATATATGTTGGTGGCTGCCCGTGACATTAACGTTTAATTGAGCAACTTCATTTTGTTTAATTCAACAGCATTTCCGTGCATATTAATATTATAAGTAGAGGAAAGTTTCCTATTGCGAGACAGGCTTCTAATATGAGAAAGTAAGCTTTCAACGTCTAAAATTTAATCGAAAATCTTTTCCGCAACGTTTACACGATCCAACAATAAACCCACTAAACCACATTTCACTCCAAGAGCAATAAATTCATGATAGGACCAACAAATGTTGCCTATTAATTTAGCAGAAACCTTGCAACCTTATTACAAGCTTGTCTTATAATAAGGGACTTTCCTCTAATACATTACATACTCAATCCTTCGGGATACGAAGCTACGACATCTTTGATTTGCGATAGCTCCAAGGCTCGCCAGATTTCTTGCTCCTCGTGTTCCGAAAATGGATCTAGATTTTCTCTACCAACATATATGATTTTTAAATGAACACCGTGTATGCATTACGTTTAGCGCATAAACACGACGCGAGTACAATCGTGAAATGCGAGCCGTGTCAGAGCCTAGACGTTTCGCAACAATGAGAGATTTGCGACTGTGTTATCTGCGTACCTGATCGTGCCGCTAAACATTATTGCATCCTGCGGTATAGCCGATAACCGCGATCGCAATAATCGAAGAGGCACTTGGCGGATGTCAATTCCATCCAACAGGACGCGTCCTTGGCTGATCTCGATCAAATGGAAGAGCGCCATCACGGTCGACGATTTTCCGCTACCGGTCCTTCCACAAATACCCAACTGCGAATAAAAATCATATTAAAGTATGTGAAATGTACGTGTAGTACAGGAAGAGAAATTTTTCTGAAAATTTATCCTGGAAATCATGTAATCGTGGGACAATACGACACCTTGAAGAATTGTATGAGAGTTCTTTGAAATTTTACTAGTAGAATGTATAGTAAAATTTCAAAGAACTCTCATACAGTTCTTCAAAACGCCATATCTATATGGATTACCTTTTGACCAGCTAGTATTTTCAAAGACAAATCTGTGATCACCGGATTTCTATCTGCGTCGTAGCGCAGAGAGACATTCTCAAAAACGATCTCGCCCCTGTTAGGCCAATCATTAGCTACTCGTAAGCCTGAAATCGGGTAGATAAAATTAATGCGTGATGTACAATAAGGAAGGTAACGGGAAATAGTTGATTCGCGAAAGATACCTTTGCATCGTTTGGTGATTTGCACATCAAGTTTTCGATAATACACGAACAAATCGTCGAGTCGTTTCCGGAAGTTGATTAATCGCCGACCAACAGATTTTGATCGATATTTAAATGTAACAAAATTTAAATGTAAGCGAGACATTAAGTCAATCGATATTTAATAATACAATTTTTTAAATAAAAAATTATTACTTGTTTATCGGATTCGGTTTGCGCCCGTCACGAATTAAAAATTACGAAACATCGTAACAAATTAATAATAGTTTCGTTCAGCGACATTTTGATATTAAATGCATACCAAACGCAGAAATTTAATGACGATAACGCGCGTAAGCTTTTCATGTCTTTGTAAATTAAGAAATCCGCGCAGGGGTTTCAGGCTGGAAGTAATTACCGTTTTCGTGAAGTTTCTCCGGTTGTGCGTTCCTGTATGCGCAAATTCGGGCTACGCTCCCCATATACAACTCGATCTCTGCGCTGAACTTGACCACCCAGTTCAATATCGGAACTAAGAGAGTATAATTGATTGCCAGGCCCACTAGTTTAGGTGTTACGCGGCTTGGATATAACTCCGCAGAAAGTAAAGCCGTAGAGATGGCTACTGCCACGATTACGGCGCCCAGATAGTCCTAAAATTATTTGCAAGACAATGAAATTCGTTGAAAAGTTTGCCATTAACATCAAACGTCTCATGGATATGTTTGTGTAACGTAACGATGCATTTATAATTTATAATAAAAGCTGTGACAATGCGCAAATATAAACTCTATAGTACCGACTTTCAAACGTTAGTTACAATTACCAACTGTAGAAGACTTTTCAGAATTTCAGACTTTCAGAAATTAATCTAAATATTTTTAACGTTCGTTGTACTTGGCTCGTTATTTTTACCAATGCGATGCCGAACCATCTGCTGCTGGTGTTCAGAATGAGGAACGCGTTGGTGTTTATGTCGAGACGTCTCATCATCTCCCTCGTGAAGCGATCCTCTTGCTTGAATGCTCTCAGCGTTGGGAGGCCGGACAAAGTTTCCGAGAAATATGCAACTACCGGTCCTCTTGTACTTAAAACAGAAAAATTTATATAATTATTAATGCACTCCAACTAGAAAGTGAAAGAAACGAAGAAAAATTCATGTAGGTAGTAATGAACAAAGTAATGAAAACTTTTTGGCTCGATGATAAAAACAATTGGATTATAAATTACTTGCAAACGTATTGTCTCATGATTTTTATTTAGATAGACATCATTTCTTGATCCATTTGTAAGTGTCAAATTCATAGAGTTTACAAAAATGAATGACATTTTAATCTTTCGTTTTCTTTTTCCTTAAAACGATAGGAACTATTTAAACAATTGTTTAATATAACATTTTGTATACGAGATTGTAATAATTATTAATACCTGCCATCTAGACATTGCAATTGTCTGGCGCCCCGCCTGTAGAATTTTTGCAATGCATAATAAGCGCAACTAATTGGTACAACGGCCAACAGGAACCACGGTGAAATAATAATATTGATGATCATCACCGAGCCGCAGAGTAGTGCAAAAGACGTCAATCTCTTGATCGCCGTAGCCATTTTCTTGAAAAAAAACTCAGAGGAGTTCATTTAGATTTAATTAAAATGACTTTATATCCATTAATAATTTTCCACAGTATTTATATAATATTAAATTACCGATTGCGAAAGTACGAGAGGTATAGAAGCTATCAAGGTACGTTAATTTACCTTATCTATGACGCTCATATCTGCACTGAATCTGCTCAGGACCTTTCCAATGTGATTATATTCGAAAAATGAGACGGGCGCGCCGAGGAGTCCAGCAACAGCTTCTTGATGCAACTTTCGTCTCGCTCTGGTACCGGCCCATTGTCCTGATACATTGTAAAGTATTGATAAAAGAATGGAACCCACGGATATAATGATATATACCATGAAGTAGGACACCGTCTGGAAAATAGATCGACGTTCAAAATTAAAGAAGGCTCGCGTGTGTCATATTTTTGTCAGTTGTAAAAATCATTGTCATTAGATTTTTAAGGCCGGTATTTATAGTCGGATCTTATATCCAAGACCGTCTTGAATTTATCTGAAGATGCTCTACGGAGCATTTCATTGGCCACGGAGTATCTAAAGGTAATCTTAAGGCAGTCTTGAATATAAGATCTGCCTATGAATACTGTGTTAATATCTTCTTCGAAAATAACAAATTATTCGGTAATGATATTGATAGAACGTCCGCGCGTGAACAATAAGTACAATTAATTATCGAGGTTAATTTAGTGATCTGGTTTTTCTAGACATGGATTTTCAAGCAAGACGTAAATGCGACATTCTTATCGAAACTAATCGCGACGATATTAATAATTCTAAATATCTATTTACATTCGCAGGCGAATGAATGCTTTCCTCCATCCACTCGCTTAACCAAAAGTCAGTATATACGCGAAGGATTTGGAAGGCTAGCGCTGCTACGGCGTAAACGAGTCCCGGTAACCATCCAGCGGCCTTCGGGTACTCCATCCAAATCATTCTGGTGACCATTCCGCTTTTATCGTCGGCTTCGAGCGCGCCTTGTCCATCCACGTCCTCGTCGTTCAAAGCTGAAAGAAAGACTTCGAGATAAAAAATCGAATACCTTTGGTAAGTCTTAAAAGAAGATAAAGTAACGAAAGAGGATATATAAAAATTGGAAAAAACGTTTGAAAGCATATGAATAATTTCAATGACTAACTTTCTTCCATGTCGTCCATCTCGACCGTAGTTCGCGATTCCATCGATAACAATCGTTTCGCCGGAAGTTGGCGATGCTGATCCTGAGTAATCCTAAAAAAAGGACCGAGTAAAATACTCAATTTTCGATTATTTATTTATAATTATTTTTCTATAATTAATTCTGTTACTTGTTAGAACCTGGCATCAGTCGCGATAGGACGTTATTTTTGTCTTTGCTTGTTGCCACTTCATCCGTGTACCTAAAGTTCACATTATTATTTTTTCACTTTTCAGTTGCATCCGCTGTGACAATAAATCATTACATTTGTTATATTATACGCGAAGACAAATGTTTAAAACCTTGCAGAGAAGAATTGCTTCAGCACGCCGCTAGGTTGTCCGCTGTCGTACGTGTTGTTCCTTTTCCTGTGCAGAAAATTAAATACAAAACAATAAATAATCTATTCTGTGTTAAATCTATAGTTGTATATTATTTCGCGTAAATTATTTTGTAATCGCACAGAAGTATTCGAGTAAAGACTAAGAACTCTGCGATGAACAACGACAATCTTGATTAACGAACGATTCAGTTTAACGAAGTAATCCATAAGTGAAAATTGACTTGTAGGATTTCTTATCCGATCGTGTCCACACGCTCGAAAGAGAGCAATAATTTTCCAAAATTTATACCTCGGCGGCACATGTCGATTTTCGAGAATCGTCGGAGTGCTGTTCTGTCGGAAAATCGGCGGAGGTCGTTTCTGTGCTTGGAGGCTCGTCAATCTAACAATGTTGCGATGCCCCCGCGATCGTTTCTTGGCGGTGTCCCATTCCTCTGTTGACACCGAGAGATCCGTGAGAGCGTGACTCCAGTACCTCGATCCTGATAAAGTCGTTCGACGCAGTCTTAAAGGTACGAACGTTGGCGGATTCTGCAAGATTTGCAATTTGCTCAACGTTACGATAAAATTATTCCCGCGCACAGAGATATTGTTAAAATATCTCGCTCTTCCTGTCACTTACCACGTGGACGTCGCTGATCCACGATCCGTCGCTAACGTGTCTTCTCGTTTTGTTCATTCCAATCCTGTAGACTAGCTTGATTAAGGACCATCTATCCTTCGCAGTTTTATGAAAGCGATTCTCGTCCTCGCGTCTCGAATCCGCGATTCGCCACTCCGCCGCCAATCCAGAATCTGTATTCTCGATACTGGATTTTGTGCCAACTGCGCGAACTCGACAGCCATCCATGACAATTATCTGAAAATAAACTTTTATGCGACTTCTCTGCTTTTCATCTTTTTACTGTAAGATATAAATTCGATGTAAATTATTTCTTTAGCACTTGTGCATAAAGAAACCGTTTAAAAATATCTATATAGAAACATGTAAAACAAGAGATAGATTCCATATTTTTTGGAATGTAATAATATACGTACAGCGAATACCAATAAATAAACTTATAAATTAATCAATGTAGAAAAATTGTTCAACAACGCTAACTAGCAAATTCTAATTAATTCTAATTAAAAGATATTACCTCAGCCAGGGTAATATTTTTCGCAATAGATTTCTTTAATTAGAATTTGCCAGTTAGCGTCGTTTAACAATTTTTCTACATTGGTTAATCATGTATTGGCGTCAAATAATTATTTTACGTTATACAATAAATTAATCAAACAGATCTCACAATGCTTATAGATTAACGTGCGCTTTTTCTTGTATATTGTATAAAATATATTTAGTTTTTAAAAAATTAGCATAAATATTACTAAAATATAAAATTAAACCTGATGAGCAGCCGGTAGCAGCTCCAGTTTGTGAGTGACCATAATGACTGTTCGGCCGCTTCTTAGCAGAAGCTTCCTCACGCCGTAATCGAAGATCTGCTGACCGACGTGTTGATCTAACGCCGACAGTGGATTGTCCTGCAATTTGCAATTATACGTGCTCGCAAATCTTTCGCACGGAAAGCTGATGCTGATAATTCACATAAGACGCAAAGTGGACAGACCAGGAGGATGACGTCGGCGTCGCTGTAAAGAGCTCGGGCTATGGTGACCCTCTGCTTCTGCCCGCCGCTCAAATTGATACCCCGTTCGCCAATCCTAGTCAGATCTCGACCGGGAAGTATGTCTACGTCCGATTCAAGAGCACACGCTTGTAAGACATCGCGATATCTCCGCGATTGATACGCAGACCCAAAGAGAATGTTGTCCCGCAAGGTTGTATTTTGGAGCCACGGCTGTCGCGCCACGTAGGCGATCTTCAGACCTCTAAAAACAAACAATGCGCGATATTTTTAGTCGATAAAAATACATCATTCTAATCAAACGAGCTCGAGCGTTCTTATAGTCACCAGTGGTGAAATTAAACAAAAATGCAAAGCTTATAGTCGACTGGACTGGCAACGTTTCAGCGATTTATTTAAAACTTGTATAAGCTTTGCATTTTTTAAAAATCCTAATTAAAGTCTAATTATTTTATTAACTCGTTTCCCCTTTTCATTATAATTACTTGGTCCACTCGACGCTCCCGCTTGTACTCTGAATTTCCCCTAGGAGCGCTAACAATAGAGAAGTTTTTCCACTTCCGGTTTTACCCACTATTATCGTAAGTTGTCCTAAAAATATAAAGTCCTTAGTTTATTATTTAGTTATATATTTATAACTTCATTAAATAATTTGTACGCTAAATTTTTATCTATTCTCATATCGATCTGATTTTTTCGCATCTTTTTATCTAACGTTGTTCACCTCGTGGGAAGTTAAGAGCGTTAACCGTCAATGTATTTTCATCAGATCCCCAAGTGAAAGTACTCGGTGTAACTTTGAGAACTGACTCGGGCACTTCCGGATCTTTTTCGAACACCGTATCGACTGAAGAATCAATTGGTAAATCAAATTCACGCAAGATACTCGACCGAAGGTCTTCTTCGTCCTCCACGATATTGTCCAGCGATCCAAAAGTCGCGACGCTGTTAACAGCTTCTACCTTGTGAAGAGAACAAATAAATCGCGTCAATCTAAAAATTCGTCAATCGAAACAAACATATGCAACCACATCACATAATTTGTAAAATTTTGAAAGCACAATTACACGAGGTAGAATTCTTCAATTCAACTGCCTCGATGGTCTTATTGTTTTTGTGAAATTTATATAAAAATAATTTGAATCAAGTATTTTACAACTTTTATTTAGGCAACACTCACGTTATTATCGATATATGAATTTGCCTTTGACATATTTGCCATCGAGTTTCGATCGTTTGACACGGGGAGAATATTCACGGTCTCTGGAAGTTGAAGGAACTCCTCTAGCCTTGTCGTGGAAATCTGCAAACCGGGGTAAGAAGGAATGCCTCGAATTTAAGGGGATTGAGTTTAAACAGCGGTATCTCGAGAATGTTACTCCTCACCATGGCGTTGATGATAATCGGCACTATCACCGGAAAGATGAAGAGCGGCACAGTTAGCTGCGAAAAGAGCGCGAGACTGGCAAAAACGTTCCCCGCATCAAGATTTCGTTCCTCCAACCAGAAATATATCCCGAATGTGAAGAGTGTTACCAAGACGGAGAAGGCGTGCGTCAGAAAGTCTGCGATGTTAATGCATAAATTTACCTAGCTCTGCTTTTCGATTAAATTTAAGAATTATTAAATCATAAGAATTATCATTTAAAAAGATTATCAGCACACGGCCATCTTTCGCATCGTCTCCGCTTCACGATCAAAGCGAGATAAAAGTCTAAAGACGTTTATCAAATAGTCACTTTGAGAGAAAACAGGAATTACTTACTGATGAGCGCCCAGTACACAGAGTCTTTTCTTAACAGCTTTAATTCCTGATCCCTGGTTCTCCGTATGCGATCTTCAAAAAGATTCTCCCAGGCGTGTAGTTTAATGAGCCGTATCCCTTGAAGAATTTCATTAAGTAAACGAAGGCGTGCGTCGCTTCTCTCCTAAAAAAAAAAATCGGATGATTAAAAACAAGAAAAGGAAAAAATTGAAAATAAAACTAATCTATCACTTTCTTACTGCTATGGACTTGGAATTTTCGGACATTCGTTTCCCGAGCAGCAGCTGCATCGGCGTGACGATCAATATGCAACAAGTTACTCCGATAATCGCACTGATACCCAATTTCGAGTACAGAAGAAAAATTATGGCGGTAATCTGTGCATTCAAGGTAAACGGAAATACCGTAAGTTATAAAAAAAACATTAAAATGTTAAGCGATAAAATACACGAAGCACATGCATGTATTCATTTATTTTAGTGTCTCACTTTTAATGGAACAGCCCAGATGTAATGAACGGTCCAGAAGAAACTCATGACGTTGTACGCATCTTCGGCCATGAGGTTCGTCAAAGTTCCAACGTCGGCTACTTGTTGATGGCATTGCTGCTCTTTACTTTTGTCAGATGGCTTCTCTTCCTCGGAGATGCTCCAAGTAGACAATCGAAGTGCCTTATCGTAAATCAGTGCCTAAGCAATCGACAATTTCAACAAGTCTTATTCGGTGTCTCTCAAAGTTCGTGTGCACCAAAAACGGTGAAAGGGAAATAAGTTATATACGCTTTTTTAATTTCTGCAAATTATAAGACACTTTACATGAAATTCTGAGCCACGCGGCGCAATAATAAAATACCTGAAGAGCGGTTCGCAAACGTATTCCTCCGACACAGAGCACGTGAGTGGAGGCTTGTTTTAACGTGCTTTGTAAAATGGTGGTAAGAAAAACTACGATCCCCAAGAAATATCCATTTCTCAAAATTTGCGAGAACGTCATGGCTTCCTAAAGAATCAACCTTTAGTTAGCTGGATGTATTAAAAAGTAAAGAATAAAAACGAATTTCGCAATGAATTTCTTTAATTAGAATTTGCCAGCCATTGGTCGTCATGCAATTTTCTACATTGTTTAATCAACTACTGGCGTTAAGTAATTCTTTAAATAAAAACGAACTTGAAAGATAGCAGATACCTTCAAAGGAAAATTTTCACTCGCCACTGTGCCGTTTTGCAGACTTGACGCATAACTAATGATCTTCGGGATCGTCATGGGACCCACCAAAGTCATAGCGTCGCCGAAAAGCTTTAGGACACTACCCGCCGCAAAAGTCAACCATGTCCGTCTCCAAAAGCATCTCCATAAAGACAATTTCCGTCCACGGCATCGCAGCTAGAAATTTAATCGAGCTCGACGTACAACACATACGTGGAACGCACGAAAAGATGAGAATGTGTAAAAGTGTTACTCTTTCGGTCTCGTAAATCTCGCGGAAACGTTCGAACTGGTTCCTCGTGGTCTCCTCGACCGGAAGTTGCCCAAGATCGTGAAGCTCAAGCGGCGTATGATAACCGCGTAACAACAGGTCAATCACCCAGTGGAAGGTAATCCTGCTGAGGAACGGCGAGGTAGAATGCACGTAGGAGTTCCGCGCGTTATCGGGCTCCTTAACGGTGTACCGCCTGCTCTTCTGCATCTAACGACGAAACATCATCGTGGCGAATATATTTGCGGTAAGAAAATGGGCTCAAGTGCCCGGCGACGCGATGTTTATACATTCGATATTCTACGCTGGGAAAAGACCGGAGTAGTAAAACGCCGCTGACGCTGTTTGCCTTTATCGAATCAAGGAAGTCGTAAATGCAAACGGGGTGGGCAAGATTTTAATGCGTCTATAGCGAGATGGCGAACATTTGCAAGTGCTTCGCTGCAAGTTCCGATAATGCGCATTTTCAAAGGCTTTCTTACGCCCGAGGAAGAAACACAATTGGAGGAAACGCTCTAAAGAGATAATCAGATCGCACAGTGTTGTCTCTAAAACTCTAAAACGGAATAGTCCTTTATGGAATGTCAGCTTTCTACAGATTCCTCTATTTCAATTGAATTTACCATGCGATAAAGGGTATAAGAATCAATAATAGCTAGCAATCCGCAACAAGTGGCGGTGATCCCTGTCGTTGCAACGCGAACGTGTTGGATGGACAGGCCAAATCTAAAAAAGAAAAATAGCATTTTAACGAATATGAAATTCGGACTAAGTTAATTATTCATAATCGTATTTCATTAATCATAAAAATTATTGTGATAAATAATTAATATTATGCGTATAAGTAGTCGATATCATAAATAATAGAGGACTTTTCTCTGTAATTCTCTGTAATTAGAATAATAATACTTTACGAATAAGGTTGCTGAGAATTTTAATAAAAGATTGCCCTCATTAATCGAAGAAGGGGACGTCAAGGCATAATTTGTCAAGTGTATACTTTATGTTAATAATTATCGGTAATGTACCTGCATAAATATAAAAACTTCCACGCTCGTGAGAGGCCAATTATCGTAAATCCTCCTCCCGACACGGCGGTACCGAAACCATCTCTGGTCTCGGTTTCGCGATGTACTATCCAACAAAATAGTACGGCAATCATCGTTAATGTCGACGACAATGAAATCAACGTCAATATGGACTCGTACAGTTCCAATGAAAGAATCAACAGTAGTAATATACAAAGTAAAGTCCTGCTTGTGTGAAGTGGCAAGAGTGACTTCGAAAGCCTGAAAAGGAAGAGTTAGTCTTATATTAATCACGCCTATCTTTTATAAACGTTTACTAAATATTTCCGTTTTTACTCCACGTAATTTTAATATTAACTAACACATATCAGGTAAATACAAACAGTATATAAATCTCATTAACTTATACACATACGCAAATTAGTGACTCTAAACTTTTCGAATACCGTGGGGACGCAAAACTGAAAGAAAAATAATAGAACCAATAATTTTTCCATTGCGGTGTGTTTTTACAATTACGAAAAAGTCCTTTCTTTTTCTTTTAAACGAGAGTACAAATTTTCTTTAGTCGTATTATAAATAGAAATAAAAGAATATTGCAAGGAAAGAATTTGAACGAATTTGTATACTTTTTTGCAGTTTTGCTCATATAAATCTCTTTATAACATTCGAAAAGTTTAATGCGTTGCGTTAAGTGAAATTAATTTAATATTAATTTACGGTAATCGGGCGAACTTCTGCGGAATAATCAAGGTGCAGAAACGTTGATGGGATATCTCGTTATACGAGTACATTCTATAATCACATCAGGTATGCAGACGTGTTACGTATTCGACGGGTAAACGAATATGATGAGTAGGGGATTGGGTTCTTGTGCGCGCCTTAACGAACCTGAATGGCCTCTGAGTCATTTCGCCTGCAATTTCCCGAGTCTATCGTTATGTCGTGCAAGTGACGTCACTGATATTACCTTATCTCCTATTTGCAGGTGCTACTATATTGTTAAATATACATTAAATATAAAACTAAAGAATATTAAGGGTTGTACGCTGTAAGGCGAGTATGTAAGTTCTATATCCTCTGCATCGTGGCTTAGGATAAAAAGTTACAGCTTAGCTCATATCTTTATTTCTTTCGTCGTTGAAAGGAAAAAGTTTAGAGACGATTCATTGAGGATTTTATTAATATTGGATTCTATTTATGCAGCCTGTTATTAATTCTGTGATAACGGCACACAGTGTATGCTGAGTTACTTAATTTGTAGACGACTGAAAGCACAAGCTTGAGCGAGGCAGAGGAAGGCAAAATAAATCGAATAATTACTGAATTACTCTTCTTGCCGTGTCTGCTGTGTCCGCGTTATTGCAAAGCTAACAAAGTGAACAGTGAAAGCCGCGCATGTTGTGTCTACGATGTACCCGGCACGTTCTTATTTACGCTTTCTTTGAAAAAATAGCGGTGCGTTTAAAATGTATGTAAATGAGCGAACATTCCGTAGGTGTTAAATATGAATACTTGTTAATGTAAGTTTCTACTAAATTTAAAGAAAGTATAAAATTCTTTTTACGAAAAGCAAAACAATAATGTTTCTCTGAGAGATCATGTACAGATCTAACGAGTCGACAATTTGAAATAAAAAAATTGGATTAAACGTAACGAAAATTTAATATATAAAATTGTAATGTGTAAAACTTTAACGTAACATTTTACAGTAAATTTCATTCGTACGAAAGAGACGGAGAGAAATAAATTTATCCGTCAATCAGCGTGCTAATAATTCTCGAGTAGCAATCGATGAGGCGATTCGGCGATCATAAATGTATGAGTGCCAGTAATGTAAGTGTACACTTACTCTGAGAAAGAGGGAGATGGGGGGAGAGAGAAAGAGAGATCCGTGTTACAACCTGCTATAAATTATTCCGGTAATTAATACGAGGCGTTTTTCTTTACGCACGAGTGCATTCCGGCATTCCGTTTCATTAATTGCCCGTACGTAATGAAAACGCTCGCGGTGTCGATGAGGTACGTCCATCGCGATTAACGGGATTGCTTCATTTCCATACGACAAAAATTTTACACGCCCTAGGAATACGCGCGTGTGTTATCATTATACAATATAGTGCGTACGTGTGGCGTAATTGCCGGGTAAGATCTGGCAGCGAGATTTAATAACTGCTCTGCGCGTGTACACTAAATATTGTAATATATTTTCGTACCGTAATAAAGACGCTGCAGCAAGAATAACAAATATAGCAAGAATATTTCAGCTGTTAACGGAATAGAATATTTGTATATTTATTTAGGTGCCGGTATATTCTTAATTTTAAGAAACTTAGAAGCAATAATCAATGTAGAAAATTGCTAGACGACGCTTGGCTGGCAAATTTTAATTAAAGAAAATTATTGCAAAAAATATTACCTCAGCCAGGGTATATTTTTCGCAATGAATTTCTTTAACTACAATTTGCCAGCCGAGCGTCGTCCAGCAATTTTCTACATTGGTTGATCATGCATCGGCGTTAAATAATTCTTTACGTTAATAATCGATAATATCTTTTTATAGATATTTAAACATAAAATTTTTTTTAATCAAAATATCTTAAACGGGACAATGTCTAATTTCTTCCGACTACTTAATGAAAAAAAATCTTGAATTTATTAAAATATTTCTAGGCGTAGAAAGTATTGTTATGCGATACATCTATGTAAAAGTTTGCAATAAGTACGCGTTTGTACTACGTGATTAGCCAAACGTAATTCGTACATTTCGAGCAAATAAAATATTGAGTCACATTGCGAAAATACCGGGGAATTGATCAATGTGTGCTCCGCTATTTCTGCGAAACGTGAAACGGCGTTATATGCCGCGAGAGCTTCAACGTAGGAAAATAATCAATGTGCTTTTTTGAGAAACGTTCCATTAATTATCGTCAATGCCCAAGTAAAAGAGTAACTGGAAAACTGTGCTCCAATGAAATAACGTACTGCAGCTTGGTTCATTAACGATGTAAAGCTCGAGTAATAATATCTTTTCACTTACATATAATAATAAAATTGTTAATATTGTATGGATGTACTTGATTATTCTGTTATTTGCATGCGCGAATAATACCAAGTATCTTGGAAAATGTGTGAAATATAATTATCGCAGGAATAACTTGGAAAGATGATGAGCGCGGTGTGCTTTGAATATTAAATCAAGAATGACGCATAATTACTGGCGGCTTGTGTATCTTATGGCATCAAGTGGGGCAAATTCCTTGACAAACAGAAACGTCTCTCGCTTGAATCATGGGGCATTCCCAAACGAATAAAGCATTTTTTTCATTTAATTGAAATTTCCTTCAATTAAGCCCGAGTAATCTTGAACGATCTTTCGCGTATCACTCAACGTCCGACAGGATCGATTACGCGCGACGACAACTGAGAAACTTTATACATCTCGACAGTTAATCATTAAACTCACAAGTCTGCCGTAATTATGTCGACGTTTTAGCGACATTTCTGTTCGCTGAGCTTAATTACCCGAGTAATTAATCGAATTTTAATTCCGAAATGCGAATACTCCTGAATATGGATGTAACCAAAATTATTTCATTACGGTGCAAATTGATATTGCTTCTTTTTGTCAACTTACTTGCCGACTGCGCTGCATCTGTACTTGAAAATTAAGACTGTTGCAACGAGGATGGTGAGAAGAGCAACGGAGACGTTCGTCAATTCGATGAGACAGCCGGCCGGCGAATGCAGATCATTTCTCGGTACCTGGAATACCGTGCCATTCCCGGCTCGCCAGGACCAAACGATTTGTTTTGCGAGTGTCGGCAATACGTGCAGAAACTTGTGCCGTTTGCATAAATCCATCTCGGCCGTGTATGTGCAGTGCCTCCTATACTTTTTACACGAGACACCATTCGTGGCTTATTAATTGCCTCTCGTGCACCTAGATAAAAGAATTATACGTTACTTACTGACAGTGTCGTAAAAAGTACATTGTTTTTGTATCACTTACACAATTATAAAATTATGGCGTATGTGCGTGTGAATAATTCATTACGTATAAAAATAATCAGAACTGTATATTCCTCAGATATTTCTGTAGGAAAAAATAGCGTATCTCAGATATTCAAATAGACTGGAATGAAATACGCCGGAATGTTCAAAGTACTTTTATATCAATGTCGCAATAGCATCTCCAACGAATTAGATCTGCCTTCAGGAAATTCCGCGCACCACGTGGCTTATTTTCGTCGAGTGCTTTGTGTCTTCTAAAAATATACCGAAGTGTTGAATAACTTTCAACATTCGATAACGCGAGCACGTGTGCTAATAATTACACAAAACTTTATTATTTATGCGTAACAATTCAAGAAGGTCAAGGATGAAGGTAATAAAATAATAAAATTGAAAAATCAATAGTAATGGTGCGTTCAAAAATATTAAAACGGTTCTGATATACCGTATAGTACTAAAAGTGTTATATAATATTTTTAATTACTTTTATTATTATTATAAAAAATTAAGTTAGCACCTACGGTTGCAATATATAGTGTTACGAGATTATCACGGATTAAAAAAAAAACTATTATCTATTCTTTTATATTTTATACTATTATCTTGTAAACTAACTGAAAACCAGCGATTCCTCCGTGGCGACATACGAAAATGAATTGTTAAATATGTAGCACGTGGTCCAAATGTGACCCGATACGTGGGCAAACTTTTGTATCAAGGCATTAACGATCCCGTGTCTGTGTACGTACCAGACATGCCGAGGCAGCGCGCTAACCGTATTAGCTAATTTCACCCTCTAATTAGGTCTATTCACTTCAATTGCATTATACGAAGAGTGTTTTACCTTTCGCGAGAGAAAGAGCAAAGGAAGTGGCACGAAAAAGTGCGGCCGATGCCGCTACAGCTACGTGTTGCAGAACAGGACTTGCATAAAATATGCCGAATGCCGCTGTCGAACGTCGAGACGCAGTTAGGGTTACGAAAAAGGTTGCATTCCCTGATAACTATGGGAGACAGATAAAATCTAAACTATCGTACGCGTGAGAAACGATCCACTAGAGCGGAGGTCGAAGCCGAACGACGCAGACGCCACGCGGAATTTTGTAAAACTCAATACACTACCTTGCAAAGGAAGATCCTACAGCGAGAGAAATGTCGAAAAAATAAGCAGGAAGGAAGTGCCTGGAAGGAGCAAAAACATCTCTTTGCAAGTAGCTTTCAGCTAGCCAAGTTTCACGTCAAGAACCTTCATTGTAGGCCTTGGGATTTAGAGGACCTCGGGCGAGTCCCCCGTGCGACCTGACGTACCTTCAGACCTGTTCGAAACAGTTCTCCTCGACGAAATTCGCTGGATCTACGGTGGTCGGTGTTGGGGATAAGGTGGAGGGCGCACTCAGGTTAGCCGAGCATCTCGGGGAACTAACCGAAGAGCGCCCTCCACTTTACCCCCACCACCGGCCACCGTAGATCCAACGAAGTCCATCGGGGAGAATTGGTCCGAAGAGGTCCAGACACGTCCGAGCTAGTCCCACTCCGCTGGTCCTACTCCGCCGGGCTGCCGCTGCCGTCTGCGAGCGATGGGGCTCGCGTGCGCCGCCTTTTATACTCTCAGCCGATACCTGGCGCGAGCCAATCAGCGCCGCGCGGCTCTCGGCTCCCCACCACCGGGGCGCCAGCCAATGACACGGCGCGCCGCTGCGATTGGCTGGCGCCAGGTATCGGCTGGAGTATAAAAGGCGGCGCACGCGAGCGAGCCCCATCGCAGACGGCAGCGGCAGCCCGGCGGAGTAGGACTAGCTTGGACCTGTTCGGACCTGCTCGGACCAGCTCTCCCAACGGACTTCGCTGGATCTACGGGGGCCGGTGTTGGGGGTTAGGTGGAGGGCGCACTCAGGTTAGCCGAGCATCTCGGCGAACTAACCGGAGAGCGCCCTCCACCTTATCCCCAACAATCCCCAACACCGACCACCGTAGATCCAGCGAATTACGTCGGGGTCGTCGGGGAGAACAGGTCCGAACAGTGCGCCCCTCGGACCTTAGTCGCGTTTTACGTCACGGAAGGCTAGCCGGGACGGTCTATTCGTCGGCGGATCAACACGCCACAAAAACAGAAATGTGCATACGCGTATATATTTGATGACGATTTTGTTCGACGCTTTCGATGTAGGTTGGACGAAAAGAGCCTTGCGCGATCTCGAGCGCGCGGAAGCGGATCATCGGCAGCAGATTCGCGGTGACGATTGTATTTTATATCAAGTGTCGAGGCTTTCGAGGCGGCGCGGACCAATCGCCGCGATTTCTTGACAAGGGTCGAGACAAAGCGCAAGTTGCAACGATTTAAAATATTAAAGTGGTACGCAACAGCATATTCTGAAGCGAAAAATTAGAAACTTATTGCCAGAGCAACTCCGATTAATTTAATCGGCAATTTATTGGACCGGCAGAATTGCGTAAAGCGGAACTTTTAGGTTGTCGTGCCTGATCTTGTCTTTTTCCTCCGCGCAAAAATTAATAATTCTATTCGCGATAGTAAATTAAGAAAAATTCTATACGTGAGATCGGATCGCAGGAGACGTTTGAAAGTTGTATTGTACTCGTTACTTTTCGTGAAAACCAAGAAGGAGAAATGCACGATACACTGCTATTTTAATAAAACATTTTCTACTGACATCGTAAATTTTCAAATTGAATTGTTCAGATCGACAAATTCAGATTGGGACTGTTCGGAATTACGCGAGATACATATTGTAAATTGTTTAGTGACTATATTTTCTTATATTTATATTCCGATAAATTTCTGAATTTTTCGTATGCGATCCTAAAGATTACTTTACAATAACTTTCGTCCCATTTGTATTTACTCTAATTTATCAACTTCGGACATGATTTTCCGCAAATAATTGCGATAAGTAACGTCAACGCAATCGTAAATCAGTCTGCATCACATTGATTTTTATTCAATAATAATATTTTATTGCCACACGAACTATAATGGTATAGATATGTATTTTGAAAATTTTCCTCGCGACAAAAATCACGTTAACTGTCTCATTATTTTGCAACATTTTACTCACATTTTTTGAAAATAAATTGAATAAGCTGGTTACGTCTTAATTAATTTACGCTGCAAGAAAATTTAATAAGTTATCCTTAATTCGTTTTAATTCTATTTGATTGAAACACAAAATTCGCGAGTGCTCGTCACAAATTACCTGAAACCACAAATAAGAAATCTGTGAAGAAATGCACGTATTCTGAATTAAGCTTTCAGTTTTCTCTCAATCTTGACGGATTTATTTGGTAATTAGATAATTTACCTGTTGACTAGATAGATATCATTCTTATTTATCCACGATTGATTTCGATTGACGCTGACAGTCCAATAATTATTTCCGCAATTTCTGTTACATTAATGCACACGATTCACAGGTGAGACGCTTTCACGTTTTCGAGTAAACGCAGGAAACCGAGACACTTGACTTTCGTTTGGCACTTTCGGCTCTGTGTACATACAATGCCGTACGCGCGGCACTGACAAGAGGCAGAAGAGTTACACGCGTCCTCCCTCCCGAATGGTTCGCGTTCTACTGAGATGAGATCCGAACAGAATGCCAATGGTAATTCCACGTGTACGGTGAGTCACTGGCGAAAAAGGAGATTCTGCGCACGGCGAAAGCAATAAAACCGATATAATTTCGTCCAGCTAAAATTTTGACGTGTTAGATCCGCGAAATTAACTTCTCGTGCCGATAAACGCGATCCTTGTCACTTTTTTTTTATTGCGTGTTTATTCTCTCGCTGAATTTAGAAATATACGATTCCACCACATTTCTTAATTACTGCTAGATATTGAAAAGAAACATTTCTCCAAGCGCAATTTAAAAATAATAAAATGGCATATATTTTTACTTTCAATCATTTCCATTTTTTATCATTTTATTATTTTTAAATTGCGCTTGGAGAAATGTTTCTTTTCAATATCTAGCAGTAATTAAGAAATGTGGTGGAATCGTATATTTCTAAATTCAGCGAGAGAATAAACACGCAATAAAAGAAAAATGACAAGGATCGCGTTTATCGGCACGAGAAGTTAACAGTGTACAATAAATAATTATACACATATATAATTATTACATATGTGTAGAAATAAGTAGAATTTTGTTTAACGTATTCAAATTTATGGAAGTAAATGTGTGTTAACGATCCTCATTCGTTTTTAACAGCGGAAGTGGAAACTCACGAAAATATACCGACACTTCAGTCCTCGATTTTTCGGCGAAAAATAAGCTGAGCAGACGAGCATCTTTGCGCCTGACGTTTCTAGCAACCACACGGTATCTACAATTTTTCTGTAACGAGATGAATTACGGAAATCCTATTAGTGGACATCGAGAGCTGCTCTTCACTCACAAGTCACATCGGTCGCAGCTTAATTTTATCAGAGAGGAGCTTACTTTCGCTTTCAACAGTTTTTTCATCCGAGGTTAAACTTTCATCCTTATTTGTTTTAATGTTTTAACTACAAAATGTTAGTTGAAAAATTTTGATTTAACATCAGTTAACAAATAATTAATCGCAATGATACACAATTAATCTCGATTTTATTCACATAACATTTTGTTCCACGAAATACGTTGTAACGGCATTTCGCCGCTCACTATTTCGAAACACAGTATGCTCTATTTGCTTATCTAGCGGATAATTAATTATTGATGGTAATTTTCTGTCTCGAAGCCCGTAATAAATTACATTTTTCACCGAGTGCATCGGACGCGATAAGAGCCATCGGCCATCTCTACCGCGTTTTCCAAAAAGTATATTACTCGGACATAACCAGTTTATCGTATACATAATACACCATTTCTATATTCATTCCGTGTAGTTTCCGCAGAAGATCGCGGAGCGTATTACTCGCATTAATTAGTTTGTCAAACTTCCCCGTTCTTCGCGAAAAACACGCGCGAGATATATCGTGCAAATTAATTGAAAATTAATTATTTTTACAAAAGAAAAAAAACATCGCCACTGGCTTCACTCCTGTCGAAAAGGAGGGGCGAAATTCGGTAATTTCTGGTAGGTTTTTCCTTCTGTAATATTGAGTAACTTAAGAAATGAAATTTCGCCCAGTTCTAGTCAAATAATATCACAATACTTGTCTGTAATTTATCACCGGCGAAGAAAATGTCAATCGCGTATATAAGAAATGCTTTCGCGTCACTTAGGGCGATAATACAAGTTTGCCTGTATGTAATAAGCTCCGATATCGCAAGACAGGTGCCACGAAAAGATGCGGTCGTAAAATCAATTTTTTATATGTACGACAAATGTAGAAAGGAATCGCTCATATTTAATTTCTCGCAATAAGTCTATAACTTTCGGTATAGTTTATGCTCCAGTGGGAGAAAACGAACGCAGGCATAATTCCGGTGACCGACCGACCCGCACGACTGTCGCAGCGCGGAATGATCACGCGTACTCGGATTAGTGACCTTCTTTACGCCGTCCGCCGTACACCGAGCGTTCGATTCCGAGAAGTGACGTAGCGCGTCGCGTACCGACCGCGTGATCACTCCAGAAGCGATGTTATTTTCGTCGCGTGCGCGTTGACTTTTCAATTGTTCGAAATTTTACATACATTCGAAATTTTACAGACATTTCGCGCAATTCCGACGGCCGTGTTATCCGCGGCGAGCAGTTCGAAGAGGTGTCTGGTCAGCGCCAAGTGGCGGCGACTCCGTCGCTGCTCTCCCGAGTGCTCGGGGAACGTTTGAAAACGCGGTCGGACGCGTGGACGCGGAGAGGATGTCGTCGTCGCCGTCGCCGTCGCCGTCGCCGAGCTGGGTGTGATCGCGGGCGATGCCACGGCGGTCGTCCGAGTGTAACGTCGCGTAAAATGAGACGGTATGTCCCATTCGACGCGACTTCTTAGCGGGCTGCTCGTCCTCCTTCCGGCGATCGCGCTCTGCGATGCCGCGGACACGTACGAGATTGACTGCAACAACCTGCGTATGGGTCAGTACATCTGTCCCCATCCGGATTATGATTTCATAGACCCGAAGACGCAGCAGCCGCGCGGCTGCACCAAGGAGAACAAGGCCAAAGGTAGGCGTCCCTAACCTCTATCTCGCCCTCCGCTGCGGTGGGCTCGTTTTCTGTTGTCACGCTGGCGAACTAGCTCAGTCTAATTTATTGCACCAGTTGACCAGCGCGGCGACAGAAAACGGAGCCTTGTATCTCTCGCGCTCGTACGTTTTTTCGGAAAAGAAAACGAGGCAGGCGCGAAATCTTTCCGTCCTCCGAGAGTGGTAAAGCGTCGGACGGTTAGCGACGTTGCTCTCGCGTTCCCTCGTTCGTCGAGTTTCGCGTTACGCTGCGAGCGTTGCCAGCGAGTTCCCGGAATTGCCATTCTGACGAAACTAAATGTAGATTTCTGTCCTTGCCAGTGCTCTGTCTTGCTGCCGACGGCCTCGTCTGCATAGAAACGAAGAACAACACATTCAAGAAGGATATACCCTGCAAGTGGACGTAAGTACGATTCCCGGGGGCGTCTTACGCCCGTTTCCATCAATGCGGATCGGCTTTGATCTCCGTTCACTTTGTATCGGTCTCAGGCCGCGTTGCCGGAAAATCTATAGTACATGTGATGTAAACTGCAGAGTCCTGGTGCCAGTTGGTCGACAAGTTAATTCGCATTGATAGAAACGGACGTGTGACGAGCGCAAATGAAACGCCCAGGGTTTATTGCAGGATCTCTGGACCCTCACGCTTTGGAATTGTTGCTTTTAGAAATGGATACTCCTTCGAGACGTCGTTACTGCTGTCAATGTTCCTCGGTATGTTTGGCGCGGACCGATTTTACCTCGGGTATCCCGCCCTGGGTCTGCTCAAGCTGAGCACACTGGGGTTCCTCTTCCTCGGCCAGTTCATCGACGTGATTCTGATAGCCACGCAAATTGTAGGGCCGGCGGACGGCTCGTACTACGTGATGCCATATTACGGTGCCGGGATTAACATCATAAGGAGCAACAATTTTACATACAGAGTGCCACAGTACGATTGCTGAGAATGGAACAGCACGCCCGAACTGCAGAAATGACGTCTCGTCTAAAGAAAAGAAAGATACAATTGTATTATATAGCTTCTGCTTCTGTCGCGAGCAACGATGTATAAATTCTGGAGTGGAGTCCTATTTCGTTATATATATGTATAGTTAAATATGCAATATCAATCTCTGTGTGCTCTTCTAACAGATAAGCCAAACGTTAACTTGTAGATATTCATCTCTCAACGAAGAACACTGTGTGTATATAAAGGTTTACTATCGACTTACGTATTGCAATTAATATATAATTAAATTATGTCAATTGATACAGTTAAATAATAAACTCTGTTTTTCTTATTTCTAAGATTCCCTGTCGTTCATTATGTCCCGTAGTTACAGTCAGAATTGGTCTCTGCACGCAAATATCGGGACTCGCCGAGTGCCACAGGTATGACTCAATCGGCCTTGAACGATTTATCGCGAAACTGTAAGCTTATACCGTCGCAATGTCAATGCACCGACGTAATTCGATTGTGCGATCCAGCAATTGGTCGCAATCTCGCGTTCCTCTGATATAAGCGCCGGAGTAAGAAGCGTTTGTTATCGCCACTGCCGTTAATCCTTATTTTCACGCGGGCAGCTCGTTAAAAGCGTCTCGCGCACGAACACCGCGCGTTCTCGGAAATCCTGAGACGATGCCGACCGAGGATGCATCACGTTGCCACTTGGTATTCAACCGGCACGTTTCCGATATGAAAATATATAAATCTGGCCCACCTTTCCCGACGAGAGCTCTTTAAGGATCGCCCTCCGGAGAGCTGTCGTCTCACGATTGAACGGACGGGTGCTATTCATCAAATCGGCATTCCGGACGACGCGTTGAGTAGACGAGCCGCTTCGCACGATGACTCCAACCGTGAAGACTCTACCTCGGCTCTTACCGCTCGGAGTCTTGCTATTAATTGTAGTAGTATATCGCACGTCGAACAATTCTGGAGTAAGCAGTTTCATCACTACAGTACAAATCTGTAGAGGAAAGTCCTCTATTACGAGACAGCGGGATTTCTACTAAATTAATAGGCAACGTCCGTTGGTTCCATCATGAATTCATTGCCCTTGGAGAGAGATCTGTTTAGCGGAAAGTTCATTGTTAGATCGTGTAATCGCCGCGAAAACAGTTTGTGATTGAATTCAGATGTTGAAAACCTGCTGTCTCATATTAGAAGCCTATATCATAATAGGGGACTTTCCTCTTTAATTTTTAAGAACGAAATAAAGCTGGAGATTGCGACGGGAATTTGTAAACTTAAGCGGATTGAAATTTCGAAGTGCGTACATTAAAGAAAAGACTAAATATAGTCTTTTATTACATATATCTAACGTTTACTTTTCAAATGATAAGATGTTCCATTTATCAGGCATCGTATTCGCTCTGCGATGTATTAATCTTTATATCAAGCGAATGACTTTTGCAGTACGCTGATAACGCAGACGAAAACGCTGCGGGACTGCAGGTGATCCGGCGTCGACGAACAATTGGGCCCGCTTCTATATATTACTGCAAGTTCAATCAGTACTACGATCAGGAGGAGGGACGTTGCCTGGGCGTGCCAGGAGGCGGCAAGGTGGTTCACGTTGAAAACAGACGGTCGTGCGGCGTGAACGTCCTGAGGCCGCATTGCAAAAGCCCCCTGTACTATCACATCTGCAAGCGCGACAAATCGATCCTGGCGCAGTGTGCGAACAGGCAGATCTTCGACAATCGTCTGCAACGATGCGCCTATTACGACCCGAGCAAATTAACTCCCAGCGTTATTCCACCGGACAGCTACATGTATTACGATCACGTCAGAGTGCCAGGTTGCACAATGTCCGGCCGGTTCCCCGTGCTCGGCCACTGTTCTATGTTTTACACGTGCGACACAAACGGACATCGTTTCTACCAGAGTGTCTTCAAGTGTCCACAGAACACTGGGTACCTGGTGGACAGAGGGGTCTGCAACGTTGCGCTAAACTGCCCGAACGACAACTCGGTGGATGCGGTCTGCGTTCCGAACGCGCCGGGCGAGAGTGTGGAATCTCTCAGTCTTGACGAAGCTGCAGGGAGAAGTGTGGACGAAACCCCTGAAATATTCGAAGAAGGAAAAGCCGGCGCGGACGACCCTGTTGTAGAACGCGAGAAAGATTCCAAGATCCTAGATGTTGTCGTGACTACTCCTGGAAGTATAATAGATACACAGTTAGAGAATAATTATAACGATAATGACAGAAATACGGATGTGTCGAGTAATAACGAAAACTTGTCAGAGTCGGTCAAACAAGTTTCAGTTCCCGACGGCGTTGATGAAGAAATAGTGCACAGCCAAGTTCCGAATCTGCCTGAGATCGTGCAAGGAGCTTCTGACGAGAGACGAAACGAGGAGACCGGACCGTCGCCACCGACTACGGAACTCGATGATGTGCCGCATTCTATCACGACTTCTACGACCTCAACCGAACCGGAGTATCGTACAAATGCTGACGTTGGCAGTGAGACAATTGACACTGCACCATTTCCTGAAAGTCAGGATGTAACTACAGAATCGCATGCAAATATCGGGGACAGCGCAATACCGTTATCGAATTTCAACGCCGAGCCGACTAATCCGGTATCAACAATGAGTAATGCACCAGAATCTTCTTCAATACGTGATGTATTACCAAATATGGATGAGATAATACAAGGTGAGACAACAGAACAATATAAGAACAATGAAGACGGAACTTCGACGTTATCAAATTTCAATACAGACTCGGTTAATTTATATTCAGCACCAACAGTGAGTGATGCATCAGAATCTTCTCCGATAAGTGATCTATCACCAAATATAGATGACAAGATGCAAAATGCAGCTACGGAACAGTATGGAAATAACGAAGACAGTACCGCGATTCCACAGAATATCAATACAGACTCAAATGATTCCTATGCGACACCAACAGTAAGTGATATACCAGAATCCTCTCCAAGCGATGTATCACCAAATATAGGTGAACATA